ATGAAAATCATTTGTTTTTATATAACATATATATATATATATATATATATATATATATATATATATATATATACTAATTAATACTAATTAATTACTAATATATATATATATATATACTAATTTTATAAAGAGGCAGAATTTGTTTGTTTGAACGCGCTAATCTCAGGAACTACTAATCCGATTTGAAAAAATCTTTTTGCATTAGATAGCCCGTTTATTGAGGTAGGTTATAGGCTATATATCATGTAGTATATAGTCTATCTATTCTATACTAACCGTTAAAACGTACCCAGTGACTAACCTAAGCGAAGCAAGTGTGAGTCGTATGTATGTATATTGATAAAAGATAAATATTTTATTGATAAAAACAATCCAATATTTATACTAATATTTTTATTGCGAGAGAAAAATATGAGAGTAATATTTATTTCATTGTAATATACAGATTCCTGGACAGAATATAAATAACATAACTCAATTAGAATGATACGGAAAATAATTCTATATCTATACCCACATATAATAAAATTGTAACTAAGCCGAATCTGTACATTAAATATTTTTTGGAAAATCTTATTGAAATAGACCTTATTATCGATACAGAGGCTGAATCTATAGTTTTTAGAATTTTTGTCTGTCTGTCTGTTACCGCATCACAGAAAAACCACTGGAGGAATTTTGATGAAATTTGGTATGGTGATAGCTGGTTATCCGGGTCAACATATAGGATACTTTTTACCGCGGGAAAATATCTTATTTCTGAGAAAAAATACAAAAACTGCATTGTAAGAGTGTACTAATATGTAAAACCTAATAATTTGCTTTTTGGTCATCTGAATGCGGGCGGAGCCGCGGGCAATGCTAGTTACATAATAATAGTAGCTTAGCGCTTACTGAGACGACGAATATTTTGAATAAACTAGCGGACTTACCCTTGCTTCGCTCGGATACAATTTTGTTCACAATTTCATGGGTTTTTATTTTTTGCGCGGAATATTGATTCTTTTTTTTCTAAAATAAAAGTAGCCTAAGTTATTCCTTATAACATCAGCTTAGCCAGTGAAAGTCCCTTCAAAATCGGTCCAGCCGTTTCAGAGAGTCAGAACATACAGACAGACAGATAAAAAATATATTATTAATACTGTATAATATTTCTTTTTATGAATATGTTAAAAAGCTGTTATTTTAATATTACAAACAGATAATTATTATATAATATTATAATATGATGAAATCTGTTTTATTTATTAAATCTATTTTTAGTACATCTGAAGATAATCTTGAGCATGTCTTCGTTTAGTGCGTATCAATTTGAAAGCAAGTATGCCAATTACCTCTTATCACCTCTCTCAGGCCTTTGTCTTCGTGCTAATAGCTAAGATCGTGCTGTGTCCGGGACATTGACTCAAACTTTTTCCTACCATTTCTTCAATTCTATGATTTTCAGATTAAAAAAAATAGAATTTATATTTTATTCATGTTTACATTGTTGATATATTTTATATATTATTTAATAAAAAAATAAAGAAAATAAAACAAAACATATTATAAATTATAATCACTAGCGACTCACCCTTGCTCCGCTCGATTTCGTCCCTAGTTACGTTTTAAGTTTAGTATAGATTTCTCAGAGATGAGATATTTTCCCGCAGTAAAAAGTATTCTATATGTTGACCCGGATAACTAGCTATCATTATACCAAATCTCATCATCAATCATCTCATCTCTGAAAAATCTATACTGACCGTTAAAACGTATCTAGGGACGAACCCAAGCGGAGCAAGGGTGAGTCGTTAGTGTAGATATTTAAATATAGTTTCATTTAAAATGTCAAATATTCGGGTAAATCTAAGAATTTATTATGTCAGCCGATAAATTTACCACTCTTTAGAGTATTTCTTTCTTGAAATTGTTTGTCTGAACTCTAAACTAATATTGGGGGAGAAACTAATTAAGGCTGAACTTCCATGAAAATTATTTGACTTAACAACTCCTTGTACGGCTTCTATTTTTTGATATGATGATTAAAAATTTTTTTTGTCAGTCAGACAGTCAGACATATTTCTAAACATATTTAACTAATATAATAATATATCATTGACATAGTAATATAATAAATTATAATAAATGTTTTTATAAAATGTAAAATACCTTGGAAATGATGTGATCGCCAATTGCTACTTCAATTTTGTAAAATTATTGTAACTTATAATTTTACATATGTATATGTACATTAAATATTTTTTTGAAAAATCTTATTGAAATGGACATTATTATCGATACAGAGGCCGAATCTATAGTTTTTAGAATTTTTGTCTGTCTGTCTGGGAACGCAACACGAGAAAACTACTGTACAGATTTTGATGAGGTTTGGTATCATGATAGCTGGTTATCCGGGTCAACATATAGGATACTTTTTACTGCTGAAAAATATCTCATCTCTGAGAAATCTACACTAACCGTTAAAACGTACCTAAAGACGAACACGAGCGGAATAAAAAAGTTTGAATTAGAATACACACTTGTATTCTTACCTTAGTCGAGATTTTACCGAAAAGTGTTTCTAAATTATTAATCTCTTCAGACTCCGAAGTTTCTATTTTAGAATCAGTTTGATACATGAACATCTGGATGTAGACTAAGATTAGATTTCTTTTAAGGAATTACAACACAAATTGCTCAAGAATGGTACAAAGTATATTTTATATGGTGTTAGTATCTTTATTATTTCTTTTCAGTTAAATATAATTGAGTTTAAATAAGATTTGTTCATGTTTGTCTGTTAGTCATTTTTAGTTCAGGAATATCTGTTTAACAATTTAAAAACTTTAATCAAAAGTTACAATATTACTCAGTAATTGATATTCTTGTAATATCACATATATGAAGCCATCGACAAACCTTGTTTTAAAATAATTAAAAAAAAATAGACCTGTATTGCAATAATAATAAAAATTAATTGAAAAGAAAAAATCTCAGCATTTTTTGTGCGTGCACACTGTGTTATTTTTAGGTCACGCCGTCGAATACAAAAACTTCCCAAAGGTACCCGTCAAATATTTTGAATTCATACAATAAATAGCGGCTGATCCTGCTATTTGGAGATCCCTCTGTTCGGCCATGATATAAGTTGGCATGACAAAGCAAACATTTGGGACTGTGTCTCTTAGAATCGATCTAAAAGAACTTCTAGTTCCACAGGAGAAAGATTTAAAGTAAATACACACTAAATACCTATCTATACTTAATATTATAAGCAGGTAAAGTTTGTGAGATTGTGAGTTTATGAAGTTTTAGGGGGTAATCTCCTGGATCTACTGAACCGATTTAGATGGAATTTGGTAAGAAGATAGTTTGAGATCCTGGGAAAGACATAGGATACTTTTTAAGCCGGAAATCGTTCCTTAAGGGGGTAAAAATGGGGATGAAAGTTTGTATGGGGAATCGACCTAGGGAAGAACCCGAGTGAAGTGAGGGTGAGTCGCTAGTATTTTATTAATTTAAAATTTTCCCACAGTCTCTCATAACCATGATTGCTGTAAGCATTAGAAACGTCGGGGACTAAAAGTCAAAATAAATCCGTGAAAAAACTTGAATAGATAGAACCTACGTTTTGAATGTTAGTTATTTGTATCTAATATATATATATATATATATATATATATACATAGATGTGATTAGTTTTATCTCTTATTTGAGAAATTATTGCTTACCCGTACAAACTTCTATCCCCCCTTCCATGCGGGGTAAAAACTATCCTATGTCCTTCCCAGGGTCTCAAACTATCTCCATAGTAATTTTCATCTAAATCAGTTCAGCCGTTTAGTCATGAAAAAGTAACAAACAAACAGTTAATATCGCATTTATAACATTAGTATGGATATATAGATTACATGCTGAATGCACCTATCTATATAATTAAAATAATAATTAGCAATTTGTTACATCGACTTATTTAACAGTTTAAACTAAAATATATGTAATTTTATATATATATATATATATATATATATAAAATATATATATATATATATATATATATCTGAAAAAAATATTCTTGTATGCTTTCATGCCAGCTACGATTAGCGTACACTTATGACGTCAACTAGTTAGGGCATTTAAAACGGCTTGGCTTGGCTTTACAAATGCACCTAGTATGTGTGTGTAGTCTCTTTGATACGTAACTTGAGTCTTTGCATACAAAGGTATACTTGACATTAGTCATCTCTTGAGAATTTAGTACTTGATGAGAAATGCTTAAAATGTTACTAAGTTTAAAAATGACTTATTATATAAATTATAACTAACGATTCACCCTCGCTGCGCTCGTATTCGCCCCTGAGTTTTAACAGATAGTATAAATTTCTCACAGATGAGATATTTTCAGGCAGTTAAAAGTATTATATATGTTGACTCGAATAATCAGCTATGACCATACCAAATTTCATCAAAATTCGTCCAGTGGTTTTCTTGTGATGCGTTCCCAGGCAGGCAGATTATAGATTCGGCCTCTGTATCGATAATAATGACTATTTCAATAAGATTTTCTAAAAAATATTTAACGTACAGATTCGACTCAGAATTTTATTATATGTATAAATTAAAGCTATTTATTAACTAAATACGCCCTCTATACCAATAACATTACCATAATTACCATCCAACATTTACCTTATTATAAAAAAAAAACCAATACATCTCATAGCAAAATGAATTTTAGAAAACAAAGTCGTACCTAAATGAAGTTGTTAGAAGATTTTTCTAATAGAGTGTAAAGTTAAGGCAGAAGCAACTTCATCTCGAAGGAAATCCGGTCATCTCCGGAAAGTAATAAATCTTGCCTAGCCGCAGGGATGTTTAAGGGCGGGGGAGAAGGACCCGAGACGGATCAATATGAGAATCCTGTACTAAAACACTGTTAGCGCGCCACTCGCTCTTCGGGCCTCGAGTCGATCGCACGCCGACTCACTTACATCTACTTGACACTACAAACCACTACGATGGAGGTAAGTTTCTTAGCCAGTTATTTAAAAATTTTAACTTAATTCGTTCTTTAGTAATAGTATATAAAAATAACAACGTGTTATTTATTATGTTGGAAATTTAACTGTTTTTTTTTGTTTACTGTTATATACGCGTTTCTTAAACGTGCGCACAATCCCGCCATAATTTCTTTGGGCATTTGTATGAACTGTGCAGTGTGCCACTGTGCGTATCTTCTCTCCCCCGCTAACGGTTTGCCATATGTAGAGATTTTTTACCATCCTTTTTAGTATCGGTACATAAATAAATGTAAAGTGAAACATCTGTTCGTGATTCTTGTATCCATAATGCCTTTCATATTCTTTGTTTGAATTAAATAGGTCGGAGATGCAGTTATCTGATAACCCGTGTCAGTGCCAAGAGCCCTTTACACGGCTTTAGGTATTACCGAGGGTATAATTAGGTCGGCATAATAGCGCGTTTTCAGTTATTTTCTTGTACCAAATATTTTTTATCATTTAAATTAATGAAATTACATAAATAACTACGCAATAATATATTAAAGATTCGCAATATATTCGTAATATTACTTAAATCATATTTTGTTCTTATCAATCATGCGATAACTTAAATTGTAAATAAGGTAAATTATAAGTATTCTATAAATAATTTAAATAATTAACGTGGAGTTATCTGCTTATTCACTTTTCCCCGGAAACTACGAACTTCGTCCTCACTGTTTCCTCCGTATCTCTAACAAATAACAATAAATAATTGTACATACAAACTGCTTGTTATCTGGTGACTTTGAATGACCCCGGTTTATTTTAGTGATGGCATCGTGACATAAGGATATTCGACGACACGCTAGGGACTTCCTATACTGACTAAATATTGTCTGTTAAAGTATATTTCGGTTTTATTACGGTTTTCCCTTGATAATATAACAGTTTTCGATTATGCAATATTTTTTTATATAGGCTGTATAAGAAAAGTCGTAGTTAATTTGGCATAAAAAAAAAACATTTTGCCGCCATTACAGTGTATAATATAATAATGTCAAATAAAAAAAAACAATTTAAAATTTTATAATATTTCGCCATTGCGGGTCGTTAAATAACAGAATAGTTGATTGAACAAAGCACTCTATCATCGCGTTATGATATCATTATGAGAGGACAATTTAAGATTGACGTGATAGTTTTTTTATCTGTATAGATAAACACCTTTTGTTATGTAGAAAATTAAAAATAAAATATTTTTTTTTTAATTATTATAATACAATTCTACACTAAAACCTAATTAACATAATCTAAAACGGTATTATAGACAACTAATAAATCGTATTCTATTTATTAAAAAAAATATACAAATATAATGAAGAATCCATGGTTTGATATTGGAATATTTTACTAGAGACTTCTCGCTTCGCTTGACGATTTGATAACGAAAAATCGACATTTCTTTACTATCTATAAATATAATAAGCAGGTATTATACATGTAAATCTATCGGAAAAAAACTTTCAATGCTTCAATAAAATAATAAAAAAAAATCTTCCAAATAAATAAATAAATAATTGAAACCGTATCAAAATCCGAACGTACGAGACACGAATAGTGATTTTTTTCTGTTTATTTACAATTTTTCAAAGTGTCAAAAAGTGTTAAAAAAAAGTCAAAATTTACTTTCTAAGAAACCTTGAACAATCGAATTAAATATTATATAATATACAATTAATAACAAAAACCGAACAATTACTCTATTATAGTATCTATGATCGAATTATATATATATATATATATATATATACATACATACATATATATATATATATATACATACATACATATATATATATATATATATATATATATTTTAATAATAATATCAACATCAGTAAGAAGTGAGCATATTTTTGACTAAAAATAATTATAATTAATAATAGTAATTTTTTTTAAATATCCGGCATTTTGAAACATTTTTACAATGCAGAGAGCATAATAATAGCGATGTTAACATAGAAACAGGTAGTTATAGCGCGTATAAACTTGGCTTACAAGGGTACTTGGTACTAACACTTGGGGATGGTGTGAAAATATTTACATATGTATGTCTGTGCTTGATGCTTGTTGCGAAAGTTTTTACAAGGCAAAGCGAATTTAATTGGTTTTGGACTTTATAAAAAAATAGATAAGTATATACAGATAAATAATATTGAAGTGTCTGTTTGTAATGTCAAAATAACAGCTTTTTTTAATTTATACTGTACTTATAAGAAAAACATAATTTTAAAAAATTTTGTCTGTCTGTTTGTTCTGCTGATCTTCGAAAATCCATTTCCGAAACGGCTGGACTGATTTTAACGGAACTTTCACTGGCAGTTAGCTGATGTTATATGGAGTAACTAGGCTACTCTTATTTTAGAAAAAGAATTAGAATTCTGCTCAAACATTTAAAACGTACTTAGGGGCTCTACTTCTCTCTCTAATATTAAATAAAACTCGTATCTTTACTGGATAAATGAAATTCGTTTAAAATAATATTAGCGAAGCGATAAATGAAAGTGCCTTATTTTAAAGGTTTGTTTTAATTCAATAGCAATCGTAATCCGATGTTAAGACGGCTCGGGACGACTAATAATTAAAGTGTTCGAACGATATTTCTAGAACATCTGAAGACTTGAAAATATAAAATAAAATACTCTTTTATTTTCTTATTATTTAGAAAAAATATGACAAGGCTAATTTTTATTAAATATCTATACATATAATAAAATTGTAACTAAGCCGAATCTGTCCATGAAATATTTTTTGGAATATCTTAATGAAATAGACATTATTTTCAATACAGAGGCCGAATCTATAGTTTTTAGAATATTTGTCTGTCTGTCGGAAAACGCATCACGACAAAACGACGAAATTTGGTATGAATTTTATTATATACTAGCAGAACCCGCGGCTTCGTTCGCGTTAAAACTCATCCCCCATTTTATAGGATGACTTACGAAAAATGCTAAAACACGTACTTATTAAATAAGTACGTGTTTTAGCGTTTTTCGTAAGTTGTATTGAGTAAGTTGTATTGAAAAGCATTAATACCAAGTTTCAAGTAATTCTGATCTCAAATTATTTTTTGGGTTGTATTATAACGAGTTTTCCCGTGAGAGAGATAATCTCTCGCGGTAGTAAATAGCTTATGTCACTCTCCAGCCCTTCAATTATCTCCACACAAAAAATTACGCCAATCCGTAAATCTGTTTCGACATGAAAGAAGGACAAACAAACAAACCAACACACTTTCGCATTTATAATATTAGTATGGATATGGATTAAAGGCAGTGGTAGCCCAGTGGTAGCGCGCTCGCTTGAAAAACCTAGTGAAACTTTGAATCTCGTGGCTTGCATCTCTAAGATTTTTCTAATCATTTCCAATATGATAACCAATATATATATATATATATATGTATATATATATATATATATATATATATATATATATATATATATATATATAATTACATGGCGTAGGATAACATTGTGAGGAAACCTGCGCGTACAAACAAACAAAAAACTAACTAATTTTCGAAAAATTTGTGATATCCACTTGTACAGTATGGGACCATGTATTGATAGGTCCGTACCTAAATATATATTGAATCATTAGCCAACATATTTACATGGATATATTGAATAAAAAAAAAAACATTCACAAAAAATCGCCTTATACAAGTTAACGATTCATTAATTTTATAAAAACATAACTCAGACGATAACACGGAAAATGTGTTTAATGAATATTAAAGGCTGTACAATTATTGCTTATTTCCTTTTAGAAATTAATAAATTCTAATCGCTCGGACTAGAGTCGTAACTACATATGTTACTTAAACGTAATTATTCTTCACTTCCAAGATTGGATCAAAATATTTATTATGGTACTAGCATTGCCCGCGGCTCCGTCCGAGTTCAGATGACCGAAAACCACATTTTTATGTTTTACATATACGTACGTATACGCTTACGTTGCAGTTTTTGTATTTTTTCTAAATGAGATAGTATTTTTTCTCAGAAATGAGACACTTTCCAGCGGTAAAAAGTATCCTATATAACTATACCCGGATAACCAGCTGTCACCATACCAAATTTCATCAAAATCCCTCCAGTGGTTTTTCTGTGATGCGGTAACAGACAGACAGACAGACAGACAAAAATTCTAATAACTATAGATTCGGCCTCTGTATCGAAAATAATGTTTGTTTCAATAAGATTTTCCAAAAAATATTTCATGTACAGATTAGGCTTAGTTACAATTTTATTATATGTATAGATATGGGCTAAATGTTATGTTATCATTTTTTGAAGTGATAACTTCTTTAGGCATGTTGGACAATTTTGTGATGGCGAAAAAGCCCTGAATTCGCGTGAGCGTCGCGCTCAGATACATAGTGACGCTAAAGTGACAAAGACGGAGAGAGTCATTTTACGAAGTGTGAGCGAGACAAATAGTGACGCCAGTTTTTAATAATAAAAAAAATTATATAAATTTGTTCGTATTATATAGATAATAACCATTTTCATGTAAAACAGCGCAATAAATGAAAATTTTCATTATTATATCAATACGTTGATAAAAATAATTTCTAATAAAAAAAAATACTTCCTAAAGAATATTTCTTAACAACTCAAAAATAATGTTTACAAGTTTGTAAAGCTAAGAAGTTTTCACTTCTGACGTCAAGTTCTACGACAGTTTTTTTATTACTGAATAAGTATTTATTGAACAAAATTTTGTATGTCTTTGTGTAATAAATCAAACCACGTGGCTTAGCGAAGATGGCATTCTAATTTCTAACATTAATAGTTGAAGAAAATAAATCTAAAAAAATATATCAAAACCACTTATTTATAATCATGAGAATCTATAACATAACAATTTATTTCGTTATTTCAGCACAATATTTAAAATTTCTATACTTCAAGGGTTGCAGAATGACATTTTGTAAATTACCCGCGTCATATGCGCATAATTTCAAAGACGTAGTTAACGACTGTGCCTAAGCGTAGTGACACGGATACATCTATACATATAATAAAATTGTAACTAAGTCGAATCTGTACGTTAAATATTTTTTGGAAAATCTTATTGAAATAAACATTATTATCGATACAGAGGCCGAATCTATACTTTTAGAGTTTTTGTCTGTCTGTCGGTCTGTCTGTCTGTTACCGCATCACAGAAAAACTACTGGATTTTGATGAAATTTGGTATAGAGATAGCTGGTTATCCAGGTCAACATATAGGATACTTTTTACAGCGGGAAAATATCTCATTTCTGAGAAAAAATATATGTAATGTAAGAGTATACTAATATGTAAAACCTAAGAATTTGGGTTTTGGTTATCTGAACGCGGGCGGAGCCGCGGGCAATGCTAGTTCATACATAAACCTAAATTGTCAGTACTTGTCTATTTAAGAAGAATAAATTATTATCTGATTTAAATGAAATTTTGCATTGTGGTACCTTATATCCCCAGTCAACCTTGTAGATACTTTTCATCCCGGAAAATTAAAGAGTTCCCGTGGTATAGTTAAAAAATTATAGTAACTTATACAGCTTAGTACATAAAAACTACTGATTAGATTTTAATGAAACTTTACAATAATATTTTCATACAGCAGAATAACAAATAGGCTACTTTTATTCCGGTAAAATGTACGGTTCCCGTGGGATAGATTTGTTTTTGCTTGTCTAGAAGCAAACCCGAACGAAGCGAGGGTGAGCCGCTATTAAAATATAAACTCTAAAGTCAATGTGTACTACAAATATATACTTGACTCGACCTGGGACTCGAATCTAGACATTTGGATCTTCAGTACATGCCACTAGACCAACCAGGCATATAGTTTTATAAGTAATCAGGTGATGAGGTTAATCTCTTGAAAGTAGTTTCAGAGAACTTATGCCCGATTTCACCAACGTCACCTAAGTTTAAGGGATCCCCTAAGCTTGGTTAGGGGCTGTTAGGGGACAGTTTCTATTTCACCGACAATTAGGGGTCACCTAACTATTAAAAGGCCCCCTAAATTTAGGTGCTCGAAATATGGACGTAAAGATGATCGTAAAACGAAATTTAATTTAGGGGCTAGTTTAGGGGACTTTTAAGCTAAGGATCCCATACGTAGGTGGTAGCTTATGGGTTTTGGTGAAATCGGGCATTGGTCAAGCACCATACTTTGCAATTTTAGTTCTAACTTACGACTTACCTTTGCTTCGCTCGGGTGCGTTCCTAGGTATGTTTTTTGTGTGCGAAACACCAATACTTTTTCTAATATAAAACAAAATAAGAGAACAACTGTACGTAGGAACACAGTATTATGTAGTCGGAGACATACAATACATACATTCTCCTAGCCGATACCGGCCACGGCGGCCGATATCATTGAGACTAGCCAACTGCGCAGGAGATATTATAGCGCACAAGTGTACGCGCAGACACAACGTGCACTCTCTATTCCTGTCACTCTCATACTCTGTTAGGACGACAAGAGACACGACCAGTGAGTGTCGGCGCAGGACCGACGGCTTTACGTGCTCTTCGAGGCACGGGGGTGAAACACCGCCAACTTCCCAATTCCGGGCTGTTACTGAGACTTACTATACAGAAAGACTCAATAACTAAACTTGGCCCGACCCGGGACTCGAACCCAGGACCTCCGAGTGTGCAGCCGTACACGCTAGCCACTACACCACCGAGGCAGTGGAGACACACTCAGCTATTGTAAAAAATGTATATTTGTATTATGTACTAGCGATTCACCCTTGCTCTGCTCGGGGTCGACCCTATTTCCATTTTAACGTTTAGTATAAATTTCTCCGGAGATGAGATATTTTCCCGCAGTAAAAAGTATCCTATATGTTGACCCGGATAACCAGCTACTATCATACCAAATTTCATCAAAACCCCTCCAGTGGGTTTTCCGTGATACGGTCACAGACATACAGACAGACAGACTTAAATTCTAAAAACTCTAGATTCAGGCCTCTGTATCGATAATAATGAACTATTTCAATAAGATTTTCAAAAAATATTCGTTGCACAGATTCGGTTTGGTTACAATTTTAATGTATATAGAGTAAAGATGTCTCCGATTGCATAGTATTATGTTTCTTCGTACACTTGTTTTCTTCTTTTTAGTTCGTTTTTTACCCAGTCGGGGTTTTTTAATAAAATATTTTTTTCTATGACGATTCTGAGCCCGCATAATTTCTTTACTTATATATTGTGTAGACTGTACATTTAACTGCCTCCTGTACATGTAATAGAATTAATTCAAATGGTTTAAGCGTAGCGATCGTTGTGTACAAATGCAATGCGAGTTTAATGCGCTATCACGTTCAACAAATATAGCGATAATAGAATCGCTAATTCCAAAACTAGCTAAAATGTATTAATTCAATTCAATTTTCTTGTTAATGGCCTATAAGCTATGTGTTAATTAGACTCTACATGAGAGCTGAAAGACTAATTGGTCAGAGCTTACGGGTTCGATTCTCGACGAGGTTAATAATGAATTAATATTAGCGCCTTACTCTTGCTTCGCTCGGGTGAGCACCGTTCTGTTGGTTATTCAGACAGCGCTATGTTTTGGCTAATTTTAAGCTACTAACAGTAGTTTATGTTGTGACAGCATCGTAGCATAAATTATTGTATACTAAAAGCAGCTTCAGTGGGAAGGAGTAGAAAACGTACATATACACACATACAAATTTTGGCATTTGTAATAGTTCTTACTACGGCAGAGGTTTTAGGTTCGAGTCCCATTTAAGATAACCATTCTCGAGTATGTAAATATTTCATGTAATTTTGTTTAATTATATTATCTGTTTAATTATATTTTGGCTAAAGCAAATATCTTTTCTTATTTGGATAGCAGATAGTTATCAATCTCTCCGTTTATTCCGTAAACAATAGAAATATAGTTACTTTAACAGAATGCTAAAGACGTTGATGTTTTCAGCACATGCGTTGGTGGTGGGTTGTAGGCGCACTCGTGATGGTGACTCTCGCAGCTGGCGAGTCTTTGGACCATGAAGAACATGAAGTACTCGTTCGTAACGAACGAGATGCCAAGAATAGAGGTAAGTTATATTATCATAGTTTATAAAATCACACAGCATCCGATCGTCAAAAAATAATAATAATAAACTCTTATTGTACACCAAGAATAAAAGAAAATTAACAAACACAGAATAGAAATGTACAAGAGGCGGCCTTATCGCTAAAACAGCGATCTCTTCCAGGCAACCTTTAGGTGTAGGAGATAGCAAACTGCAAGAGGGAAGGGGTGTAAATAATAAAGTATATATATCACAATATATAAAAAATTTGACTAGAAAAATGCATAAGTATATATGTTTATACTAATAGATACATATACATATACTTACACAGATACACATACCTATACACATATATTATAATCGTATATAATAAAATATAATAAAAAAAAAACAATATTCATTGTTTTTCATTAGAAAGATAAAGCGTTAAGGTGCCATTTATTTAATTATTTTTATGGGATGGTAGCTAATAAAAAAGGCGTTATGTTAATCTCCAATTATATATACGCTTCATGTATTAGTCACTTATATTTATTTATCTTGACGGCACGTTTGGATCAGCGGTCGCGAGTTCGAATCCCGCTGGGGGCATTCATTTGTGTAATGAGCACGAATGTTTGTACTCCAGTCATAGGTGTTTATATTTATAATATGTAGTATGTATTTAAAGTTATATATGTGTAGTGTATCAACTATCTGGTATCCATAACACAAGCCTCGTGGCTGACCATGGAACTAGATGGTGCTGTGTGTTAATGTACCAACATATTTATTTATTATTTATTTATTTATCTACGAGTGGCTCACCCTCGTTTCCCTCGGGTGCGCCCCTGAATACGTTTTAATATTACTACTATATAAATGCGAAAGTTGGGATGGATGGATGTTTGTTTTTCAATCACGCCAGAACGGCTGAGCCGATTTGGATGAAATTTGGCACACAGATAGATTATAGTTTGAAATAGCACTTATATACTTCTTACCCCGAAAAAAATTACGGCTCCCGTGGGATAGCTTTGTTTTTATTTTTCACTAGCGACGAACCCGAGCCAGTGCGAGCCTTTTTGAGCATTATTGAAATAATGTCCTATTTTACATAGATTAGTTAAAACGCCGAAAAATTCTTACTAACATTAAAGGAATATAACGAATCTTTATATCCTTAACATGAAATGATTCTTTCCGAATACATCACCACCTTCAAGTTTCATTTTTGTGACAAAAAGTAGCCACGTCCTACTCCAAGGTCCCATCCATTTCTGTACTAAAATTCACCAAAATCGGTTTAGCGGCTTAGGCGTGAAAACGATTATCGAAGCGTAGGTAAGTCGGTAGTAAAGCAATAAATCAATGGTAACTTATACGTGAAGGCCTAATTTTTGAACTAGAAAACTGTGTGTTCAGGAGTAAGATCAGCTTCCCATATCAGATGTATCAAACTATAGTTTAGACTTTAAACAAACAATACTTTAGACGTTTTTTACTTTAACACTTTCTTAGATTTACACGAGTATTTTAAATTTTGAATAAAACTATCTTTTTGGATTTGTTTAATACCAGCGACTCACCTTCGGTCTGCTCGAGTTAGTCCCTAGGTACGTTTTAACAGATAGTATAGATTTTCAGAGATGAGATGAGATGAGATTTTATATGTTGACCCAGATAGCCGGCTATCATCATACCAAAATTCATTGAAATCTGTCTAGTAGTTTTCTTGTGATGCGTTCCCAGACAGACAAGACTGACAGAGAGACAAAAATTCTAAAAACTATAGATTCTACCTCTGTATCGATAATAATGTCTATTTCAATAAGATTTTCTAAAATATATTTATTGTACCTACAGATTAGACTCAGAATTTTATTAAAATGTATAGAAAACAAAAAAAAAATGATATTCCTCTATAAACTCAATGCGAAAGGCATCCTTTGAAATCACGTTAAGCCGAAACTACAGTGATTTAGGCGACGAAAAATAGAATCTCATCTGAAGAACGCTCTCGCTACATAAATAGCAATTTTTAGACGCAAGCTTCAATCGACCTTTTGCTATATCCTTGATCTTCCAAGTGTATATTAGAGTAAATTTTGTAAATTTCTGTTCTAAATTGATTTAAGTTTCAAGGCTGTTAGCTCGTTCGATAAGCGGCTTTACAGAACTTCAAGTGTAAACATACCGTAAACCTAAACTAATACGTGCCACTATATTATAGCCTATACATATAATAAAATTGTAATTAATCCGAATCTGTACATTAAATATCTTTTGGAAAATCTTATTGAAATAGATATTATTATTAATACTGAGGCCGAATCTATAGTTTTTAAAATTTTTGTCTGTCTGTCTGTCTGCTCATTAGTGCTCTTTCCCTTAAAAGAGAAATAGCATAATATTAGCTTATTTATTTGTTTTATTTCTTTATTATTTTAATAAAATCCGTTAGCTATTTTTATAACATATATATATTAATATTTATATTCTGTTTTAAAACATAATTTGGCTTCATGTTTATTTCTATGACACTCTCTATACTAGTCTAAGTTGTACCTATAACTAGTACATCTCGTATTATTTGTACTATCCATTTATTACAAAAAATCTTAAATATTAGATAAGATATCGCATTCATACGTGCAATCAGCGATATACCGGAATTATGTAAGTAAGTATGTAAGTACCCTCCACTTGTGAAATCGGTTACGAATTACAAAATTTAAGCATGATGTTATATTGAAAGTTACAACAGAATTCTTTAGTCGTAGGAAAGCCAGAAGTGAACAGATTGTGCTCTGAGGGGGCGCTAAAAATAGCTGATGAGACATGTACTTCCCTGCTACAGGTGTAATTCAAATCTTGGGTCTATGATTGGCTATAATCGCTTCACTTATTATATCTCAGTTCTCACTATTTCCTTCTACATGTTAGATCGATACTTTCTTGGATTTACGCGAATATTTCTCAGGACAAGGTTTTTCTTAAAGAAATGCTTGAAAAATTGTATGGAAAATTGAAAAATTTGTGTTAACAAATCTCTATATAAAAAAGAGTTGACAGATTGACGTTCAGTTATTCAGATTCTGACCTCGTTACACCTGAAGTATAATTAGTTTGTTGTTTTGATTGTTTAATGAAAAAAGTAGTAAAAAAGTTTTAGAACTTTATATTATTAAAAGTATCTGCTATTTAAAAAAAATACCAACGGCTGCAATCCATCTATTAACATAAGTGATAATCTGTTATATCATTTTTGACTCCCTTCATTTGCTAAAAAATATTTTTTATACGTACATTTCGACTCCCTATCATCTCTCCTATCCAAAAATATCACCCACTCCTTCAGAGGCCGCGTCCCGTATACTAAACATGTGCTATACAGCGAGTGAATGCGAGCGAAGCCGCGAGGTACCGCTAGTTTAATTTTAAGTAAATTTAAGCCTACGATACTCTTATGTGATACATCAAGGGGTTCTCGAGAACGTATATACTCGTATTTTTATCATAATGTTATCTAATTAATTTTAAACATCCCACGGCTGAGTCACTATCAATATGGGGTTGTCCATATTACAGCGCTCTACTCACAAGCGAGGCCGCATTCAATAATGAATAAAAATATAATAAGAATATATATATATATATATATATATATATATATATATATATATATATATATATATATATATCCGTAGCGTATTTCATATGTACAAATGTATTTAAACTCACTAAGTAGGTCGATCTTTTGAAATTATTGAATGAGATCATTGAAATAATTACAATATTGCGTTTTTACAGTTCATACATAGACCGTGTACCAGATTTCTAGAACGCAATCGATATGCATATTAAGTACATGCGAGTACAAATTACTTATATCCTGCCTTTAAGCGAGATTTTTGTTCAAGTTCTGTGTAATTACGGTCTAAATTTTGTTGTCATTCATGACAAGGTAGAGTGTGATTATAGGGATAGAGTGTTACATATTATATCTATACATATAATAAACTAGTTATTTACTGCGGCTCCGCTCGCTTATTTAAATTCTGTTTCCTGTCTCCGATCTCAAAGGTCATCTTGATTAGCTTGTAACTTCCCTCAATAAGTAGACTACAAAATGCAGAAAAAATTATTATTCAAATCCGATTGTGAGTAGTTTCAGAGATAAGACTGATCAAACAAACAAAAAAGATATTTTTTAGTGTATATGTTGGTCCGTAGATACGTTTTGACGGTAATATATAGTCTATCTATTCCATACTATAACGAGTTTTTGTGGGTTGTATTATAACGTGATTTCCCGTGGGAATGAGATAATCTCTCGTGGTAAAAAATGGCCTATGTCACTCTCCAGCCCTACAACTATCTCCACACAAAAAATCACGCCAATCCGTCACTCTGTTTCGATGTGAGAGAAGGACAAACAGACAAACAAACACACTAACACACTCACATTTATAATATTAAGTATAGAAATAAAATAATATCCTAAAAGCTTTTATTGTAATGGAATGTTCATATAACATATGTCTAGACGAGATTTAAACCGATTTTTATTTCACTTCTGGCTATTTCAATCATCTATATTGGTATTTAAGCCGAGCCTTTTTAATACAATTGAGGCTCGGAAGCATCATAGAGCTGTAATTGGTTTTATTTTTGACAGATTTCAAAGAAAGGGTTATTTTTTTTAATTTATTATCTGTATATATAAATAGAAAAATATACCGAACTATATTTTTGTCGTCTGTTTGTCTATCGTTTTTTTTTGTTGGTTGTTTAGTAGCTATTGACGAGCGTTAGTGTTATCGATAAAAAATATTTATAGTCGAATATCAACCACTCGGCCAACACCAATTAATATGAATTAAGTTATGTTATTAAATTAAATTGATTACTTTAACTGATCGCTATTGTAAATTGGCCTTACTGCTCCGGTGGTGTAGTGGCTAGCATGTAGGGCTGCACACCCGGAGGTCCTGGGTTCGAGTCCCGGGTCGGCCAAGTTTAGTTATTGAGTCTTTCTGTATAGTAAGCCTTAGTAACATCTTGGAGTTGGGAAGATCGCGGTGTTTCACCCCCGTGCGTCGGACAGCACGTTAAGCCGTCGGTCGTGTGCTGCCTTGTTTGTATTTGATGAATACAAACTAAATGTTATTATCAAGGTTTTTACGAAGAATTTTTGTGAACCTTAATTGTAGTGGTTGTTGTTTGTTTGAAGATTTTTTGAGAAATTTTTTAGGGATAATCTCTGTAACTAAAAAACTACCCATGGATAACGTACACGCTTGGAAAACTAGAATGAAGTGAAAGATTTTAAGCCCCCGGGTCTTGTAGCTCTCAGATTTTCATCACTTAATATTGCAGGGAAGAAAAACATCTTAGCGAAACCTGTATATTTGAGAGAATTAAATTGTATCGAAAAGTGAGACGTTAGAATGGCTGAATTCCAATTATTTAATAAAATACCTAATTTTAGTACTCAAATCGCATATAATCGACGTAAAATGCGAGCGAAGCCACGTACGACAACTAGTGGAAAATATTTAAAGTAAATATAAAGCAAGCTTAAAAGCATGTTAAGTGACACTATCATAAAATGTGGACGACGAAGGCGTAGCGTTCTGTTGTTTTTGTTCGGGCTAGAAATAAAACTGCCCGTTAACGGCATGTGTGGACTGCGGCGACAAGAATATTGTGTTTCACTGCTAATTAGAATATGTATTTCCTTCTCATTAAAACGTCATGTGGAATCTTCTTAAGACAGTTTGATTCAAAAATAGCCAGCCAACATATTTTGCAATTTGGATATTAAAAAAAAGTACTTTCGACGTTTAGTATAGATTTCTCAAAGATGAGATATTTTCCTGCAGTAAAAAGTATTATAAATATTGACCTGGATAAGCTGCTATCATCATACCATTTTTCATCAAAATCCGTGTCCAGTGGTTTTGTCGTGATGTGTGCCCAGACAGACAGACAAAATTCTATAAACTATAGATTCGATCTCTGTATCGATAATAATGACTATTTCAATAAGATTTTCCAAAAAATATTTAATGTATAGATCGACTCAGTTAGAATTTTATTATATGTATAGATTATAAAAGCTTACATTTACAAAATTAATAGAATAGAAATAATAAGAAAAATACAAAATTAAATTAGAATTTGTATTTATATAAAGTATGTTCTTTGTCGATTATTAAACGAAGGAGATTCTTGAAAACAATTAAGAATCAGATGATGGCTAACATTCCTGTAGATATTAGATACTTACTTTTTATATTATCGTTAAATGATTAGCATTAACAAATGAGACTAACATATATCTATGAGACTTAGTTTGCAAAGAATTAAGTTACATCATTAGATTTTACACGAATAATCATATTTTGAAATAAAAACCATATTTTTGGCTTTAAACATAAAATTATGGAAGTAAAAAACATAATAAAGCCATTTTAAACAAAAATATATTTTCGGATTTTTATAATGCTTTCAAGCAATCATACTTACACTACGAATTCTGTACAGCCTTCAAAACATCGGGAACCAAAAATCAAAATAAATCCGCGAAATAATCCGAAAAGATAGTTTAATTTAAAACGTTAAATATTTGCGTAAATCTAAGAAAGTATAATATGTATATAGCCAAAGGACTCTGAATTGAAATGCAATATTTATATATGAGTAAGAGAAGCCAGGAGTCACTGCTAGTTTCATAATCGTTATTATAATATACTAGCATTGCCCGCGGCTCCGCCCGCGTTCAGATGACCAAAAACTAAATTCTTAGGTGTTACATATTAGTATACTCTTACATTGCAGTTTTTGTATTTTTCCTCAGAAATAAGATATTTTCCCGCGGTAAAAAGTATCCTAGGATCGCGCGCTACATCGCCCGGTTTATATAGCTTGAGCAGGCGGTCGAGCGATGCGGGGCAGAGGGGATGGACTCGCCGTAGGCATCTCAATGCTCGCCAAGCATTAAAAATGTTTCGCTACTAATTACTTCTAACAACGATATCTCAAAAACTATTCATCTGATTGATTTAGTGTAAAGAGCAATTTTAATCTGCATTAAATGACTAAGCTAACTAAAATATTCATTTGGATAAGGATTAATACCGAACTAAAGAAAATAACTTTGAAAATAACGTAATGTTTTTAATTAAAAATGTTAACATAAAAGTGGTTATTGTAAGTCAACCGTAAGAGATAGAGATATGCTATCGCGGACTTTTTTGTAGCATTTTTATAGATTTTGAATTCTCTAGTACATTACTTAACTGTATCTTTGCTAGTTTACGCGGCGTTCGCGTGGAAAGTTCCCATTTGGCGAGATTTTTTGCGACCTCTTCAACATTTGTCGCCGTATTTCAGCTAATTTACATAAAAGCATAATAAATTATATACCTAAACCTTCCTCAAGAATTACTCTTTCTATTGTTGAAAACCGTATAAAAATCCGTTCAGTAGTTTTCGAGTTTATCGCGTACAGACAGACAGGAGGACAGACAGGAGGACAGAAAGACGCGGCCGGGGGACTTATTTTTATAATAAGTATAGATGGTTCCATCAACTTCGGTCCATTCCAGCGAACATTCCATGTTGTTTATCTTTGCAGTAGCGAGTAGCCCATCTGCTCGTTTTCAACTTTTTGCTAAATGCTGACTTCCTGCTGCGTTAAAGCCGGTTATTTACTTACTAGCATATTTTTTCTCAGAAATGATATATTTTCCCGCGGTAAAAAGTATCCTATATGTTGACCCGGGTACCCAGCTATCATTATACCAAATTTCATCAAAATCTCCCCAGTGGTTTTCTCGTGATGCGGTAACAGACAGACAAAAATTCTAAAAACTATAGATTCGGACTCTGTATCCGATAATAATGTCTGTTTCAATTAAATTTTCCAAAAAATATTTAATGTACAGATTCGACTTAGTTACAATTTTATTATATGTATAGATTATACTTGTTACATTGTTTGGATTTTTCAAAGAAAACTGATGCTATCATTGAAAGTGCTGTAAACTGTCTCATATAAGGAAATTCATTAGAGAACATAAATTAATTAGCAAATAATATTATGCCTAGAATTTACCCAATTTGCAAACTTAGCTTTTCCAATAAAAAACTTGTTTTGTTTAATATACGTTGGAATATTAACACACAGCACCATCTAGTTCCATGATGAGCTACGAGGTTTGTGTTATGGATACCAGATAGTTGATACACTAAACGTATTCGTATATATAATTTTAAATACATACATACATATTATATTATTATTATATGTTTTGTTTAAACAATAACAAAAAGTTATAATTAACAAATTAAGTGAGATAAAAGCCAAAAGGGGAATATATATAATAGTACTAACTCGGCACTTTTTGTAACGTCCCACTGCTGGGCACACTGGGATCAGACCTTAGCCCACCAAATGGTCATGTGCAGGTGGGCGGGCTTTCGAAAACTTACTAGGTTCTTTCAAACAGCCAAGTTTCCTCACGATGTTTCTTTTCATAGTGAAGCAACTGTTAACCATGTCCACCCAATAAACATATACTAATTGTTACTTACACTTATTCACTAAACTTGCACCAGGAAGTTTTTCTATGCTCATTAAAATCCTTTTCATATATATATTTTTTGACAGGGACTTGTCGTTACGTGAGGGGTGCCTGGTCGGAATGTGACCCCAAAACTAACATACGCTCCCGAACTCTCACTTTGAAGAAAGGCGACCCAGGCAACTGCGAACGTGCTAAGACCATCCAGAAGAAATGCAAGAAAGGTAATATTTAACTATCTAAATGCGATAGTTTGTGTGTATGTATGTCTGTTTGTTACTCCTACAGACTGAAACGGTTCGGGCGAAAAGTTAAAAACATAATTAGACTTTAAGCTGTAGTAACATATAGGCCACTTTTAGGTACCTGGGGACACAACCGAGCGAACCGTGGGTAAATCAATAATAGTTTAATACTAAGTCGCTATTCTTATTATATAGTGTATGCAATTAGGGAGAGCAAAGGCAAAGCGAGGTAGGTTTGTTAGTAATTATTATAAATTGATAGAAAAATGTTTGAACAAGTGTGAGACGGATACATAGAATTGAGGGTGTCGTCCTACCATACGACATATTTTTAGATTTCACCAGCAAATGAATTATGATCTGATTTTGACAAGCACATTCACACAGCGATTTCTTATTATTTCTTATTTCATTTTAGAGTTTCAGTATTTATACAATAGAGCTGTTACTAAAATACACTTTCTTGTATAAGAAGCTTTGCTTATTTTTTTTAACTATAAAGAGACCCATCGTAATAACAAAAAATGTATGATAATTTCAATTATTATGATTCCAAAGATATAAAGTTGAAGAGCCTTTAAAAGACAAACGTTTTTTTAGGACAAACAGACAGACAAACAAGAAGTGTCGTACATAAAGAGGTTCTTTTCAACCCCTTTAGATACGGAAGCCTAGAATATCGCAGAAATTCCTCAGAATGTATACATTGCGGATTTTATTACATTTTAAAACATTTTTTTTATATTTAAGCTGTTTTTTTATATTACAAGTACATTATAATAAAAAAATATATAAATATACTTAATGATATAAAAAATATACAACACAAATGAACACTTAGTTATTACTGTACAAGTCATGTCTGCGCGGAACAGTGGCAAGAATGCAAGCCGCATTCCCCCACTGAATGGCAATTTTTTGGGCGAAAAACGAGCCAACTCTCCTGTCACCAATAGATGTGATAAGACGAAGTGTTATGTCTTTTAAAACTTGAATTCTTGATATGATAAGACGTTATGATTCAATTATATTAATTCCGTCTCTATTCAAAGTAGCCATCTTGAGCTCGATAGTGTACCTAAGGCGATACTATATTTACTTATTACCAACTTTGATTTGTGAAGATATGCTTTGTCAAACTTTGCGAATCTTTATCTTGCACACAATGACAACTCAAGGAAGGTTGTACAGAAGTTCGAAAGTTATTTGTATACATTTATGTATAATGTTACTTCCTGTCTCTTCTACAATATTTATAAAAAACTAGCGAATCACTCACGCGTCGCTCGGGTTTGTTCCAAGTAAAAATATAATATACTAGCGACTCACCCTCGCTCCGCTCGGGTTCGTCCCTGGGGTGGGGTCTGGGAGGACACCCTTATCCTTATCACTTAGGGGTATGGAAAATAGATAGTAGCCGATTCTCAGACCTACTGAATACGCATATAAAATTTGGTAAAAATCGGTAAATCCGTTTCGGAGGAGTACGGTAACAAACATTGTGACATGGAAATTTTATATATTAGATATCCCGTTTTAAATAGATAAGCATAGTTATTGTGTTTATATATAAATATTAGTAGAGATATATGTAGATAAAATATAAATCCATATCCATACTAATATTATAAATGTGAAAGTGTGTTTGTTTGTTTGTGTGTTTGTTTGGCTTTCTTTCACGTCGAAACAGAGTGACGGATTGGCGTGATTTTTGGTGTGAAGATAGTTAGAGTGCTGGAGAATGACATAGGCTACTTCTCTTCTACTCATTCCCACGGGAAACACGGTATAATACAATCTAAAAAATATTCTGATCAGAATTACTTGAAACTTGGTATTAATGCTCTTCGATACAAATAAATGCATGTTGTAGAATTTTTCGAAATTCATCCTATAAGGTGGTAAAATAGTACCTACCTTTTTAGAGATTTTTGAAAATTCGGGTAAAACTGAAAGTGATTTAAAAAAGTTTGTACAAAAGATCACATAAAATTCATTGTTGAGACAAGTCTGTCAGGTCAGCTAGCATTTTAATATTTTTAATGTAGAAAATGTTTCCAGAGGAATGGATGGACCATTCTGTGAAATAGATGTTTTTCATCTGTTTTTCTTTAGAAAGAAATATATTTGGACGTTAGCATCCCGTTAAGAAGATAACAGCGCGACAGCGAATGCTCGTTACAATGGCCGATAACAGGAAATGAAATTCTTGACATAAATTGGCTCTAAAATTCAGTAAACAAGTGACACTGAAGTAATTTGATGTGAATTGTGAATTTTGCTATTTAATTTTCATTTTTTTTTTTTTATTTTGATAATATCTTCGGAATTTGATGGAATTTTTTGTTATGGTTTTATTGAATGGTATACCTAAATGCATCTGCCCTCCGCTAGTTAAGTTAACAAAAATATTATTTTAGTCCTTCTGAGTTCAGTTCTTCTCAAGTCTGAGGCTTCTTCTCTCCGAACTGATAGTAGACTCATGATGTTCAATAAAAATTGTACCTAATAATTTAAATAATTTAAGGTACCTAATAAATTATTTGTTACTCCAGGTCTAAATTATCTATCTATACTAAATTTCATCAAAATCCGTCTAGCCGTTTTGATTTGAAGGAGTAAGAAACATAAACATACATACAAACTTTCGCATTTATAATAGTAATTTATACATATAATAAAATTCTAAGAAAGTGAGTCGCTAGTCAAATCTAAGAAAGTATCTTTATTTTAAATCTAAAAGAAATTAAAAACTAATGTTTATTTCTAATTTATTATTTTTCAAAACCTGTTTGAACAGCTTGCCGTTATGAGAAGTCGTCCTGGAGCGAGTGCAGCCCTAACGGAGAGATGTCCCGGACGGACATGTTGAAAGCCAATAGTGACCCCACTTGTGACCAAAGCAGGCGCATCACTAAAAAGTGCAACAAGAACAAACAAGTCAAATCCACTAAAGATAAGGGTGAGCGTTTGGTATGGTTGTGATACTAGAAGTGTTGTAACACTTTTGTGATAGCTAGTTTAGGTTGTAGGTATATACACCCTTACATATGCACGTATGTATGTATACACATACTCACATACATTATTTTCAGAAACTTTCATTCTTTTTTTAGTTTAAAAAGCTTTGTTAAATATGTTAAAATTAGTAACGTAATAGGTGTTTTATTAACGAACTTCAATAAGATTTTAATTTTTTTCTATACATTCGAGTATTTTAAGCGATAACACTGCAGATGCAATTTTGTATAATTTTTTCTACTACTGAATGGTAAAATTATACTAATTTTAAGATGAAAAATATACTTATATGGATTTTTTTTAATATTATTTTGATATTTTTTTAATAACACGTTCCCATTTGTTACAGGTCGCCGAAATCGTCAGTAAATATTCAAATGAATTTCTTTTTAGAGAAATAAAATTTTCATTGTAAAATTATTGTACGTTCATTGGATTGTCTGTTCTTATTTATGTAATAGTGCCAAATAGGATCAAAATTTTTGCATACATTATTAGTATTAATATTTGATAGCATTACAAGTACAGTCATCTCCAAGTACTAGATACAATTTGTTTATTATTATTAATAATAAGTCAAATCTTTGATATTAATAAATGAGTACTTAAAATGATGTTTTATTTCCCCTTTTCCTCTTCGAAGTTAAATATATTAAAATTGCTTCAATTTTTAATCATTTTTAAGTTTTTGAAGTGAAAACTTCTATAGGCTGGAGAGTAAATTCATATAAGTCGTCATCGACATGGTCACATGACGTGTTAACGCTAACACTCAGAGTGCCGATTGATGTCGAAACCAGAAAAATGTAAACAGTTTTAATTTACACATTTTAATTTAAGATCAAACGATTAATTTGAATATCCAAACAAAACAACTGCTTGTTTGTAGTTTTAAGGGTTCACTTTTGTCAGCAGTCCTCATGACTGGTTCTTTTACTATAAAATGTATTTATCTGTCTGTACTATCACAGTCGACTTTGTATGAAGCTACAGGAGTGACAGAATTGTATATATAATATAATAAGCTTAGGTAACAACTATAACAAAAGTATTACAAAAGAAATGAAATCTTTCATTTATAGTTAATTTTAGAGATTAAAACATTTTTTCTCAAATACATATAGTGTCAAGTAAATAAAGAGAGAGAAATTATAGTGTATTAGCAGTACCCACGGCTTGGGCTAATCTGAATATCTCATCAAAATCGATCCAGCTGTTTTGGAGTTCATAGGGAACATACTCTCACTACTCAAACATAGGGAACTCTCGCTATCCCTTTTACTCTCAAAGTACAGTGAAACGACAATTCGACACTCGCGATGAGCAGGTGCAGGATCGATGCGACAATGCAAATGGCGGTGAAACCCCAAACTTCACAATTTCTTGACAGAAAAACTCATTAACTACACTTAAGCCGGACTCAGGACTCGAACCCAGGACTTCTGGATCTGCAGTCGTAGGTATATACTAGCCAATAGACAAACCAAAATATTAAATTTAATTTATAGAACAAATACTAAATATATTATAAATAATATAGGACAGTAATATTTTTCAGAAAAATCTAAATCATTAAAGTGTCTTAATTAACTAATCCTCTTCGTTTATATTTTACTTTTTTTGAATATTTTCGTCTGTTTGTCTGCTTGTCCGCTTTAAAGGTATTAATTTTTTCATTACTTAATTTTTTTTATTAAAATTATAAAGCAAAATATAATAAAGCCAATATACGCTCTTTAAAAGCTATTTATATGTATATTTTCAAATTTCTTGCAAATTTTTATTTTTTTGCATTATAAGGATAGTTGTCTCATTATATATACCTATAATATTATTATTATTGAATATCTATAATTACATATCATAATTTACAAATAAATATTTTTTATATAAATTTAGTTTTATTTTAATTAAATATTATATTATTTCTTGTGATTAAAATTCAAATTCATCCTTTTCTTTGGAAGAAAATAATAAATTACTTAAAAAACAATATTATACAAAAATAAAACACACATTAAATAGCTATCATATTTATATTGTATTGTAAAAATTGCTTAAGTCTAAGCATTTGCTTGGAATAAAAATATGCACCTATATTTACGTCTCCCAACAAACAAATGCCTCGAACTTTTAATTTAATATAAATAAATAAATAATTTTAAACCTAAAATATCGTAATCACGACATATAGTCTATCCGCGTACTATGACATATATCACAGGTGGGCAGAGTCGGGGTGTAAAGTTATGCATTTTAACCAACTTTAAAAAATGCGTGTGATGATTAAGAAATGCTTTAGTTAGGTAATTAAGAACCCCGCACTGCTATTGGTCATATGGCGTTATAACCTGACTTATAACAATTGGTATAGGTAGTTGTTAACTTTAGTAACGTTAGGTAACTTTGGTAACTAGCAAATTTTGTGATACCCAAACCAATTTTAATACTAATTTCAGTGTGGTAACACTAGGTAACATTACAATCTAATATTTGGCAAGGGTAAGTCAGGTAACGTAACTATTTGAATAGTTGTTTCGCGTAATGCCATATTCTGAAGAAGTATTCGTCTCGTCTGAGAAGGGATCCTCGAGCATACGACTCGATGTCGGCGTCCATGTTGTGGTCGCGCAGCCATGATGTAGTTGTTTGACTGAAGGAAGTTGGTTCTGTAACCTCTGTTTGTTCACCTGGCTCTTCATCCGCATGCGAATCTGTGGAGAGTTGTGAGAAGTTAGTACAAATTAGTCTATACATATAATAAAATTCTAAGTCAAATCTGTGTACGTATTAAATATTTTTTGAATCTTATTGAAGTAATCATTATTATCGATACAGAGGCCGAATCTATAGTTTTTAGAATTTTTGTTTGTCTGTTTGTTTGTCTGTGACTTAGATTAAATTTGATATGATGATAGCTGGTTATCCGGGTAACATATAGGATACTTTTTACTGCGGGAAAATATGTCATCTCTGAGAAATTTATGCTAAACGTTAAAACGTAAGTGGGGAGGAACCCGAGGGTGAGTAGCTAGTATGAAATATAAATTAAATTATAGGTAAATATCACAGTATCTGGTATCAAAGCATATAGATGCCATATTTAAGTATAACATATAATATACCTATTATCTATACATATAATAAAAGTATAACTGATCACTGTCTGTACATGGAAGATATTTGAGAAAGACTATTATTGGGGAGTCTTTATTAAAGTAATAGAACCCAAAACAATGATTTTTAAGACTTCTGTCTGTTTGTCTGTCCGTTTGTACGCTTTAATCTCAGAAAGGGATTTAGCGTAGTTTTCACTAATGTATTGTGGTAAGCTTCATTTTAGATTTAGTACTTGTTTTGTTTCTAAAATAAAAAAGTTATGTCAATTTAAAGAATCACCTAATAACAAACTCGAGCGAAGAAGCAAGGGTGAGTCACTAGTTATATGTATATACTAGCTGACCCGACAGACGTTGTCCTGTCTACACGTCTTTAATTTGAAAATTTCAAACTTTTTTTAATAAGCTAAAACATTCTGGACCATTTTGATGAAAATTATTATTCAAATTGTGAATCTAAACCATTCTCAGATCCCCTTGAACACACACAAAAAATTTCATCAAAATCGGTCCAGTCGTTTGAGAGAAGTTCAGTGACATACACACTCACAGAAGAATTATATATATACAGATTTAATGTACATTTTTCATTTAAGTAAACATTTAATAACCACAGTTACACAAAATGATTTTATAGGTGAAGAATTTTAACCTTGGCCACATACAGGCTGTTTAAATTATGTTGTTATTTAACCATAAGGTAGAATATAGTATTCAGACCCTTTTAACGTCTCACTGCTGTGGGTGGGCCTCCCTTCAATACGAGGGGGATCAGGCCATAGCCCACCACGCTGGCCAAGTGCGGGTTGGCGGATAGATTGGAATAGACGTATTCGTAATAAATTACGATTTAATAAATTTGTTTACTCATTTAAATAACATAAATAAATAAAAAAATATTGTAAAAAAACTTAAAAAGTAGGTTAAGTGAATTCAATCATCAATAATTTATACTACAAATTAATTAAAAACAATTCAAGTTTAATAAAATCAGGTTAGATTTAATTATCAATAGAAATTTATTGAACGACCACTGCAGTTTATAATTCAGTAATTTTTCATTAAATAATTACTTGCCTATTTAATTGTATTAATCGTTTCAATGCCTGTTATACTCTTATGATTACGCTGAATAGAAATAATCTATACATAATAATAATAATAAAATTATAAGTCGAATCTGTACGTTAATTTTTTGGAAAATCTTATTAAAATAATCATTATTATTATCGATATAGAAGTCGTATCTATAGTTTTTAGATTTTTTGTCTGTTTGTCTGTCTGTGACCGCATCACGGAAAAACCACTGGAGGGATTTTAATGAAATTTGGTATAATGATAAGTGGTCTACATATAAATCAATCTTAAAAAGTAAAAAACAAACTTTAGTTTGTAAGCAGATAATAAGTTGACGAAAGAACATAGTATTATGCAGTCGGAGACACTTACATATCATTACAATGATGAATTACACATTATATATCAATATTAAAAAATAATATTCTAGTACTTTTAGTATCTACTAGCGACTTAACGCCGCTTCGCTCGAGTACGTCCGCGGATTTGGTTCGCAATTTTTTTAGTTTTAATTTATTGCGCGGAACTCTAATCCTTTTTCTTAAATAAAAGTAGCCTAAGTTTCTCCTTATTATATCAGCTATCTGCCAGTAAAAGTGCCGTCAAAATCAGTCCAGCCGTTTCGGAGATTAGCCGGAACAAACATACAGACAGACAGACGGCAACGCACACGCAGGTCGCTACCTCTTAAAACGATAAATAGTGAAAAAATATTTACAAATGGATGATAATAAATTCTGTTTTAAATAAATTTCATTACAATTCAGAGTCTTTTGATTGGCTATATGTTATACTTTCTTAGATTTACGCGAATATTTGACGTTTTAAATAAAACTATTTTTTCGGATTATTTCGCGTCAAGTTAAAGTCAAGACTAAACAAATATTGTAAGGTACTTTGATGCCATTTTTGATTTTTTTTAAATTCATTTTGTTATTTTGTGGGTTAGTCTATCTGCAACAATTATATAATACCTTTGAAACGTCTAAAACCTTAGTCTCTCCCGTTACTATGATTGCTGTAAAGCATTCGAAATGTCGTGAACCAAAAATCTAAATAAATCCGCGAAAAAATCCCAAAACATATTATATCCTATTAAAATAAAATAAAAATTCATTGAAATGAGACCTAAATTAAAAGAAAACTCACCTTCACCAGGTATAACTTTGAACGGTTCGACAGATTCCAAAGGCTCGCTCAATCCTATCTCGTTTCTTGCGTATATCCTTATCATATATGTATGATTTTCGCTTAAATCCTTGATGTGGAACTTCAGATCATCCACTTTACCAACTTCCATCCACATTGTCTTGGTGACATCACGGATAGCGATGTTATATCCCAAAAGGGGAGCACCCCCATCCCATTCGGGGGTTCCCCATGAAGTTAGAACTATGTTGCCGATTGTACGGATTTCTAATGGTCCAGTTGGTGGTGATGGTACAGCTGGAAAATATATGAAATTTGAAATATAACCAAAATGTTTTTTTTTTAATTAGAAAGTGTTATTTTTTTGGTAATAAAGTTTTTTTAATAATAAAATTATTTCATTTATTTAATACCTTCATATTACTTTTATTAATAAAATTGAAACCGATCATAGTTTATGGAATTGATATTTAGTGACACTTTCAAGTGAAGTTTTACTAATAATAGTCACTCATACGTAAAAAAATAAATAACATAGTGCACGGAAGTGAAAAAGCCAAGTTACTTACTTGCATGCTTTGCTAATTTAATAGATTCCGTCTGCGCTGGCAAACTGACACCTATAGCGTTTTCTGCAGATACTCTGAATACCAACTCATCTTTCTCCTTTATATTTTCCACGCAATGTTCGTAAACTGATCCTGTTACTGTAATGACCTTGGACCATTTTTTACCTTTCACCGTCTTGTATTCGATTATGTAATCTAAAAATTAAAGTTAAAATATTAAGACAGTAAGTTCGAGAGATATTATATGGGAAACTAGTAAATAACATGAAATTCTGTTAAAATAAATGGTGATTAAAAATGTTAAAACATACTGAAATCAATAATATATGAAATTAAATAATTTTTTTGTCAGGCTTAACGAAACTTTTAACTTTTCTTAACTTATGGATAACAGATAGTTGATACACTACACATATAACTTTAAATACATACATATTATAAATATACAGTCATGGGTGTTTACATTAATTTGTGCTTATCACACAAATGAATGCCCCCCAGCGGGATTCGAACTCACAAACGTTGGCATAGCAAGTAGGGTCACTACAGACTGAGCCAAACGTGTCGTACTTACTTGTTATAACACTGCCGCCGTCACTTTCCGGGGCCGCCCATTGCAAAGTAACTGATCGGGAGGTCATTTCCTTGACAATAAACCTTTGAGGTCTTGATGGTGGTGCTATAATTAAATTAATTAATCGTATTATATGCCATAACACTACAAATTAATATTAAGTTCATGGAAAAAAGAAAGATTGTATAAAGGTCGCTTTATCCAGATAAAATTGGATAAAAAAATGTGGAAGATGGAAATGTGTAATTCTTAATTGTTAGATATATTTATTTATTTATTCTATTTTACTTAGGTCAGTACTAAAGTTTTTGGTTTATGTAGAAATACTTAGCTGAGCTAGTTTACTAGACAATCTTACAAATAAAAAAAAACATCTGCTTTCATCTAAAGATTTTAGAGTTTATGAGTAACAAGACAACACTTACACAAAGTCTTGCCAATGGTGATCTTCTCTTCGGACGTGTACGGCAAGCTAGTACCTATTTCGTTCCTCGCGTAAATCCTAAACTGATAAGTGACATTTGTTGATAACTTGGCTATTTTCGCTTCCGTGTCCGTTACAGTCGCTACATGCTTCCATTTCTTGCCATCTTGTTTTATTTCAACGGAGTAATCCAAAATGGCGGACCCACCGTTCTTCTCTGATGGGTACCAGACTATAATAACTGATGTATTGTCTATGCCATAGAACCTTAAAGGCCCCAATGGTGGCGATGGCACGTCTGAAAAGTTTATATTTTTTTAATATCAATATGTTATATTAATTTTAAAAAGAGCTTCTTGTGAGTTTTTCGTCTGGTCTATTTAAAACTTTTTAGAACTGCCTTCCGAGTTTGAGTTTGAGTTTATTTTTAAATTAAGTGTAAGTTCATGCGCAACATACCGGATATTGCTTTTGGACTTATACTTAATTTAAAAAAAAAGTGAAATTGACGATTCAAAAGTGCTTGTAAAATTTAGGTTTATATTTTATTTAGAATCAAAAATAGCAATTTGATCTAGAATTAAATATTAATTTAATTATTATATGGCCTAAGTTCTATTCACTACGTCATGTGTGTTTCATGGACCCTTGACAGGTACATAGATAGATGTTTTAAGACAGCAAAACTAAATAAGTCCGTATAATAATTCTTTGATCAACAGTATGTTCCATTGGCACAGGATAAAATGAGACACTAAACTAACAAAAACACTTTCACATTTACGATATTTATAAAAATATACTAGCAGAACCCACGGCTACGCCCGCATTCAATCTACAAAAAAACTCTTTGGCTTTATGTTATACAGCTATGGTATATATGTAATATTGTTCATACAAAAATAGTGATTAAAAAATACTTTACGACCTATTCTCATACCTACCAAATACACAAAAAACATATATTAAAATCGGTCGAGCCGTTTTGGAAGAGTGTGACCACAAACACTGTGACACGAGATATTTATATATTATATATATCTTACCTAGTGCATTCTTGATGACAATGGGTTCACTCTCTAAAGCGTCAGACACTCCCACGGGATTTTGGGCAAAAATTCTAAACATATATTCACAATTTTCATTCAACTTTTGAATGCAGTACGATTCAATATCTTTGTTAACTTCCGCTACTTTGACCCATTGATCTACTTCCGGTTCATGTTTCTCTATGGCGTATTTGATGAGATCCAAACCACCATCGTCTTTAGGCGGTTTCCATTCTATTGTAATTGATTCGCGGCTAATTTCCCGCAATACTACCGGTCCCTCAGGTTTGCTTGGTTTGTCTAAAAAGTAATTTTATAATAATATATTATATTATAGATTTTATAATATGTAAAGATAGTATACTCCATTAATTTTATATTTCATTTTGTCTTCCAAGTAGGTTGTATTTATTAAAATACTAATTTAATGTAAACAGTTTAGTTGTATGTCAAGTTAATATATTTTAAAAACAGAAACATTTAGATCAATAAATTTTTAAATGTCGTTTTATAATATCATTTTTCTTATGAACTTATACGTCGAATTGATCATTAAAATTTCAACGTGTTGCCGAAATTTTAATGTTATAATAATAATTAATAACAAATTAACAATACAATAAAAAGCTATAATTACATTATATAAAATAAAATATTACCTGAAATTTTAAAGAAACGTCATAAGGTCATAAGAAAAAAATTATTGTAAATATATATTAAACTATGTATAGACAATACAAAAATAACAAAAAAAAAATAACTTTAAAATGTCAAATAAAAAAAACTTACCATAGACCCTAAGCACCGTTTCAACTGATGTAGAACCGGCTTTGTTAACGGCCTCAATCGAATATTTGGCTGAATGAGACCTATTGAGATTCCTTATTCTTATAATACTAGAACTTTCTACAGTTGTTATTTCAATATCTTCCCTTACTTCAATTTTAGAACCATTTCTGTACCAAGTAACATCAGGTCTTGGTATACCATCTATAATGGCATTCACCACCCATTCATCACCAACTGTGTGCTTCTGATCAATTTCTTCATCAGATATAGTTATTGTTGGCTTTTCCCTAATTTCAACGGTACATGAAGTATCTATTTCACCGTATTCATTTGTCGCCATACACTTGTAATGACCTTCGGTATTTTTCGTCACTGTTACTATTAAAGAGGCTACTCTATTTATGTACGTGGCTTTGGCTGTTTTCAACAATTTCCCATTTCTGTACCACATCACTTTTGGCTCAGGAATGCCGCCAAAAATGCAACTTAGTTCTATATCCTCGTTAAGTGGACCTACTATATCTTCCAAAGCCTTTTCTACTGTAGGTGGTTGGTTTTTGGCTGGTTTCTCAATTTTAACGTATTGAGTAATTTCTGAAGACTCGCTAACACCTATTTCGTTAACCGCAAAAACTCTGAACCGATATGAGGATTTCGTTCTGAGATTTTCAATGCAACACTGCGTCTTCTTTACATTTTCTATTGATATCCATCTGTAATGCGCATTTAAATGATTAATGGCTGTTTCTATATACATATATACTAATATTATAAAGAGGTAAAATTGTGTTTGTGAGTTTGTAGGGGGGTATCTCTGGATCTACTGAACCGATTTAGATGAAACGAATTTAGTAAGAAGATAGTTTGAGACCCTGGGAAGGACATAGGATACTTTTTATGCCGGAAATCATCCCTTAAGGGGGTGAAAATGGGGGTGAAAGTTTGTACAAGGAAGCAACCTAGGGACGAACCCGAGCGAAGCTAGGATGAGTCGCTAGTAATTGAAATAACATTGGAAGAAGAGAAGAAAATGGCATAAGGTAGAGAAAAAAGTCTACAATACAGTAAATAACAAGATAAATAATAATAGAAATTAACTAATCACAGTAAAAATGTACTCACTCAGTAGTATTTTCCTCTTGGTATTCTACAATGTAGCTTTGGATTTCAGAGAAACCTTTGTATTCGGGTTCAGTCCAGAACACGTTGACTGATGTTTCATCTACGAATGGAATATTTGGCTTTCCAGGTGGCGAGGGAATATCTAAAATAAGTTAAGTAAAATTATTTATAAAGTATTAAAATCTTTATATTTGCCATCTAACTCTAAATTTTGTTTTAAACTGATTGGGATATATGTATGTCTATATATATAATAAAATTCTAACCGAGTCGAATATACACATCAAATATTTTTTGGAAAATCCTATTGAAATAGTCATTATTATAGAGAATCTACAGTTTATAGAATTTTTATCTGTCTGTCTATCTGGGAACGCATCACGAGAAAACCACTGGACAGATTTTGATAAAATTTAGTATGATGATAGCTGGTTTTCCAGGACAACATATAGGATACTTTTTACTGCAGGAAAATATCTCATTATTGAGGAATCTATACTAACCGCTAAAACATAAAATTATATTATAAATATTCATAAAATTATATTATAGACAGATAAAATATACAAACACGAGTAACTCACCTAAGACTATAACTTCAATATCAACTTCTATATATCCACAGTTATTTTCCAATCTCAATTTGTATACACCTGCATCGCTGCTTTCAGTCTTCTTTATGGTTAAGCTAGCTGACATAGAGTCTATGATCGGTTTTGTATGTTTAGATTTCTTGATTATCTTTGAATTGACGACCCATTCATCGTTCGGTTGAGGATTTGCATCGTATTGAACGTACAACTTCACATCGCCACCTTTCTTCACTCTATAGATCTTTTCATAGTCAATTATCTTTGGTGGAAACTCTACGACTGAAATTGTAAAAGGTTTTGTATTAAGATACGTATGTATTTCTAATACTAAGAGATGGTTTTTAAATTAAAAAACTAGTATGTGTTTTATTTTATTATTAATTTATATAATATATAATAACTAAGCATTATTTTAATGATTTATTTATAATACAATATAAATCTATACAAGTATTTTTATTGATGGAAATGTGTGGAATTAAGATATATTCGGGCTATCTGTAATGCTATGTTTATTAATATAACTTCGATATTTAAAAGAGAAACAGTTAAGTTTCTCGCCGGCTCTTCTCAGTAGAACTGCATTCCGAGCCGGTGGCAGATTCCTAACGGACTTACGCTCTAAATACTCTAAATTGACTTTATCTAAATTTACGATTCAAAAGTGCTTGTAATAAGTCTATTTGAATAAAGTTTCACTCCATTTCAATATTTATACAAAAGAAATTTATATAATAAATGCAAAAAAAAAGATACTACTCACCTTCCACTTTCAATCTGGTGGTACATCTCGTGTCTAACAACTGACACGAATATTCACACTGATCGTCTTCCGTACACTTTCTGATGATGAGAGTTCGTTTGTTCCCATCAGATATAAGCGTGAATTTTTCAGAATCATCCAAAACAGTCTTTCGTCGGTACCAAGTAACATTTAGATCTTCACTTGGTATTTCTACTGTAAGGTAAGCGTCTGTGTTCGTAGGAACGACAAGAACTTCAGGCAATCTTAAAGTAAAATCTATAGACGGTTCTTCAACTATAAGTCTTGCTGTGCATTTGTCATTGCCAGCTTCACACGCGTATACACCTTCATCGCTTGTTTCACAATCATATATCTTCAACTTCTGCTTCTTACCATCGATTGTTAATTGCATGTGATTAGACAGTTGTATTTCAGAGCCATCCTTTAGCCATCTTACTAAGGCATCGCCTTTAGTGAGCTCGATTTCAAATGTCGCCTTATTTCCTCTATTAACCTTTTGATCTTTGAGCCTCTTGATGATTTCTGGTGGTAATTCCACAACAGTCACTTCTGCTGTACACGAATCGTCGCGTAACTTGCACGTGTATTCACCTTCATCGTGAACTGATGTATTACGAATAAATAGCTTCCTAACATTTCCACGTTTTTCTAATTCATATTTGTTCTTCTTCGGTTTGATCGGTTCACCATCATGTTCCCAAATAACGTCTGCAGTTTCTGAATTGATTTCCACTTCCAATATCGCGATATCTCGTTCTTTGACTTCGAAATCTTGTAATTTCCTAATAAACTCTGGCACTGTTTCGTTTACAATCAGTTCTGTGCTTGTTTCTTGATCTTTAACCACACATTTTATTGCTCCTTTGTCCGTCAGCTTTGATTTCTTAATTCTCAGTTTGTGAATGCGACTTTCTTGTATAATTTCTCTGTGGTCCATTCCGCTTAGTTCTTTACCATTGTGATACCACTTCGTTGAAACAGTATGGGATGTTTCACATTCTAATATGACCGTTTTACCTTCTTCTGTAACGTAACGGTTTTTAAGGTTTTTAACGAATGTAACTTTGTCTACGTCGATAGTGACTCTCGCACCGTGAGAGGCTTTTCCTGCGGAATTTGCTGCGACGCATTTGTAATCACCCGAATCGATTTCGGAATCAACATTTGTTATAATTAATTCTATGTTCTCTCCGTCGAATTTCTGGGTGATCGTTTCGCTCGGTTTGAGAATCTGGTTGTTACGATACCAAGTTATTATAGGTACAGGATTGCCCGTAACCTTAGCGTTTAGTTTGATAGTGCCATTTTCTTTAACTGTCAATTCTTGGAATCGATTTATGAACAGCGGTGGTTCTGCGTTTTCTTCTGTAGGTTCTGAAAAAAAAAACATTTAAAAAATAATATACCTATACTTTAAATAACATAAAAAATCATCAAGTGACTAATGAATAAAATAGTGTACCTTCAATAGTTATCACAGCACTTGTCTCCGCAGTTCCCTCTGAATTGGTTGCCTTTAGAGTGTAAACTCCATCATCTTTTCCTTTCTTGGGCTTGATTATTGTTATCGAGTGGACATTGCCGTCTGATTTTTGTGAAGGTGCTTTAACTGGTTTGTTGTTTTTGTACCACGTAACCTTCGGCTCTGGTGTTCCTACTACCTGTGTGGTTAGAACAAAACTTTCCCCTTCTCTTATAATCATGCTCTTCAGCGGCTCTATTACCTGAGGCTTTTCTTTATCGCCGGTTCTGATTTTCAAAACAATGGGTAAACTCGCTTCACCCTCTCTATTAACAGCTAAAACTGTATACGTGCCTTCTTGGAACTTTTTGACATTCGATATTTTAAGGACGCTACAATACATGTGCATGTCGGACTCAGTTACAATGGAAATATTATCATTTGGCATAATCTCTTCTCCTTTGAAGAACCATGCAATGTCAGGTTCCGGAATGGCAACCAATCTGCATTCTAGGAATATTTCTGAGCCTTCATCAACGTATTGCGCCTTTGGGCGTTTAGAGAAAGTTGGTGGTATACCCTCTAGTATATCAGCTAAGGATGACTCCCTAGATAGACTTTTTCTTGACAAAACTGTCATTTCTGAGCCATGATCAGATAGAGGAGCTTCTACAATCAGTTCTGTTGTGCTAGACGCAAAGCCGGCTGCGTTTTTGGCAACACAAGTGAACGTTCCAGCGTCTTCGGGGAACACTTCCCTAATCACAAGCGTGGCAACGTTATCATCATCATAATACATTTGAAAATCTTGTGAGGGTTTAATTATGGCTGTTTGCCTGAACCAAGTTATTTGTGGCCTTGGATATCCTTCAACTTGGCACTCAAACTGTACTGTGGAGCCATCTGGTGTATGTTTTGGGCGCAGTTTTTCAACGAATATAGGAGCGATCGCTTGTTCTTCAGATGTTGGTTCTAAAAGCAGAAAAACAGTTATTTTCCAGAAACTAACAAACTTTCGCCTGTACCAAACTATTAAATATATAGCAAATCTATATATTTAATAGTTTGGTACAGGCGAAATCTGCACAATAGATAATACAGCATTATCTATAAGCATATCTGTTGGCCGATTTAGGAGAGTTGGAGCTTCAGAAGAAATACGATTTACGATAAGAAGAAGGGATAATTTGGTAGGTGACATTTTCCTCTACCAGAAATTTACCTACTGGGCAATCAGCTCAGTGCGGATTAAATTGCAATATATAGTAAGAATTCTTATTTATATGTATTTGAGGAGTGAGCTTTCTTCATTGAACAATAGTTTAAGGTAGTGTGTAAGTGTAGGTAATAACCTATTATACTATAAAAATACATAATTCTTACCATTGGTCAATGCTAACATATAACGGTATGATATATTTATTTTTTCTAAATTAAATAATTTAAAAATAAGTGTAGAACAAAAATAATACAAAATTAAAAATAACAATAAATCTTACTTTCAAATACGGGAAGTTTATCAATTTTCTCATTCAATTTCTTCTGCAGGTACAGGGTATAATTAGCTTCGTCCATGAGATATTGCGCTGGGACCCAACCTTTCTCCTCAGTAAGATGCTTGCGAACAAACCACCAGTCTTGATTGGTTGTATCTATAAATATGAAATTTCTTTGTGAGTATATCCACAAAAATATTACTATTATATTACACATCGGGCTACTCGTACAAAATATGCGCGTGTGTGTGTGTGTTTGTTATTGCTTCACGCTAAAGCGGCTGGACGGATTTGTACAGTAAACAGATAGACCTGGACTTCCTGAACTAACACACGCCTCCAAAAGAAATAGTAAAATAGAAAGTGAAAAGAAAATATTTAAAACTATTTCAGTTTACAGATTGGATTGCAATACGAATAGTTATGAAGTTTCCCAAAGTACGTGCCTAGAATGTAGAGCCGTTCGCCTTCGACGAGACTAATAGCTTCGTCGGTTTCCGCAACGTACGAGTAAACCGCAAATACTGTGTCTCCACACCGTACATCAACAGGAGTTTCTGTAAGTAAGCATAAAAATATGAAGATTTTTTTTATTAATATAGTTAATTTACTTATATAATATATTACATTTTTTCTAGTTAAGCCACCCAGTGATTATATTTTTTTCTTTATTAAAAATGGCACGCCGATAAAGCAACTCAACGGCTATTTTTTTTCCGATTATATTAAGGTTATTATAATTTCTGTCATTAAGCACTTTTTTAGCGGAATAAAATAGCCTATGGCAATCAACATTCATTTACCAGTAGCTTCCTATTAATGAACAAACTAAGAATCGAATCAGTAAATTCAGAGTTTACCTCTACATAAAAACCCGCACACTTTATTTACCTCTATTAAACTCTACCTCTATTAAGTGTAGAAGTGAAGAATAGAAGTGAAGTTTCCAATTTTTTTTATAAATATATTTTATAGAAAAATATTTTTATTTGTAGAAAATTCGCAAAATTGACGATTGTATGAATTGATTACATTTTATTATTATTAATTAAATATTGAATGTATTTGGTAGTAGGATAGTACCTGGAAATTCTTGTTCCTTTGCAATACTCATAGTAGCTTCAGCCTCTGAAAATAATTATTTATTTATTACCAGAAGGTAATGTGAGAAAATACTTAAATTAAAGCCATTAGACGTAGCATGTGAAAAAATATTTTTACCTTGAACTTTCACTGGCTTCTTGGGCTTTCTCTTAGCTGATATAGTGAGTTCGTCTTCTTCGAATGTTTGACTCATTATTCTCTTTGGTTTGAATTCCACACTGAGTTCTTCTACTTCACTCACCTCATATGTTGGTTTCTTAGGTTTTCTTTTAATCACCATTTGAATATTTTCCTCAGATTCTGCCTCACTTATAATTACTTCCTCTGCTTGGCTGTCATCTTCTATTTCTTTCTCCAAGCGGATTGAAGTTTCATCTGCTTCTTCAGATACTGTTATTTTTTTCTTATGGGCAAGCTTTATATTACTAGAAAGAGATAAATCTTCCTGTTTGAATTCTTCTGTTTGCTGTTTTATATCGAATGAAATTTCTTGATTATCTATAACGTACTCGGTTTTTTTGCCTAATTCAAATGTTACATCTTCTATAAATTCTGTTTCCTTTTCTGAAGTCTTAGGTTTCGACATAACAACATTAGATATTATATCTTCAGTGCTATCAACTATTATTCTCTTTGGTTTTTTGAGTGGCATTATTATATTGGTATTTTCGTCCTTTTCTTCATAATTTTCAATTATTTCCACTATATCTTCACCTTCTTTCTCTTCATAGACCTTTATAGACGTCTCATCTGCTTCTTCATTAAAGGTAGGCGTTCTTTGGGGTTTTAATTTAACTTTACTGGACATCGATATCTGCTCCTCTTGGTATGAATCTAGGTGTATATTAAATTCTTGCTCCACGTCTTCCTTAGTAGTAACAGATTTAGGTCTAAAGGTAACTTCTTCTGGTTCAGTTATTTCTGGCAGGGTTACTGAGGACTTCCGGACAGGTTTTAACTTCTTTTTTATAGTCACTTCATCAACTATTTCTTCGGTCTTTTTTACACTTGGCCGTCGAGGTTTGATAGTGAAATGCTCAGGTTCTTCTTCTTTTTCTTTTGGCTCATCATTTATATCTTCGATTACGTTTGTTTGTTCTTTATAAGTTTCGCTTTCAGATGGTTTCTGTGCGGCATCTTCGTTTATTATTATTTCTTTATCAGGTAATTTTGTTACAGTTTCTACTATATCTTCGTGGGTGAACATAGGTTTCTCTAATTCCGTTTTCTGTAAATCAGGTAGTTGTGGTTGTTTTAAGACCTTCTTCTTAATCTTTGTTGCTTCTTTTATGTTTCGAGAAAGAATTCCATTTTGTCGAACGCATCCCAAAAACGTAACATTAGGTTTTATAATTTCTGGTGGCCAGTCTGTTATAAACTTAATACGACTTTTGAGTTGTATTTTTGGTACTTTTACAACTGAATCTTCTTGTTTTGTTTTTATCACTGCTTTCTTTAATTTTAAGTTTTTGAATACTGGTTCATCAGAACTTTCTGCGAACTGAGGCTTATTTTCTTCTATAACCTTTTCTTCAATAGACAAAGGCTTTAATTTTAGCTTTTTCTTGATCGTGGTAGGTGTAGTTGACTCTTCGTTACTAAGTATACTTACGACAGGCTTAATATGTTTTTCGTTTTCAGTAATCTCAGGTTGTGCTTCAGAGTCTATTGGTTTTTCAGGAATATTCTCTACAAATTCCTTTTCTTTTACATAGTTTAAGTCTTCGGGTTCTTCTAACTCAACCTTTTCTATTTCTGGAAGCTTAGGTATTTTTAAAGGTTTCTTTTTAATTTTTGCCGCTTCTTTCAAATTTCGGGATAATTCGCCATTTTGCTTAACACTACCCAAGTATGAAATAACTGGCTTAACGTCTTTTGGAGGCCAATCTGTAACGAACTTAATGCGACTTTTAAGCTGAATTTTAGGCAATTTGGAGACGGTTGGTTCTTGTTTAGGTTTGATTGTTGATTTCTTAAGCTTAAGATTTACAAATTGAGGTTGAACAATGTCTTCTGGATATTGTGCTTCATTTATTTCCAACGTGCCACGTTCTATCTTCTGCGGTTTCAAAGTTACTTTATTTTTAAGATTTTTAGGTTTCTCCTGAGGTTTTTCTATGGCTTCTGTAATTATTTGTTTCGGTAATTCTTTAACAGCTTCTTCAGTTATCTTGAGAGATGTCAATGTATCTGTAAATAAAAAAAAAATCACTACAAAGTGACTTTTTTTAAGCAATTATTTTTAAGCACGTTTATATATTTTTATTACAATAAAAAGTATCTTTAATCAAATTATATAAGAAAAAAAACATATTTTAATATATATGTTTATACAGCACAACTTATCCAGTTTTTGTTTATTCACGATATTTTAGAATAACAGAGTTAAGCCACAGTCCGAAAAAAGTTATACATTTCACAAAACGTTTCTATAAATATATCAAATGCAACGTAATTGAATATGTGTAATATTCTGTTTCAGAAATAACATGACAATAACCAACTCATTCTAACGAATAGAGTTAAAGATATAACCATTTCATTTTTATTGTCGAAACGATGAAAAAGAACAAGGATGAAGATGTAAACGCATAGATATAAACAAAATTTAACGAGGTTTCTAGTATAACATCACCCATCTCCACTTCACATTTTATATTTCTATTACAATTTCTTGATGTTCACATTCACGTTCATCTGTAATATTATAATATGAGGAAACTTGGAATTAATGATTTTATTACTTGTATGCTGAATTTTTTTCAATACTTGAGAACATTCGTCTTCTGTTTGTTATGTTCACGCGTAATTTGTAAGTGCCCCAAAAGTGTATTTTTATGAGATGCGTACTGAGATAACACAGATTTTTTCATTAATTTGTTTGTAATACTTACCGTTTATGATCTTCTCTTCCAGCACCTGATCGTGTTTCATAACTTTCCCTTTTTCAGGAGCTTTCGAAATAACTTGAGCCCTATCTGGTTTGTGTAAGTCATCGAGTGGTGTGAGTGTGTCGTCAGTTAATTCGTGTGTTGTGTGTACTGTGACGACAGGTGCTTTGTCGTCTTCTTGTTCAGTGGTGATGTGTGTGGTTTCAACGTATGGACCTACTTTCTTTTTGATGATGCGTTTAGTTATTTTCTTATGCTTTGGCTTACCCTCAGGCGTCTCCACTTCTTCCACGACGGTCTCCTCGGGAAGCTCGATGATTTCAATCGGCTTTGTTTCTTCCTCCGGCACCTTGTCCTCTACTATGGACACGGTTGTAACTGGCGCTTCGCCTTCTTTCTCGACTGTAGTTATTTCTGTAACTTCCTGTTTTGGCCCTTGTTTCTTTCGAATGACGCGTTCTGTGGTCTTTACTTTCTGGGTCTCGCCAGTTTCCGTTCGCACATCCGTAACTTTCACTTTTTCCGGAGCTTCCTCAATCACTTGAGCCCTATCTGGTTTGTGTAAGTCATCGAGTGGCGTGAGTGTGTCGTCAGTGAATTCGTGTGTTGTGTGTACTGTGACGACAGGTGCTTTGTCGTCTTCTTGTTCAGTGGTGATGTGTGTGGTTTCAACGTTTGGACCTACCTTCTTTTTGATGATGCGTTTAGTTATTTTCTTATGCTTTGGCTTACCCTCAGGCGTCTCCACTTCTTCCACGACGGTCTCCTCGGGAAGCTCGACGATTTCAATCGGCTTTGTTTCTTCCTCCGGCACCTTGTCCTCTACTATGGACACGGTTGTAACTGGCGCTTCGCCTTCTTTCTCGACTGTAGTTATTTCTGTAACTTCCTGTTTTGGACCTTGTTTCTTTCGAATTACGCGTTTTGTGGTCTTTACTTTCTGGGTCTCGCCAGTTTCCGTTCGCACTTCCGTAACTTTCACTTCTTCCGGAGCTTCCTCAATCAATTCAGCCCTATCTGGTTTGTGTAAGTCATCGAGTGGTGTGAGTGTGTCGTCAGTGAATTCGTGTGTTGTGTGTACTGTGACGACAGGTGCTTTGTCGTCTTCTTGTTCAGTGGTGATGTGTGTGGTTTCAACGTTTGGACCTACCTTCTTTTTGATGATGCGTTTAGTTATTTTCTTATGCTTTGGCTTACCCTCAGGCGTCTCCACTTCTTCCACGACGGTCTCCTCGGGAAGCTCGACGATTTCAATCGGCTTTGTTTCTTCCTCCGGCACCTTGTCCTCTACTATGGACACGGTTGTAACTGGCGCTTCGCCTTCTTTCTCGACTGTAGTTATTTCTGTAACTTCCTGTTTTGGACCTTGTTTCTTTCGAATGACGCGTTTTGTGGTCTTAACTTTCTGGGTCTCGCCTGTTTCCGTTCGCACTTCCGTAACTTTCACTTTTTCCGGAGCTTCCTCAATCACTTGAGCCCTATCTGGTTTGTGTAAGTCATCGAGTGGTGTGAGTGTGTCGTCAGTGAATTCGTGTGTTGTGTGTACTGTGACGACAGGTGCTTTGTCGTCTTCTTGTTCAGTGGTGATGTGTGTGGTTTCAACGTTTGGACCTACCTTCTTTTTGATGATGCGTTTAGTTATTTTCTTATGCTTTGGCTTACCCTCAGGCGTCTCCACTTCTTCCACGACGGTCTCCTCGGGAAGCTCGACGATTTCAATCGGCTTTGTTTCTTCCTCCGGCACCTTGTCCTCTACTATGGACACGGTTGTAACTGGCGCTTCGCCTTCTTTCTCGACTGTAGTTATTTCTGTAACTTCCTGTTTTGGACCTTGTTTCTTTCGAATGACGCGTTTTGTGGTCTTAACTTTCTGGGTCTCGCCTGTTTCCGTTCGCACTTCCGTAACTTTCACTTTTTCCGGAGCTTCCTCAATCACTTGAGCCCTATCTGGTTTGTGTAAGTCATCGAGTGGTGTGAGTGTGTCGTCAGTGAATTCGTGTGTTGTGTGTACTGTGACGACAGGTGCTTTGTCGTCTTCTTGTTCAGTGGTGATGTGTGTGGTTTCAACGTTTGGACCTACCTTCTTTTTGATGATGCGTTTAGTTATTTTCTTATGCTTTGGCTTACCCTCAGGCGTCTCCACTTCTTCCACGACGGTCTCCTCGGGAAGCTCGACGATTTCAATCGGCTTTGTTTCTTCCTCCGGCACCTTGTCCTCTACTATGGACACGGTTGTAACTGGCGCTTCGCCTTCTTTCTCGACTGTAGTTATTTCTGTAACTTCCTGTTTTGGACCTTGTTTCTTTCGAATGACGCGTTTTGTGGTCTTAACTTTCTGGGTCTCGCCTGTTTCCGTTCGCACTTCCGTAACTTTCACTTTTTCCGGAGCTTCCTCAATCACTTGAGCCCTATCTGGTTTGTGTAAGTCATCGAGTGGTGTGAGTGTGTCGTCAGTGAATTCGTGTGTTGTGTGTACTGTGACGACAGGTGCTTTGTCGTCTTCTTGTTCAGTGGTGATGTGTGTGGTTTCAACGTTTGGACCTACCTTCTTTTTGATGATGCGTTTAGTTATTTTCTTATGCTTTGGCTTACCCTCAGGCGTCTCCACTTCTTCCACGACGGTCTCCTCGGGAAGCTCGATGATTTCAATCGGCTTTGTTTCTTCCTCCGGCACCTTGTCCTCTACTATGGACACGGTTGTAACTGGCGCTTCGCCTTCTTTCTCGACTGTAGTTATTTCTGTAACTTCCTGTTTTGGACCTTGTTTCTTTCGAATGACGCGTTTTGTGGTCTTTACTTTCTGGGTCTTGCCAGTTTCCGTTCGCACATCCGTAACTTTCACTTCTTCCGGAGCTTCCTCAATCACTTGAGCCCTATCTGGTTTGTGTAAGTCATCGAGTGGTGTGAGTGTGTCGTCAGTGAATTCGTGTGTTGTGTGTACTGTGACGACAGGTGCTTTGTCGTCTTCTTGTTCAGTGGTGATGTGTGTGGTTTCAACGTTTGGACCTACCTTCTTTTTGATGATGCGTTTAGTTATTTTCTTATGCTTTGGCTTACCCTCAGGCGTCTCCACTTCTTCCACGACGGTCTCCTCGGGAAGCTCGACGATTTCAATCGGCTTTGTTTCTTCCTCCGGCACCTTGTCCTCTACTATGGACACGGTTGTAACTGGCGCTTCGCCTTCTTTCTCGACTGTAGTTATTTCTGTAACTTCCTGTTTTGGACCTTGTTTCTTTCGAATTACGCGTTTTGTGGTCTTTACTTTCTGGGTCTCGCCAGTTTCCGTTCGCACTTCCGTAACTTTCACTTTTTCCGGAGCTTCCTCAATCACTTGAGCCCTATCTGGTTTGTGTAAGTCATCGAGTGGTGTGAGTGTGTCGTCAGTGAATTCGTGTGTTGTGTGTACTGTGACGACAGGTGCTTTGTCGTCTTCTTGTTCAGTGGTGATGTGTGTGGTTTCAACGTTTGGACCTACCTTCTTTTTGATGATGCGTTTAGTTATTTTCTTATGCTTTGGCTTACCCTCAGGCGTCTCCACTTCTTCCACGACGGTCTCCTCGGGAAGCTCGACGATTTCAATCGGCTTTGTTTCTTCCTCCGGCACCTTGTCCTCTACTATGGACACGGTTGTAACTGGCGCTTCGCCTTCTTTCTCGACTGTAGTTATTTCTGTAACTTCCTGTTTTGGACCTTGTTTCTTTCGAATGACGCGTTTTGTGGTCTTTACTTTCTGGGTCTCGCCGGTTTCCGTTCGCACTTCCGTAACTTTCACTTCTTCCGGAGCTTCCTCAATCACTTGAGCCCTATCTGGTTTGTGTAAGTCATCGAGTGGTGTGAGTGTGTCGTCAGTGAATTCGTGTGTTGTGTGTACTGTGACGACAGGTGCTTTGTCGTCTTCTTGTTCAGTGGTGATGTGTGTGGTTTCAACGTTTGGACCTACCTTCTTTTTGATGAAGCGTTTAGTTATTTTCTTATGCTTTGGCTTACCCTCAGGCGTCTCCACTTCTTCCACGACGGTCTCCTCGGGAAGCTCGACGATTTCAATCGGCTTTGTTTCTTCCTCCGGCACCTTGTCCTCTACTATGGACACGGTTGTAACTGGCGCTTCGCCTTCTTTCTCGACTGTAGTTATTTCTGTAACTTCCTGTTTTGGACCTTGTTTCTTTCGAATGACGCGTTTTGTGGTCTTTACTTTCTGGGTCTCACCGGTTTCCGTTCGCACTTCCGTAACTTTCACTTTTTCCGGAGCTTCCTCAATCACTTGAGCCCTATCTGGTTTGTGTAAGTCATCGAGTGGTGTGAGTGTGTCGTCAGTGAATTCGTGTGTTGTGTGTACTGTGACGACAGGTGCTTTGTCGTCTTCTTGTTCAGTGGTGATGTGTGTGGTTTCAACGTTTGGACCTACCTTCTTTTTGATGATGCGTTTAGTTATTTTCTTATGCTTTGGCTTACCCTCAGGCGTCTCCACTTCTTCCACGACGGTCTCCTCGGGAAGCTCGACGATTTCAATCGGCTTTGTTTCTTCCTCCGGCACCTTGTCCTCTACTATGGACACGGTTGTAACTGGCGCTTCGCCTTCTTCTCTCGACTGTAGTTATTTCTGTAACTTCCTGTTTTGGACCTTGTTTCTTTCGAATGACGCGTTTTGTGGTCTTTACTTTCTGGGTCTCGCCGGTTTCCGTTCGCACTTCCGTAACTTTCACTTCTTCCGGAGCTTCCTCAATCACTTGAGCCCTATCTGGTTTGTGTAAGTCATCGAGTGGTGTGAGTGTCTCGTCAGTGAATTCGTGTGTTGTGTGTACTGTGACGACAGGTGCTTTGTCGTCTTCTTGTTCAGTGGTGATGTGTGTGGTTTCAACGTTTGGACCTACCTTCTTTTTGATGATGCGTTTAGTGATTTTCTTATGCTTTGGCTTACCCTCAGGCGTCTCCACTTCTTCCACGACGGTCTCCTCGGGAAGCTCGACGATTTCAATCGGCTTTGTTTCTTCCTCCGGCACCTTGTCCTCTACTATGGACACGGTTGTAACTGGCGCTTCGCCTTCTTTCTCGACTGTAGTTATTTCTGTAACTTCCTGTTTTGGACCTTGTTTCTTTCGAATGACGCGTTTTGTGGTCTTTACTTTCTGGGTCTCGCCGGTTTCCGTTCGCACTTCTGTAACCTTCACTTCTTCCGGAGCTTCCTCAATCACTTGAGCCCTATCTGGTTTGTGTAAGTCGTCGATTGGTGTGAGTGTCTCGTCAGTGAACTCTTGTGTGGTGTGCACTGTGACGACAGGTACTTTGTCGTCTTCTTGTTCAGTGGTGATGTGTGTGGTTTCAACGTTTGGACCTACCTTCTTTTTGATGATGCGTTTAGTTATTTTCTTATGCTTTGGCTTACCCTCAGGCGTCTCCATTTCTTCCACGACGGTCACCTCGGGAAGCTCGACGATTTCAATCGGTTTTTTATCTTCCTCCGGCGCCTTATCTTCCACTACGGAAACTGTTGTAACTGGCGCTTCGCCTTCTTTCTCTACTGTAGTTATTTCTGTAATTTCCTGTTTTGGACCTTGTTTCTTTCGAATGACGCGTTTTGTGGTCTTTACTTTCTGGGTCTCGCCGGTTTCCGTTCGCACTTCTGTAACTTTCACTTCTTCCGGAGCTTCCTCAATCACTTGAGCCCTATCTGGTTTGTGTAAGTCGTCGAGTGGTGTGAGTGTCTCGTCAGTGAACTCTTGTGTGGTGTGCACTGTGACGACAGGTGCTTTGTCGTCTTCTTGTTCAGTGGTGATGTGTGTGGTTTCAACGTTTTGACCTACCTTCTTTTTGATGATGCGTTTAGTTATTTTCTTATTCTTTGGCTTACCCTCAGGCGTCTCCACTTCTTCCACGACGGTCTCCTCGGGAAGTTCGACGATTTCAATCGGTTTTTTATCTTCCTCCGGCGCCTTATCTTCCACTACGGAAACTGTTGTAACTGGCGCTTCGCCTTCTTTCTCGACTGTAGTTATTTCTGTAACTTCCTGTTTTGGACCTTGTTTCTTTCGAATGACGCGTTTTGTGGTCTTTACTTTCTGGGTCTCGCCGGTTTCCGTCCGTGCACTTCTTCCGGAGCTTCCTCAATCACTTGAGCCCTATCTGGTTTGTGTAAGTCGTCGAGTGGTGTGAGTGTCTCGTCAGTGAATTCGTGTGTTGTGTGTACTGTGACGACAGGTGCTTTGTCGTCTTCTTGTTCAGTGGTGATGTGTGTGGTTTCAACGTTTGGACCTACCTTCTTTTTGATGATGCGTTTAGTGATTTTCTTATGCTTTGGCTTACTCAGGTCCTCCTCCACGACGTTTCAATCGGCTTTTCTTCCTCCGGCACCTTGTCCTCTACTATGGACACGGTTGTAACTGGCGCTTCGCCTTCTTTCTCGACTGTAGTTATTTCTGTAACTTCCTGTTTTGGACCTTGTTTCTTTCGAATGACGCGTTTTGTGGTCTTTACTTTCTGGGTCTCGCCAGTTTCCGTTCGCACATCCGTAACTTTCACTTCTTCCGGAGCTTCCTCAATCACTTGAGCCCTATCTGGTTTGTGTAAGTCATCGAGTGGTGTGAGTGTGTCGTCAGTGAATTCGTGTGTTGTGTGTACTGTGACGACAGGTGCTTTGTCGTCTTCTTGTTCAGTGGTGATGTGTGTGGTTTCAACGTTTGGACCTACCTTCTTTTTGATGATGCGTTTAGTTATTTTCTTATGCTTTGGCTTACCCTCAGGCGTCTCCACTTCTTCCACGACGGTCTCCTCGGGAAGCTCGACGATTTCAATCGGCTTTGTTTCTTCCTCCGGCACCTTGTCCTCTACTATGGACACGGTTGTAACTGGCGCTTCGCCTTCTTTCTCGACTGTAGTTATTTCTGTAACTTCCTGTTTTGGACCTTGTTTCTTTCGAATGACGCGTTTTGTGGTCTTTACTTTCTGGGTCTCGCCAGTTTCCGTTCGCACATCCGTAACTTTCACTTCTTCCGGAGCTTCCTCAATCACTTGAGCCCTATCTGGTTTGTGTAAGTCATCGAGTGGTGTGAGTGTTTCGTCAGTGAATTCGTGTGTTGTATGTACTGTGACGACAGGTGCTTTGTCGTCTTCTTGTTCAGTGGTGATGTGAGTGGTTTCAATTTTTGGACCTACCTTCTTTTTGATGATGCGTTTAGTTATTTTCTTATGCTTTGGCTTACCCTCAGGCGTCTCCACTTCTTCCACGACGGTCTCCTCGGGAAGCTCGACGATTTCAATCGGCTTTGTTTCTTCCTCCGGCACCTTGTCCTCTACTATGGACACGGTTGTAACTGGCGCTTCGCCTTCTTTCTCGACTGTAGTTATTTCTGTAACTTCCTGTTTTGGACCTTGTTTCTTTCGAATTACGCGTTTTGTGGTCTTTACTTTCTGGGTCTCGCCAGTTTCCGTTCGCACTTCCGTAACTTTCACTTCTTCCGGAGCTTCCTCAATCAATTGAGCCCTATCTGGTTTGTGTAAGTCGTCGAGTGGTGTGAGTGTCTCGTCAGTGAATTCGTGTGTTGTGTGCACTGTGACGACAGGTGCTTTGTCGTCTTCTTGTTCAGTGGTGATGTGTGTGGTTTTTTGGACCTACCTTCTTTTTGATGATGCGTTTAGTTATTTTCTTATGCTTTGGCTTACCCTCAGGCGTCTCCACTTCTTCCACGACGGTCTCCTCGGGAAGCTCGACGATTTCAATCGGCTTTGTTTCTTCCTCCGGCATCTTGTCCTCTACTATGGACACGGTTGTAACTGGCGCTTCGCCTTCTTTCTCGACTGTAGTTATTTCTGTAACTTCTGTTTTGGACCTTTCTGTAACTTCCTGTTTTGGACCTTGTTTCTTTCGAATGACGCGTTTTGTGGTCTTTACTTTTTGGGTCTCACCGGTTTCCGTGCGCACTTCCGTGACTTTTACCTCTTCCGGAGCTTCCTCAATCACTTGAGCCCTATCTGGTTTGTGTAAGTCGTCGAGTGGTGTGAGTGTCTCGTCAGTGAACTCTTGTGTGGTGTGTACTGTGACGACAGGTGCTTTGTCGTCTTCTTGTTCAGTGATGATTTGTGTTGTTTCGACTTTTGGACCTACCTTCTTTTTGATGATGCGTTTAGTTATTTTCTTATGCTTTGGCTTACCCTCTGGTGTTTCCCCTTCTTCCACGACGGTCTCCTCGGGAAGCTCGATGATTTCAATCGGCTTTGTCTCTTCCTTCGGCGCCTTGTCCTCTACTATAGACACGGTTGTAACTGGCGCTTCGCCGTCTTTCTCGACTGTAGTTATTTCTGTAACATCCTGTTTTGGACCTTGTTTCTTTCGAATTACGCGTTTTGTGGTCTTTACTTTCTGGGTTTCGCCGGTTTCCGTTCGCACTTCCGTGACTTTTACCTCTTCCGGAGCTTCCTCAATCACTTGAGCCCTATCTGGTTTGTGTAAGTCGTCGAGTGGTGTGAGTGTCTCGTCAGTGAATTCGTGTGTTGTGTGTACTGTGACGACAGGTGCTTTGTCGTCTTCTTGTTCAGTGGTGATGTGTGTAGTTTCAACGTTTGGACCTACCTTCTTTTTGAGGATGCGTTTAGTTATTTTCTTATGCTTTGGCTTACCCTCAGGCGTCTCCATTTCTTCCACGACGGTCACCTCGGGAAGCTCGACGATTTCAATCGGTTTTTTATCTTCTTCCTGCGCCTTATCTTCCACTACGGAAACTGTTGTAACTGGCGCTTCACCTTCTTTCTCTACTGTAGTTATTTCTGTAACTTCCTGTTTTGGACCTTGTTTCTTTCGAATGACGCGTTTTGTGGTCTTTACTTTCTGGGTCTCGCCGGTTACCGTTCGCACTTCTGTAACCTTCACTTCTTCCGGAGCTTCCTCAATCAATTGAGCCCTATCTGGTTTGTGTAAGTCGTCGAGTGGTGTGAGTGTCTCGTCAGTGAACTCTTGTGTGGTGTGCACTGTGACGACAGGTGCTTTGTCGTCTTCTTGTTCAGTGGTGATTTGTGTAGTTTCGACTTTTGGACCTACCTTCTTTTTGATGATGCGTTTAGTTATTTTCTTATGCTTTGGCTTACCCTCTGGTGTTTCCCCTTCTTCCACGACGGTCTCCTCGGGAAGCTCGATGATTTCAATCGGCTTTGTCTCTTCCTCCGGCGCCTTGTCCTCTACTATAGACACTGTTGTAACTGGCGCTTCGCCGTCTTTCTCGACTGTAGTTATTTCTGTAACTTCCTGTTTTGGACCTTGTTTCTTTCGAATGACGCGTTTTGTGGTCTTTACTTTCTGGGTCTCGCCGGTTTCCGTTAGCACTTCCGTGACTTTCACCTCTTCCGGAGCTTCCTCAATCACTTGAGCCCTATCTGGTTTGTGTAAGTCGTCGAGTGGTGTGAGTGTCTCGTCAGTGAATTCGTGTGTTGTGTGTACTGTGACGACAGGTGCTTTGTCGTCTTCTTGTTCAGTGGTGATGTGTGTGGTTTCAACGTTTGGACCTACCTTCTTTTTGATGATGCGTTTAGTTATTTTCTTATGCTTTGGCTTACCCTCAGGCGTCTCCACTTCTTCCACGACGGTCTCCTCGGGAAGCTCGACGATTTCAATCGGTTTTTTATCTTCCTCCGGCGCCTTATCTTCCACTACGGAAACTGTTGTAACTGGCGCTTCGCCTTCTTTCTCTACTGTAGTTATTTCTGTAACTTCCTGTTTTGGACCTTGTTTCTTTCGAATGACGCGTTTTGTGGTCTTTACTTTCTGGGTCTCGCCGGTTTCCGTTAGCACTTCCGTGACTTTTACCTCTTCCGGAGCTTCCTCAATCACTTGAGCCCTATCTGGTTTGTGTAAGTCGTCGAGTGGTGTGAGTGTCTCGTCAGTGAATTCGTGTGTTGTGTGTACTGTGACGACAGGTGCTTTGTCGTCTTCTTGTTCAGTGGTGATGTGTGTGGTTTCAACGTTTGGACCTACCTTCTTTTTGATGATGCGTTTAGTTATTTTCTTATGCTTTGGCTTACCCTCAGGCGTCTCCATTTCTTCCACGACGGTCACCTCGGGAAGCTCGACGATTTCAATCGGTTTTTTATCTTCCTCCGGCGCCTTATCTTCCACTACGGAAACTGTTGTAACTGGCGCTTCGCCTTCTTTCTCTACTGTAGTTATTTCTGTAACTTCCTGTTTTGGACCTTGTTTCTTTCGAATGACGCGTTTTGTGGTCTTTACTTTCTGGGTCTCGCCGGTTTCCGTTCGCACTTCTGTAACCTTCACTTCTTCCGGAGCTTCCTCAATCACTTGAGCCCTATCTGGTTTGTGTAAGTCGTCGAGTGGTGTGAGTGTCTCGTCAGTGAACTCTTGTGTGGTGTGTACTGTGACGACAGGTGCTTTGTCGTCTTCTTGTTCAGTGGTGATGTGTGTGGTTTCAACGTTTGGACCTACCTTCTTTTTGATGATGCGTTTAGTTATTTTCTTATGCTTTGGCTTACCCTCAGGCGTCTCCACTTCTTCCACGACGGTCTCCTCGGGAAGTTCGACGATTTCAATCGGTTTTTTATCTTCCTCCGGCGCCTTATCTTCCACTACGGAAACAATTGTAACTGGCGCTTCGCCTTCTTTCTCGACTGTAGTTATTTCTGTAACTTCCTGTTTTGGACCTTGTTTCTTTCGAATGACGCGTTTTGTGGTCTTTACTTTCTGGGTCTCGCCGGTTTCCGTTCGCACTTCTGTAACCTTCACTTCTTCCGGAGCATCTTCAATCACTTGAGCCCTATCTGGTTTGTGTAAGTCGTCGAGTGGTGTGAGTGTCTCGTCAGTGAACTCTTGTGTGGTGTGCACTGTGACGACAGGTGCTTTGTCGTCTTCTTGTTCAGTGGTGATGTGTGTAGTTTCAACGTTTGGACCTACCTTCTTTTTGATGATGCGTTTAGTTATTTTCTTATGCTTTGGCTTACCCTCAGGCGTCTCCACTTCTTCCACGACGGTCTCCTCGGGAAGCTCGATGATTTCAATCGGTTTCGTCTCTTCCTCCGGCGCCTTCTCCTCTACTATAGACACGGTTGTAACTGGCGCTTCGCCGTCTTTCTCGACTGTAGTTATTTCTGTAACTTCCTGTTTTGGACCTTGTTTCTTTCGAATGACGCGTTTTGTGGTTTTTACTTTCTGGGTTTCGCCAGTTTCCGTACGCACTTCCGTAACTTTCACTTCTTCCGGAGCTTCCTCAATCACTTGAGCCGTATCTGGTTTGTGTGAGTCGTGGAGTGGTGTGAGTGTCTCGTCAGTGAACTCTTGTGTTGTGTGCACTGTGACGACAGGTGCTTTGTCGTCTTCTTGTTCAGTGGTGATTTGTGTAGTTTCGACTTTTGGACCTACCTTCTTTTTGATGATGCGTTTAGTTATTTTCTTATGCTTTGGCTTACCCTCTGGTGTTTCCCCTTCTTCCACGACGGTCTCCTCGGGAAGCTCGATGATTTCAATCGGCTTTGTTTCTTCCTCCGGCGCCTTGTCCTCTACTATAGACACGGTTGTAACTGGCGCTTCGCCGTCTTTCTCGACTGTAGTTATTTCTGTAACTTCCTGTTTTGGACCTTGTTTCTTTCGAATGACGCGTTTTGTGGTCTTTACTTTTTGGGTCCTACCGGTTTCCGTGCGCACTTCCGTGACTTTTACCTCTTCCGGAGCTTCCTCAATCACTTGAGCCCTATCTGGTTTGTGTAAGTCGTCGAGTGGTGTGAGTGTCTCGTCAGTGAACTCTTGTGTGGTGTGCACTGTGACGACAGGTGCTTTGTCGTCTTCTTGTTCAGTGGTGATTTGTGTTGTTTCGACTTTTGGACCTACCTTCTTTTTAATGATGCGTTTAGTTATTTTCTTATGCTTTGGCTTACCCTCAGGCGTCTCCACTTCTTCCACGACGGTCTCCTCGGGAAGCTCGATGATTTCAATCGGTTTCGTCTCTTCCTCCGGCGCCTTCTCCTCTACTATAGACACGGTTGTAACTGGCGCTTCGCCGTCTTTCTCGACTGTAGTTATTTCTGTAACTTCCTGTTTTGGGCCTTGTTTCTTTCGGATGACGCGTTTTGTGGTCTTTACCTTCTGGGTCTCGCCAGTTTCCGTTCGCACTTCTGTAACTTTCACTTCTTCCGGAGCTTCCTCAATCACATAAGCCTTATCTGGTTTTTGTATGTCATCGAGTGGTGTAAGTGTCTCGTCAATTAACTCTTGTGAGGTGTGCACTGTGACGACAGGTGCTTTGTCGTCTTCTTGTTCAGTGGTGATTTGTGTAGTTTCGACTTTTGGACCTACCTTCTTTTTGATGATGCGTTTAGTTATTTTCTTATGCTTTGGCTTACCCTCAGGTGTTTCCCCTTGTTCCACAACGGTCTCTTCAGGAAGCTCGACAATTTCAATCGGCTTTGTCTCTTCCTCCGGCGCCTTTTCCTCTACTATAGACACGGTTGTAACTGGCGCTTCGCCGTCTTTCTCGACTGTAGTTATTTCCGTAACTTCCTGTTTTGTACCTTGTTTCTTTCGAATGACGCGTTTTGTGGTCTTTACTTTCTGGGTCTCGCCGGTTTCCGTTCGCACTTCCGTGACTTTCACCTCTTCCGGAGCTTCCTCAATCACTTGAGCCCTATCTGGTTTGTGTAAGTCGTCGAGTGGTGTGAGTGTCTCGTCAGTGAACTCTTGTGTGGTGTGCACTGTGACGACAGGTGCTTTGTCGTCTTCTTGTTCAGTGGTTATTTGTGTAGTTTCGACTTTTGGACCTACCTTCTTTTTGATGATGCGTTTAGTTATTTTCTTATGCTTTGGCTTACCCTCTGGTGTTTCCCCTTCTTCCACAACGGTCTCCTCGGGAAGCTCGACGATTTCAATTGGTTTTTTATCTTTCTCCGGCGCCTTATCTTCCACTACGGAAACTGTTGTAACTGGCGCTTCGCCTTCTTTCTCTACTGTAGTTATTTCTGTAACTTCCTGTTTTGGACCTTGTTTCTTTCGAATGACGCGTTTTGTGGTCTTTACTTTCTGGGTCTCGCCGGTTTCCGTTCGCACTTCTGTAACCTTCACTTCTTCCGGAGCTTCCTCAATCACTTGAGCCCTATCTGGTTTGTGTAAGTCGTCGAGTGGTGTGAGTGTCTCGTCAGTGAACTCTTGTGTGGTGTGCACTGTGACGACAGGTGCTTTGTCGTCTTCTTGTTCAGTGGTGATTTGTGTTGTTTCGACTTTTGGACCTACCTTCTTTTTAATGATGCGTTTAGTTATTTTCTTATGCTTTGGCTTACCCTCAGGCGTCTCCACTTCTTCCACGACGGTCTCCTCGGGAAGCTCGATGATTTCAATCGGTTTCGTCTCTTCCTCCGGCGCCTTCTCCTCTACTATAGACACGGTTGTAACTGGCGCTTCGCCGTCTTTCTCGACTGTAGTTATTTCTGTAACTTCCTGTTTTGGGCCTTGTTTCTTTCGGATGACGCGTTTTGTGGTCTTTACCTTCTGGGTCTCGCCAGTTTCCGTTCGCACTTCTGTAACTTTCACTTCTTCCGGAGCTTCCTCAATCACATAAGCCTTATCTGGTTTTTGTATGTCATCGAGTGGTGTAAGTGTCTCGTCAATTAACTCTTGTGAGGTGTGCACTGTGACGACAGGTGCTTTGTCGTCTTCTTGTTCAGTGGTGATTTGTGTAGTTTCGACTTTTGGACCTACCTTCTTTTTGATGATGCGTTTAGTTATTTTCTTATGCTTTGGCTTACCCTCAGGTGTTTCCCCTTGTTCCACAACGGTCTCTTCAGGAAGCTCGACAATTTCAATCGGCTTTGTCTCTTCCTCCGGCGCCTTTTCCTCTACTATAGACACGGTTGTAACTGGCGCTTCGCCGTCTTTCTCGACTGTAGTTATTTCCGTAACTTCCTGTTTTGTACCTTGTTTCTTTCGAATGACGCGTTTTGTGGTCTTTACTTTCTGGGTCTCGCCGGTTTCCGTTCGCACTTCCGTGACTTTCACCTCTTCCGGAGCTTCCTCAATCACTTGAGCCCTATCTGGTTTGTGTAAGTCGTCGAGTGGTGTGAGTGTCTCGTCAGTGAACTCTTGTGTGGTGTGCACTGTGACGACAGGTGCTTTGTCGTCTTCTTGTTCAGTGGTTATTTGTGTAGTTTCGACTTTTGGACCTACCTTCTTTTTGATGATGCGTTTAGTTATTTTCTTATGCTTTGGCTTACCCTCTGGTGTTTCCCCTTCTTCCACAACGGTCTCCTCGGGAAGCTCGACGATTTCAATTGGTTTTTTATCTTCCTCCGGCGCCTTATCTTCCACTACGGAAACTGTTGTAACTGGCGCTTCGCCTTCTTTCTCTACTGTAGTTATTTCTGTAACTTCCTGTTTTGGACCTTGTTTCTTTCGAATGACGCGTTTTGTGGTCTTTACTTTCTGGGTCTCGCCGGTTTCCGTTCGCACTTCTGTAACCTTCACTTCTTCCGGAGCTTCCTCAATCACTTGAGCCCTATCTGGTTTGTGTAAGTCGTCGAGTGGTGTGAAAGTCTCGTCAGTGAACTCTTGTGTGGTGTGCACTGTGACGACAGGTGCTTTGTCGTCTTCTTGTTCAGTGGTGATGTGTGTAGTTTCAACGTTTGGACCTACCTTCTTTTTGATGATGCGTTTAGTTATTTTCTTATGCTTTGGCTTACCCTCAGGCGTCTCCACTTCTTCCACGACGGTCTCCTCGGGAAGTTCGACGATTTCAATCGGTTTTTTATCTTCCTCCGGCGCCTTATCTTCCACTACGGAAACAGTTGTAACTGGCGCTTCGCCTTCTTTCTCTACTGTAGTTATTTCTGTAACTTCCTGTTTTGGACCTTGTTTCTTTCGAATGACGCGTTTTGTGGTCTTTACTTTCTGGGTCTCGCCAGTTTCCGTTCGCACTTCTGTAACCTTCACTTCTTCCGGAGCTTCCTCAATCACTTGAGCCCTATCTGGTTTGTGTAAGTCATCGAGTGGTGTAAGTGTCTCGTCAATTAACTCTTGTGAGGTGTGCACTGTGACGACAGGTGCTTTGTCGTCTTCTTGTTCAGTGGTGATTTGTGTAGTTTCGACTTTTGGACCTACCTTCTTTTTGATGATGCGTTTAGTTATTTTCTTATGCTTTGGCTTACCCTCAGGTGTTTCCTCTTGTTCCACAACGGTCTCTTCAGGAAGCTCGACAATTTCAATCGGCTTTGTCTCTTCCTCCGGCGCCTTTTCCTCTACTATAGACACGGTTGTAACTGGCGCTTCGCCGTCTTTCTCGACTGTAGTTATTTCCGTAACTTCCTGTTTTGTACCTTGTTTCTTTCGAATGACGCGTTTTGTGGTCTTTACTTTCTGGGTCTCGCCGGTTTCCGTTCGCACTTCCGTGACTTTCACCTCTTCCGGAGCTTCCTCAATCACTTGAGCCCTATCTGGTTTGTGTAAGTCGTCGAGTGGTGTGAGTGTCTCGTCAGTGAATTCGTGTGTTGTGTGCACTGTGACGACAGGTGCTTTGTCGTCTTCTTGTTCAGTGGTGATGTGTGTGGTTTCAACGTTTGGACCTACCTTCTTTTTGATGATGCGTTTAGTCATTTTCTTATGCTTTGGCTTACCCTCACGCGTCTCCACTTCTTCCACGACCGTCTGCTCGGGAAATTCGACGACTTCAATCGGTTTTTTATCTTCCTCCGGCACCTTATCTTCCACTACGGAAACTGTTGTTACTGGCGCTTCGCCGTCTTTCTCTACTGTAGTTATTTCTGTAACTTCCTGTTTTGGACCTTGTTTCTTTCGAATGACGCGTTTTGTGGTCTTTACTTTTTGGGTCTCACCGGTTTCCGTGCGCACTTCCGTGACTTTTACCTCTTCCGGAGCTTCCTCAATCACTTGAGCCCTATCTGGTTTGTGTAAGTCGTCGAGTGGTGTGAGTGTCTCGTCAGTGAACTCTTGTGTGGTGTGTACTGTGACGACAGGTGCTTTGTCGTCTTCTTGTTCAGTGATGATTTGTGTTGTTTCGACTTTTGGACCTACCTTCTTTTTGATGATGCGTTTAGTTATTTTCTTATGCTTTGGCTTACCCTCTGGTGTTTCCCCTTCTTCCACGACGGTCTCCTCGGGAAGCTCGATGATTTCAATCGGCTTTGTCTCTTCCTTCGGCGCCTTGTCCTCTACTATAGACACGGTTGTAACTGGCGCTTCGCCGTCTTTCTCGACTGTAGTTATTTCTGTAACATCCTGTTTTGGACCTTGTTTCTTTCGAATGACGCGTTTTGTGGTCTTTACTTTCTGGGTCTCGCCGGTTTCCGTTCGCACTTCTGTAACCTTCACTTCTTCCGGAGCTTCCTCAATCACTTGAGCCCTATCTGGTTTGTGTAAGTCGTCGAGTGGTGTGAGTGTCTCGTCAGTGAACTCTTGTGTGGTGTGCACTGTGACGATAGGTGCTTTGTCGTCTTCTTGTTCAGTGGTGATGTGTGTAGTTTCAACGTTTGGACCTACCTTCTTTTTGATGATGCGTTTAGTTATTTTCTTATGCTTTGGCTTACCCTCAGGCGTCTCCACTTCTTCCACGACGGTCTCCTCGGGAAGCTCGATGATTTCAATCGGTTTCGTCTCTTCCTCCGGCGCCTTCTCCTCTACTATAGACACGGTTGTAACTGGCGCTTCGCCGTCTTTCTCGACTGTAGTTATTTCTGTAACTTCCTGTTTTGGGCCTTGTTTCTTTCGGATGACGCGTTTTGTGGTCTTTACCTTCTGGGTCTCGCCAGTTTCCGTACGCACTTCCGTAACTTTCACTTCATCCGGAGCTTCCTCAATCACATAAGCCTTATCTGGCTTCTGTATGTCATCGAGTGGTGTAAGTGTCTCGTCAGTGAACTCTTGTGTGGTGTGCACTGTGACGATAGGTGCTTTGTCGTCTTCTTGTTCAGTGGTGATGTGTGTAGTTTCAACGTTTGGACCTACCTTCTTTTTGATGATGCGTTTAGTTATTTTCTTATGCTTTGGCTTACCCTCAGGCGTCTCCACTTCTTCCACGACGGTCTCCTCGGGAAGTTCGACGATTTCAATCGGTTTTTTATCTTCCTCCGGCGCCTTATCTTCCACTACGGAAACAGTTGTAACTGGCGCTTCGCCTTCTTTCTCGACTGTAGTTATTTCTGTAACTTCCTGTTTTGGACCTTGTTTCTTTCGAATGACGCGTTTTGTGGTCTTTACTTTCTGGGTCTCGCCGGTTTCCGTTCGCACTTCTGTAACCTTCACTTCTTCCGGAGCTTCCTCAATCACTTGAGCCCTATCTGGTTTGTGTAAGTCATCGAGTGGTGTAAGTGTCTCGTCAATTAACTCTTGTGAGGTGTGCACTGTGACGACAGGTGCTTTGTCGTCTTCTTGTTCAGTGGTGATGTGTGTAGTTTCAACGTTTGGACCTACCTTCTTTTTGATGATGCGTTTAGTTATTTTCTTATGCTTTGGCTTACCCTCAGGCGTCTCCACTTCTTCCACGACGGTCTCCTCGGGAAGCTCGATGATTTCAATCGGTTTCGTCTCTTCCTCCGGCTTCTTCTCCTCTACTATAGACACGGTTGTAACTGGCGCTTCGCCGTCTTTCTCGACTGTAGTTATTTCTGTAAGTTCCTGTTTTGGACCTTGTTTCTTTCGAATGACGCGTTTTGTGGTCTTTACTTTCTGGGTCTCGCCGGTTTCCGTTCGCACTTCTGTAACCTTCACTTCTTCCGGAGCTTCCTCAATCACTTGAGCCCTATCTGGTTTGTGTAAGTCGTCGAGTGGTGTGAGTGTCTCGTCAGTGAACTCTTGTGTGGTGTGCACTGTGACGATAGGTGCTTTGTCGTCTTCTTGTTCAGTGGTGATGTGTGTAGTTTCAACGTTTGGACCTACCTTCTTTTTGATGATGCGTTTAGTTATTTTCTTATGCTTTGGCTTACCCTCAGGCGTCTCCACTTCTTCCACGACGGTCTCCTCGGGAAGCTCGATGATTTCAATCGGTTTCGTCTCTTCCTCCGGCGCCTTCTCCTCTACTATAGACACGGTTGTAACTGGCGCTTCGCCGTCTTTCTCGACTGTAGTTATTTCTGTAACTTCCTGTTTTGGGCCTTGTTTCTTTCGGATGACGCGTTTTGTGGTCTTTACCTTCTGGGTCTCGCCAGTTTCCGTACGCACTTCCGTAACTTTCACTTCATCCGGAGGTTCCTCAATCACATAAGCCTTATCTGGCTTCTGTATGTCATCGAGTGGTGTAAGTGTCTCGTCAGTGAACTCTTGTGTGGTGTGCACTGTGACGACAGGTGCTTTGTCGTTTTCTTGTTCAGTGGTGATTTGTGTAGTTTCGACTTTTGGACCTACCTTCTTTTTGATGATGCGTTTAGTTATTTTCTTATGCTTTGGCTTACCCTCAGGTGTTTCCCCTTCTTCCACAACGGTCTCTTCGGGAAGCTCGACAATTTCAATCGGCTTTGTCTCTTCCTCCGGCGCCTTGTCCTCTACTATAGACACGGTTGTAACTGGCGCTTCGCCGTCTTTCTCGACTGTAGTTATTTCCGTAACTTCCTGTTTTGTACCTTGTTTCTTTCGAATAACGCGTTTCGTGGTCTTTACTTTCTGGGTCTCGCCAGTTTCCGTTCGCACTTCCGTGACTTTTACTTCTTCCGGAGCTTCCTCGATCACTTGAGCCCTATCTGGTTTGTGTAAGTCGTGGAGTGGAGTAAGTGTCTCGTCGGTGAACTCTTGTGTGGTGTGCACAGTAACGACTGGTGCTTTGTCGTCTTCTTGTTCAGTGGTGATTTGTGTAGTTTCGACTTTTGGACCTACCTTCTTTTTGATGATGCGTTTAGTTATTTTCTTATGCTTTGGCTTACCCTCAGGCGTCTCCACTTCTTCCACGACTGTCTCCTCCGGAAGCTCGACGATTTCAATCGGCTTTTTATCTTTCTCCGGCGCCTTGTCTTCCACTACGGAAACTGTTGTAACTGGCGCTTCGCCTTCTTTCTCTACTGTAGTTATTTCTGTTACTTCCTGTTGTGGACCTTGTTTCTTCCGAATGACGCGTTTTGTGGTCTTTACTTTCTTGGTCTCGCCGGTTTCCGTTCGCACTTCTGTGACTTTCACTTCTTCCGGAGCTTCCTCAATCACTTGAGCCCTATCTGGTTTTTGTAAGTCATCGAGTGGTGTGAGTGTCTCGTCAGTGAACTCTTGTGTGGTGTGCACTGTGACGATAGGTGCTTTGTCGTCTTCTTGTTCAGTGGTTATTTGTGTAGTTTCGACTTTTGGACCTACCTTCTTTTTGATGATGCGTTTAGTTATTTTCTTATGCTTTGGCTTACCCTCTGGTGTTTCCCCTTCTTCCACAACGATTTCCTCGGGAAGCTCGACGATTTCAATCGGTTTCATCACTTCCTCCGGCGTCTTATCTTCCACTACTGAAACTGTTGTAACTGGCGCTTCGCCTTCTTTCTCTACAGTAGTTATTTCTGTAACTTCCTGTTTTGGACCTTGTTTCTTTCGAATGACGCGTTTTGTGGTCTTTACTTTCTGGGTCTCGCCGGTTTCCGTTTGCACTTCTGTAACCTTCACTTCTTCCGGAGCTTCCTCAATCACTTGAGCCCTATCTGGTTTGTGTAAGTCGTCGAGTGGTGTGAGTGTCTCGTCAGTGAACTCTTGTGTGGTGTGCACTGTGACGATAGGTGCTTTGTCGTCTTCTTGTTCAGTGGTGATTTGTGTTGTTTCAACTTTTGGACCTACCTTCTTTTTGATAATGCGTTTAGTTATTTTCTTATGCTTTGGCTTACCCTCAGGCGTTTCGCCTTCTTCCACAACGATCTCCTCGGGAAGCTCGACGATTTCAATCGGTTTCATCTCTTCCTCCGGCGCCTTGTCTTCTACAACGGTAACTGTTGTAACTGGCGCTTCGCCTTCTTTCTCTACAGTAGTTATTTCTGTAACTTCCTGTTGTGGACCATGTTTCTTCCGAATGACGCGTTTTGTGGTCTTTACTTTCTTGGTCTCGCCGGTTTCCGTTCGCACTTCCGTGACTTTCACTTCTTCCGGAGCTTCCTCAATCACTTGAGCCCTATCCGGTTTTTGTAAGTCATCGAGTGGTGTGGGTGTCTCGTCAGTGAACTCTTGTGTGGTGTGCACTGTGACGATAGGTGCTTTGTCGTCTTCTTGTTCAGTGGTGATTTGTGTAGTTTCAACCTTTGGACCTACCTTCTTCTTGATGATGCGTTTTGTTATTTTCTTATGTTTTAGCTTACCCTCAGGAGTTTGCTCTTCTTCCATGACTGTCTCCTCCGGAAGCTCGACGATTTCAATAGGCTTCGTCTCTTTCTCCGACGCCTTGTCTTCTACAACGGTAACTGTTGTAACTGGCGCTTCGCCTTCTTTCTCGACTGTAGTTATTTCTGTTACTTCCTTTTGTGGACCATGTTTCTTCCGAATGACGCGTTTTGTGGTCTTTACTTTCTTGGTCTCGCCGGTTTCCGTTCGCACTTCCGTGACTTTCACTTCTTCCGGAGCTTCCTCAATCACTTGAGCCCTATCCGGTTTTTGTAAGTCGTCGAGTGGTGTGAGTGTCTCGTCAGTGAACTCTTGTGTGGTGTGCACTGTGACGATAGGTGCTTTGTCGTCTTCTTGTTCAGTGGTGATTTGTGTTGTTTCAACTTTTGGACCTACCTTCTTTTTGATAATGCGTTTAGTTATTTTCTTATGTTTTGGCTTACCCTCAGGCGTTTCCTCTTCTTCCACAACGATCTCCTCGGGAAGCTCGACGATTTCAATCGGTTTCATCACTTCCTCCGGCGTCTTATCTTCTACTACTGAAACTGTTGTAACTGGCGCTTCGCCTTCTTTCTCTACAGTAGTTATTTCTGTTACTTCCTGTTGTTGACCATGTTTCTTCCGAATGACGCGTTTTGTGGTCTTTACTTTCTTGGTCTCACCGGTTTCCGTTCGCACTTCCGTGACTTTCACTTCTTCCGGAGCTTCCTCAATCACTTGAGCCCTATCCGGTTTTTGTAAGTCGTCGAGTGGTGTGAGTGTCTCGTCAGTGAACTCTTGTGTGGTGTGCACTGTGACGATAGGTGCTTTGCCGTCTTCTTGTTCAGTGGTGATTTGTGTTGTTTCAACTTTTGGACCTACCTTCTTTTTGATAATGCGTTTAGTTATTTTCTTATGTTTTGGCTTACCCTCAGGCGTTTCCCCTTCTTCCACAACGATCTCCTCTGGAAGCTCGACGATTTCAATCGGTTTCGTCTCTTCCTCCGGCGCCTTCTCCTCTACTATAGACACGGTTGTAACTGGCGCTTCGCCGTCTTTCTCGACTGTAGTTATTTCTGTAACTTCCTGTTTTGGGCCTTGTTTCTTTCGGATGACGCGTTTTGTGGTCTTTACCTTCTGGGTCTCGCCAGTTTCCGTACGCACTTCCTTTACTTTCACTTCATGCGGAGCTTCCTCAATCACATAAGCCTTATCTGGCTTCTGTATGTCATCGAGTGGTGTAAGTGTCTCGTCAGTGAACTCTTGTGTGGTGTGCACTGTGACGACAGGTGCTTTGTCGTCTTCTTGTTCAGTGGTGATTTGTGTTGTTTCAACTTTTGGACCTACCTTCTTTTTGATAATGCGTTTAGTTATTTTCTTATGCTTTGGCTTACCCTCAGACGTTTCGCCTTCTTCCATAACGATCTCCTCGGGAAGCTCGACGATTTCAATCGGTTTCATCTCTTCCTCCGGCGCCTTGTCTTCTACAACGGTAACTGTTGTAACTGGCGCTTCGCCTTCTTTCTCTACAGTAGTTATTTCTGTTACTTCATGTTGTGGACCATGTTTCTTCCGAATGACGCGTTTTGTGGTCTTTACTTTCTTGGTCTCGCCGGTTTCCGTTCGCACTTCCGTGACTTTCACTTCTTCCGGAGCTTCCTCAATCACTTGAGCCCTATCCGGTTTTTGTAAGTCATCGAGTGGTGTGGGTGTCTCGTCAGTGAACTTTTGTGTGGTGTGCACTGTGACGATAGGTGCTTTGTCGTCTTCTTGTTCAGTGGTGATTTGTGTAGTTTCAACCTTTGGACCTACCTTCTTCTTGATGATGCGTTTTGTTATTTTCTTATGTTTTGGCTTACCCTCAGGAGTTTGCTCTACTTCCATGACTGTCTCCTCCGGAAGCTCGACGATTTCAATCGGCTTCTTCTCGTCCTCCGGCGCCTTGTCTTCTACAACGGTAACTGTTGTAACTGGCGCTTCGCCTTCTTTCTCGACTGTAGTTATTTCTGTTACTTCTTGTTGTGGACCATTTTTCTTCCGAATGACGCGTTTTGTGGTCTTTACTTTCTTGGTCTCGCCGGTTTCCGTTCGCACTTCCGTGACTTTCACTTCTTCCGGAGCTTCCTCAATCACTTGAGCCCTATCCGGTTTTTGTAAGTCGTCGAGTGGTGTGAGTGTCTCGTCAGTGAACTCTTGTGTGGTGTGCACTGTGACGATAGGTGCTTTGTCGTCTTCTTGTTCAGTGGTGATTTGTGTTGTTTCAACTTTTGGACCTACCTTCTTTTTGATAATGCGTTTAGTTATTTTCTTATGTTTTGGCTTACCCTCAGGCGTTTCCCCTTCTTCCACAACGATCTCCTCTGGAAGCTCGACGATTTCAATCGGTTTCGCCTCTTCCTCCGGCGCCTTGACTTCTACAACGGTAACTGTTGTAACTGGCGCTTCGCCTTCTTTCTCTACAGTAGTTATTTCTGTTACTTCCTGTTGTGGACCATGTTTCTTCCGAATGACGCGTTTTGTGGTCTTTACTTTCTTGGTCTCGCCGGTTTTCGTTCGCACTTCCGTTACTTTCACTTCTTCCGGAGCTTCCTCAATCACTTGAGCTCTATCCGGTTTTTGTAAGTCGTCGAGTGGTGTGAGTGTCTCGTCAGTGAACTCTTGTGTGGTGTGCACTGTGACGATAGGTGCTTTGTCGTCGTCTTGTTCAGTGGTGATTTGTGTTGTTTCAACTTTTGGACCTACCTTCTTTTTGATAATACGTTTTGTTATTTTCTTATGCTTTGGCTTACCCTCAGGCGTTTCCCCTTCTTCCACAACGATCTCCTCTGGAAGCTCGACGATTTCAATCGGTTTCATCTCTTCCTCCGGCGCCTTGTCTTCTACAACGGTAACTGTTGTAACTGGCGCTTCGCCTTCTTTCTCTACAGTAGTTATTTCTGTTACTTCCTGTTGTGGACCATGTTTCTTCCGAATGACGCGTTTTGTGGTCTTTACTTTCTTGGTCTCGCCGGTTTCCGTTTGCACTTCCGTGACTTTAACTTCTTCCGGAGCTTCCTCAATCACTTGAGCCCTATCCGGTTTTTGTAAGTCGTCGAGAGATGTGAGTGTCTCGTCAGTGAACTCTTGTGTGGTGTGCACTGTGACGATAGGTGCTTTGTCGTCTTCTTGTTCAGTGGTAATTTGTGTAGTTTCAACCTTTGGACCTTCCTTCTTCTTAATGATGCGTTTTGTTATTTTCTTATGTTTTGGCTTACCCTCAGGAGTTTCCTCTTCTTCCATGACTGTCTCCTCCGGAAGCTCGACGATTTCAATCGGTTTCGTCTCTTCCTCCGGCGCCTTGTCTTCTACAACGGTAACTGTTGTAACGGGTGCTTCACCTTCTGTCTCGACTGTAATTATTTCTGTTACTTCCTGTTGTGGACCATGTTTCTTCCGAACCACGCGTTTTGTGGTCTTTACTTTCTTGGTCTCGCCGGTTTCCGTTCGCACTTCCGTGACTTTCACTTCTTCCGGAGCTTCCTCAATCACTTGAGCCCTATCCGGTTTTTGTAAGTCGTCGAGTAGTGTGAGTGTCTCGTCAGTGAACTCTAGTGTGGTGTGCACTGTGACGATAGGTGCTTTGTTATCTTCTTGTTCAGTGGTGATTTGTGTTGTTTCAACTTTAGGACCTACCTTCTTTTTGATAATGCGTTTACTTATTTTCTTATGCTTTGGCTTACCCTCAGGCGTTTCTCCTTCTTCCACAACGATCTCCTCGGGAAGCTCGACGATTTCAATCGGTTTCGTCACTTCCTCCGGCGTCTTATCTTCTACTACTGAAACTGTTGTAACTGGCGCTTCGCCTTCTTTCTCTACAGTAGTTATTTCTGTTACTTCCTCTTGTTGACCATGTTTCTTCCGAATGACGCGTTTTGTGGTCTTTACTTTCTTGGTCTCACCGGTTTCCGTTCGCACTTCCGTGACTTTCACTTCTTCCGGAGCTTCCTCAATCACTTGAGCCCTATCCGGTTTTTGTAAGTCGTCGAGTGGTGTGAGTGTCTCGTCAGTGAACTCTTGTGTGGTGTGCACTGTGACGATAGGTGCTTTGTCATCTTCTTGCTCAGTGGTGATTTGTGTTGTTTCAACTTTTGGACCTACCTTCTTTTTGATAATGCGTTTAGTTATTTTCTTATGCTTCGGCTTACCCTCAGGCGTCTCCACTTCTTCCACGACGGTCTCCTCGGGAAGCTCGACGATTTCAATCGGTTTCATCTCTTCCTCTGGCACTTGGTCTTCTTCTACAGACACTTTTGTAACTAGCGCTTTGCCTTCTTTCTCGACTGTAGCTATTTCTGTTTCTTCCTGTTGTTTCCGAATGTAACGTTTGGTAGTTTTTACTTTCTGAATCTCGCCAATTAGCATTTGCACTTCTGTAATTTTAATTTTTTCTGGTGTTTCTTCGATAATTTGAGCATTTTCTGGTCTGTGTAAATCTTCGAATGGTATGAGGGTGTCATTGAACTGTTGCATTTGTTGTATAACAGATACTTTTTCTTCATGTTGAGTAGTTTTTTGTACTGATTCAACTTTTGAATCATCCTTCCTTTTAATAATTCGTTTAATTTTCTTTTGCTTTGTCTTGTCTTCTTGTGTTTTTAATTCTTCCACGACAGACTGTTTAGGTATCTCGATTATTTCCAAAGATTCGATTTCTTCTGATGGTGTTTTGTCTGTTTTTATTATTGGTTTTGATTCGACAATAAATGGACTTGTTTCTTCTTCTGTCATTTCTTCTATAAATACTTGCGTTTGGAGTTTTGGTATATCATAATGTTCATCTGGTAATTCTATTGTGCTTTGCTCCATGTCAATACTCATGTCATCTCCTTCGTATTCCACAATTTTTACGTCATGTTGTTTATCTTGTTTAATTACTTCTCCGTCATTATTTTCATCGTCTATATTTTCTTCTATGACAATATCCCCTTCTATTTTAGTTTTATCTTGATACTTTCGCTTTTTCCTGATTATAGTCCTCTTAGTTTTAATTTGAATGGGTTCACTCTGACCAGGAGCTTGCATAAATTTTGTTACAATTTCTTCAGATTCTTCTACATCAGAAGATTTTGGAGAAACATAAAGTTGATGGGAATTTTCTGAAATTTAAAATAAATTATTGTATCTATTGTAAGAATAGGCTACTTACTATTAGATATTATTAAAACAATATTAACCTACATTGGTAGTATTTTGTAATAATATCATGTTAAATCTATAGTACAGGAATAGAATATTTGATGGACGCGCCAAAGTTGAATCCACATAAAACTAAACATCGTGGAAATGAAAAAAAGCTGAAATTTTTACGAGGATCTATTATTATATATCAAATTCTCATAAATACTTTATTAAAAGTATTTTTTTTACATAACAAAATACAATAGTCAATGTTTGTATAGTAGAACATGACCAGTATAAATAAAGGACCCAACAAAACAACCACATATAACGCCAGCGTGTGAATTCGACCATATAACTTATACATATATAAATTATATTGAAAATAACATCTATAAATAAAAGTTCATAAATACCATACATTTTTTTCCTTGAGGCTTAAAAAATATATTCAACAATAATCACCTTTGCATATACTATTTTATTCATGTATGGCCTGCTATTTCCTAATAACTCTTAATGCGAAACTAAAATTAAAAACTAATATTTACTAATTTCTAACGAACCCTTTTTTTGAACTGAATAAAACTAAACGACTGGCCGGCCTATAATTCATTGAACATAAAAATTATCACCAATTACTTTAAAACTATAGTTTAATTGAAATTATACAAACATTTATAATAAGTAAACAGTATCAGAAGACTTGGACTTGATAATCTCTTAAATATATTTTAAACTAATTAGTTCGAATATTTATAGCCTCACTATTACCAAACGGCCTTAAAGTAGAAATAAACTCACTTTTTATATAATTAATAACAACATTTTGGAAAGATAACAACAATATTATAATACAAATACTATATTTACTTACCTATAATTTGACATTCTTCTTCTAATGATGCTATATTCGCATTTTCTGTAATAATAATTTTACCCTCGTGCAATTTTGGTTTCACATCTCTAAAAGGCTGAATATATTCTTCTGGTGTTTGATCAGTGATTTCTAATTCATTAGATATGTTTAAAACAGTTTTTGGTTTTTGTTTAACTGGTTCTGTAATACGTAAATCCGATTCGTTATGTAGAGTAACATTGTCTGTGACGATTAGAGGAGATATGTTATCGGTTTTTATTGCCGAGGTCTGTGCCTGTGCTGCGAATGTTTTCAACTCATCTACATGAGATTCAGATATATTCTCTGTACATTGTAAATGTGTTAAGTGTGAAACAGAAATTGATGCATTTTCTTTTTGTATTTTTTCCTTAAAGTTTGTTTTAACTTCGCTTTCATGAACAATAAATTCAGTTCGATTTATAGACTCAAATTCGATTGCTTCAGATTCAGCTACTTTCTCTTCTTTGGTCAAATTCTTCGGTAAATGTTCAATATTTTCATTAATTATTATTTCAGTTTGTTCTAATGGTTTTATTGGCAAAATTTCTTCTTTGACATTCAGTTGCTTAAATTCTTGTTTTGGTAAGTGCATTAAAGACTCCTCACCAAGATTTTCAGTGACGGTAAAGCTGACATGAGAATCTAAGTCTAGAGAAGCCTTACTAAGCTCTGGTTGAGGGGTTCCTGTGAACTGTTTAACATCTTCAAGTACCGCTTGTTCTGACGCATTTATTCCCATAGAACTGATAGGGATTTGTTCAGCTTTCTGATTTACTATTTTCTCACTATTAGGTAAGTCTTGTGGTTTCTCTTCTGTAACGACTTCCGTCTGTTCAATGCCTTTTAATTCAATTATTAATTCTTCAGCACTTTTGGGTGTTTCAATAAAAGAAGATAATTTTTCTGAAGCTTCATGAACAACGTTTTCTTGAGTAAAATAGTTTTGTTGAAGTTCTATATCGTATTCCACTGTGTTTTTAGTAGCAGCGTATACATCCGATATTAATTTTGTACTTTCCAGCACTTGTGGTATAAGTGTTAAAACAACTTCTTTATCAATAACTTGTGATTGTGAACCTTTTTCCTCTTTTGGTGCAAATTGTTTTAAAGAATCTGGATTTTCTTGTACTATAATTTCTGTATTCTCTATGGCTTTCAAACTTGGTAAGTCTTTTTTTGCCATTAGCATCTGGGGTTCATTTAAAGGTTTTAGTGGCTCAACACTTTCTATAACTTGTTGCTGCTCTTTTTTCACGCTTTCTGCAAGTACATGTGTTTTTGAAGCACATTCCCCTTTAGGTTCTCTGGATTTTAGTGGTTTTAAATCGTCTTCAACGGTTATTGTTTCACTTGTTGTAATGTGATGAGTAGTGTTTATAATAGTTTTTTGTTCTTTACTTAATGGGATGTTCACAGTATTCAGATTCTCTTCGTTCTCTTTAGTGTATGTATCAGTCACAATTACATGTTGTTGAGTATCGAAGTGTAAAAGTGGTTTATCTTCCTTAGGTTTGAATACCTGAGATATTGATGATTCTTTCTCTGTAGGAATTATTTCTTGTACTTCTAAAGACGATTTAGCTTCAAATGACATTTCAATAAATTTAGGCAGTTCACTTGATTTTATTTCCAAAGCTTGCTCTTTTTCATTTGATTCAACTTCAGAAACAGTAAGATGTCTAGATAATTGAACATTTGAAGAAAGATTTTTTGATTTTTCAGATACAGTTTTTTCAAAAAAGTCTCCAGTTTCTAAAGGTATTATTTCCATCGTATCCATATGATCACCAGTTTCCATCATGACAGATGGTTTTTCTTCTTTTATTTTTTTAACTAGACATAAATCTTGTGATTGTTCCTCAGATTTTATTTCACTTATTAATAAGGGTTTTATAACATCCAATGCAAAATCTTTTATTTCTTTACTAACATAATCTAAGTTTTTAAGTTTTTCTTCGAATTCAGATACCTGATAAACCTCAGTATTGATATGTTGGTGTGTATTTAGACTAATATCAGATGTACACTTGACGGGTAATTCTTCAGATTTAAGATAACTTTCTTTTTCAGCTACGATTTCTTCAGATATATTTACATAATGCGAAGAAGTAATATTATAATTAATATTTTCGTGCTTAGTATCACCAACTGAGAGAAATATATTTTCCTGTTCATTCGGTACTATTTCTGTTGTGCCTATAGAAGATAATAACGGCATATTTGGTATTGGTTGTAGCAAGTGCGATTTTGCTTTCGGTTCTTCTGATAAGATCGTTTCTGATTCCGAAGAAAATACTTCAGTAACATTAATAGACTTTTGTTCCTCAATATTTTCCTTTAGAGTTTTCATTTCAGGTTTATTGTCATTTTCTTCTATACCCTCAGTTTTATTTGACGCAATTACTTCAGATTGGATAATCTCACTATGTGGTACAATCGCAATTGAAGCATCCTGTTTAGTCATAGGTGCTTTAGTATCAAATTGGTTTTCTTTTTCAACTGCATTTGTAGTACTCGCTATTATAGCCTGCGCTTCAATGAGATTTGAAGTGACACTGGCTTTCAGTGCTTTTTGCTCGATAAAAACACCTTCACTTTCTGCTGTTATAGTTTCTGTTTGTTGTAAATTGGAAAATTCAAATGGTTTTACTTCTGGTTTTTGTGTTTCGATAGTTTCATTAAAGTTTGCAGTAGATTGGATGACTAATATTTCTTCTACATTAGCTGCTTTGCCGTATATTTCATCAATTTTATATAAGGCTTTCTTATCAGGCATATCAAAATTATCAGAATTGTCAAGACGGTCACATTGAGATATTACTTCTGTAGTTTCCACACTAATAAATTCAGGTATTTTAATATTTACCTTTTGTTGGTCTGGGATATCAACAGGGAGGAATTTATCCTCCTTTTCTGCTACCACCTTTTCTTCATTTTCAGGAACTATAAGACTACCAATTACAATAGAAGCTTCTTTATGTACGATTGCCTCTTGATTTTCTAAAATACTTTCAGAAGAATGTACTAAAGTTTCCTGCTGTGAAATAGCTTCAGAGGTTATTGTATGTGGAATAATTGTTGTTTTGAAAGCATTAGAAGGCATTTTTAGTGTTGCAGTTGTCAATTCAGTCTTAACATCCTCTACTATGACTGCTTGATTAGGATTTACATTTAATAATGCTTCAGCTGTCCTTGGTTCTACAGGAGTTAGTATACTTTCCTTTTCATTATAATCCGTAGTTGTGACTGTTATCTCTTTAAGAGCAATATTTTCTACATTCGCTTTTCTAGTAGAGACATCTTCTGCTTCAGTGAAACCTACACTTAAATCTACGATATGCTCTGCAGATACTGCAACAGGACGAGCGACAACATCAGTTGAAATTTTACATTTTTCTGTAACAGTTTTAATATTTTCGTAACGGTCTTCTTTCTCATGTGGTAATATCTCTGACACTTTTATCGTTTCTTCTACTGATATTAAATGTGGAGAAATTGATTTAAGATCAGGGGTTATGGGAATATCTAGAATAGTTTGAGTTTCTAAAGATTTATTTTCCGATATTTGAATTGGCAGGTAAGAATCAGACACTACTTCAGCTTCTTGGCTTTTTACTTTTAACTTGTCTAAAGTATTTGCGGATTCTCGTAAAGTTACTTCCGAAATCACAGGGACTTTATGATTGACATTTACATTAAGTTTGGCAAATTTATTTAATGGTGTTTCTTCAATAATAAGATTATCTTCGGTATAATTGGGAACTGTCTCAATGATATTTAAGCTTTCATTTTCTGTAAAAGAAGGTTTGAGGGTAGTTTGATTAGCAAATTTTTCTTCTAATTTTTCTAATTGTTCATGAACTGTGGTTTGCATAACAGTAACTTCCTTATGTAGATCTCTTTCTTCATGAGCAATATTACTGTTGGATTCTAATGGTAGCAAGATATCTATTTGATCTGCAGTATTTATAACTTGAGAAATAGGCGACGTCAGATGATGAGTGGGACTTGGTTGGGTGCTTAAAAGCTCTGGTATTGCATCTGTTATCAGATTTTTAGCAGAATCTGATAATTTTGTTTCAGAAACAGATAAAGACATGTTAGGAACTAAAGTTATGGACACATTTTCGGCTGTTTTAGATTCATAAAATTGTGGAACTTCTTGATCATGAACAAAAGGTGAAGAAATAATTTTTGCACTTTCTGCAACAATTGATTCAGTAGCCACTCTATTGTCTATTGTTTTCGAGTTTTTTAACTCTGACATAGAGGATAATTCCATTGTTTCTGAAGTAATAATAGATTCAATAGATTTAATATCTACAGACGCATTGGCTGTTTGCGTTGCTTCTTTTTGTGGTAACTCCTTTTCACTTTCATTAACTTGAACTTCTTCAATTAAATTCTTGTCTAAAGCCGATACACTTACTTGTGCTTTACTACCGAGTACAGGCTCTTTATCTACAAAAGTATTTTCTGAATCATTTACATTGGTTTCTATATTGATCTTATGTTGATGTTCAAGAAAACCAACTTCAGCCTTTTTCTCAACAAATGTTTCAGGAAGAAGTTCAGATTCTTTTACATGAGATGTAGTGAAAAAATTATCTAAGCTAGAATGAAGTATTAAATCATTTTCTATTTTTGCTTCAACTGGGACGTCAGGTATAACCAAAGGACCTTCTTTTTCATGAACATCTTTAGTACACACAACAATGCTATCTTTTGATGTTATATCAATATTAGCTTCTTGTGAATGCGGTACCTTAAATACCCCAAGTGATCCCTCCTTTTCTTGTACATTATGAATTTCAGTAATAATTTGATTTGATACCAACACATCTTTTTTGGCCATTTCTGTAGGAACTATTAGTTCTGGGTAGTATTTTCCCGATTTGTCTTCAACAAAAACTTCTCCAACTTCAACCGATTCTAGTAAATTAAAGTTAAGTTTTGACGTAACTGCCTTTTCGAGACTTTGATTAAGTAATTCATGTTCTCGAGTTTCATCATTAACTTCAGTAACCTTGACTCCTAGAAAGGGTGAAACTGAAACATTGGCAAAGGATTTTGACATCTGCAAGTCTTTTAAAGGCCCTTCCTTATCGGACGTCATTTCCTGTGATACATTTAAAGCGTCTTGTAATATTATTGTCGATTTTGCTTTTTCTTCATGTTTATCGCCTTTACATAGATCAGCAACAGACATGCTTACGAGGGTTTCAGCCGTAATTATAGTTTCTGCCGGCACTACACCAGTCTGAGCTTTAATATCAGGTTTTATTTGAACTGATTGGTACTCATCTACTGAGCTTCCAACTTCTACTTCTGTTATTTGAAGTGATTCGATCTGATTAAATGTTTCGTGAATTTTTCGGGCATTAGGTTTTTCTTTTGCATGCAGTAGTTCTTCTTTATCGTGTATATCTTGAAGATTACTTATTATAGGATAATTAGCATCGAGCCTTACATTTGCAACATTCTCTTTTTGCTGTTCAGGCACAATATGAGTTACTTCACTTAATGACATTGTTTCAATTTTAGTGTCATATATATCTGTAGCAAGAGTAGAGGCGAAATGAATAGGTTCATTTTCTAATATTTCAGTTTCATCTTCATATAAATGCTCGACTTTTTGCTTAGGATGTAACTTTTGTATAGTTCTTGTAACAATCTCTTCCTCATCTTCGACAACTTCTTCCGAACCTACTCTTTGTTTTTTGTATTTTTTGCGCTTTGCTTTTTCTCTTACATCTGTGAAATCACAGTACAGTAAGTAAAGTGTCTTTCAGTAATATAAATTAGAATGTAACAATTCAATATGTAAAATAGCGTAAAGCGTATGTTAATTTGTTATTTTGTATAATTGCTCCAAGTTAATAACGTGTTTTGTAAGTTTTGCATTTATGTTGTTATCGTTTTGTGAGTTCTACGTGATTGTTTCAAAATATTAAAATACAAATATATACTTACGCATCTACCATTTCACGTATTTTATTAAGTTTGTTAACGTATCCAAAAAGCGTATTCTTCAAGCTGATATAAACGGACACAAAGTTATTTTCATATAAATTATGTACATGTTCTAAAAGCATTAAAACAACGATGAAATAAAATCGCGACACTATAATATTACACTTAACTAAACTAAAACTATGGTACACTTTAAAAACTTATGTAAAAAGCTTACAAATGAAGAAGAACAAGAAGCCACATCATTCAATGCTTAACGCTATATTTAAACAAGGTATGCTCAAATAAGTAGAAAGTCCAAAGAAAGGATAAATTAAGTTAGGGTTAAAAGTGAACGTTTATATTGTATTATTTATAAATAATAATATTTATAATAAGTACGTGGGAAAAACATCATATAATTTTACCGATAAAGGGAATCGTATAACAGTGAAATTAAATAGACCTTCATATATTTATTGCCGAGTTTAAAAGCGTATAAAATACTTGCATAAAATTATTACAGAATAAAAGCGAAAGCTTACGTTATTAGCGAATTAGTATTTATTGAGATAAAGATTATTTATATAGAATGTATCGTCTAAAATTCTCACCTTCTTTAATTTCTTCAGAAACAACTGTCTTATCTGTAAAAGACAAAGAATGTTTATATATTTCTTTTTTCAAAAAAAAAGTATATTTATAACTCAGCGGTACATACCCTTTAACACTTGAGTTGTGCGTGTTTCAGCGACTTCCTCAGCAGACGATTCTACCATAACCTAAAAATTATTTTAATTTACATATAAGCATATTATATAAAATAAAATATAAATTATTGGCCTATGTATGTACTTTGTTTTTTTTTTGTACACTTTGTTTTTTTAAGCTTAGGCAGTGGTAGCCCAGTGGTACCGCGCTTGCTTGGGAAACCGAGTGAAGCGGTTTCAAATCCCGGGTCTCGCACCACTGATATTTTCATGTGCGAATCATTTCTATCAACATTTACAGTTGTAATAATTTATTAATCATTACTAAATAGAAAAGAACTTTCTAAAAATTGAACAGCTAATGTAATATTTGATCTAGATAACGGTGTAGTATAAAATGCGGATGTATTAAAACCAGTACCACTCAAAACTATAATGGGGTCGCCATAATTAGGAGTTAGCAAGTAGACTCAATTACGAGTATGTAGCATTCGCAGTTAAAAAAATTAGACTTCTTATTGGAGTAGAAACGGCTGGCATTATATATTTAAGCTACTTTCAGAATAATTAACTTTTAAAAATAATGATACAATTAATCTGCAGGAGGAAATTTCAATTTTTATGAACTGTACCTCATGTGCTTCCTTTTGTTCCCAGGAACGTGGCTTGAAGTCTTCAGGATAGAAGTGAGCGATGACTTCTTCAACCGACGTGTGTTTTAGTTCAACCATTTTCATAAAAGCTCGGAACCCAACTTTAGCTGCTATAACATCTTCATTCTGAGTCGTTTCCTGGGTAAGTACTTCAGTTATTAGTGCTCCGTGACCTTGCCTTTCGACTAAATTTACTAACGCTGATTGTGATTGAGGAATCCTTAATGCGGGGAAGTATTGAGAATCGTATAAACTTTCTATTTGTTCTGTTGTTATACCGGTGCGAAGCATGTAGCCTATCTTTGCCAATTCACGTAGCGGGGATTCCCCGGGACCGAATTCTTTAGCATTTATGACTTCAAGTAATTCGTTTATTTCGGCCACCATTTTTGAATCTTCTTTTACGGTTTTCAATATACCCTTTTGTTTAACGAAAGTCTCCTCAAATGTTTCAACAGTTTCACCTTTTATTTGTTGAGATGAAACTAAGTATTCATTCGGAGTAATAACTGGTTCTATTTTTTCCGGTACTTTTTTTGTTTTATCTTCCTGTTCCACCTTCTTAAGTACCGCGACATCAGTGGTTTCCACATAGTCAGCTTTACTGACTTTTACCGTAGCATTCTCTTTTGTAATTTGTTTCTTCTTTATAGTTTTAACTGATTCATTAGGTTTCACTTCAGTCTGTGTCACTGATGTAAGGGTATCGTCTATAACTTCACGAACTTTTTCTTCTTTAAATTCTTCAACCTTTAATGCTTTTGTTCTTTTAGACGGAATTTTCTCAAGTTTTTCATCCGCTTCAAATACTTGCAATGTAGCCTTAGTAACCGCCATACCGATATCGCTTACTGCCTTACACTTGTATGTGCCTTCTAATTTTTTTGCGGCTTTTTTAATTGTGCAAATACTTTTATTTTCTTTAGTTTCAATTACGAAGTTTTCATCGGACTTTATAATCTCATCATCTTTGTACCATGTGATTTCTAGAATAAAACATATATAGGTTAGACTTTTAGAAAGCTACTTAGTCGAAGGATAACTTAAAGTGTAATTTTTAGAACAAATTTTTGTATCAGGATAGAAAATAGCTTATGTTATCATTCAGCACATTATTATCACGTCGATCTAATTGTATTTTACTCACAGAAATCTTAATAATAAGCTAATAGAAGTGGCATAGACGCGTGACCTTGTCGCCGCGCATGTGACTCGTAGGTCACAAGCGCGTGTAAAGCGTTTGTTGCGGTAACTAGTGTTATTTGAGACACGGAGAGGTAAACATGGTGTTTTGCAGCATATCCAACTGCGGAAATTCTTCCACAATTTGTAACTTTACAAATAAAGGGATAACATTTCATATATAAGTACTTAATTTTTGAAATAATGTCGTTTTTAAGAAATATAGCCAAATCAAATGTTTTCACCACCACTACTACGATTATCGCAGGAAAACGTTTTTTTTTCAATTCAATAACCATTACCACTTAAGCTTGTTCATGTCTACTATTACAACAATTAAATTATAAAAGCAGCAATGAAATAATAGTCATGCGTAAAGAACAATATCGTCGCGTACGTAAATTCCAAGGACACGCCGCATAAGTTAACCGCGAATTAGTGACGTGCCACCACTATTTTTTATCGAAAATTTATTACGTTTGGCTTAATATTTTTCGTTAAATATTTAATTGTTACATCTCATTATGTATGTTTTCTTTCTGTCTGAATAATTTATAAAAAGTCATTAATCAACGATTATCTGTAAATTCGTACTTTTAAACTACTTTTTCATTCAGAAAATTATTAGGAGGTAGGCTTATTATTGTTATGTATATGGGTAAGTCAAAAACAGTATGCGTTGAATATCCTTGTATCGTTGACATGTTCCGCATTTACCAAATTTTTTTTTTGATTTGATTGAGTAAATAATTCTAAGGGCGAGTTGTTTGATAAACATAACATAGAAATTCTATAAAAAAAATTAAGTCATTGTTAAAAATGTATAGGATTTTAACAAATAGTTTGCATAACTTTTGTATAATAATAATAATAATTATTATTGCAAAGGTATACACCCAATTTAGAATATAATAACATATATGTAGTTATACAAGTCAATTTTTATATCACTTATGCATATATATGCAAGTCAATAAAAACATTATAAAAACAAAATTCAGTCAGACTCTTCATTAAATTAAACTAGAATTAAAAACAATATATCGCTGTTGAGTGTATAACTATATAATCATAAAAAAATTTACTTACTTTTAACGTTTTATTGTATTCCCTTTATGAAAATAAATAAATCGTCTAAAATCGCGTCGAGGAATGAAACATAAAACACTTTCAATAAATTAGTTACCTATTGTTGCAAGACTCAACGGAAAATTATCGATATGAGCATTATGCGCTTTGTGCTGCACTAGAAGTGAGCGCGCGATATCATTCTGTGCTTTTCGCACACATTTATTATTGGTCACAGGGATCACGGGTTCTGAGATTATGCGTTTTTAGAAAATATTGCGTAATGTCATCGCTTAAAGTTTAATTTTTGTTGCAACAATGCAAAATGCATGTGTTAGCGATAGTGTGTATTTATTGTTTGTCAATGTGTTGGTAGCTGCAAGCCGGCGACACGCGTCCCAGTACTAAAAGACCGCAATGGCATTTCTATTACCTTATTATTAAGATTTCTGTGATTTTACTACATAAAGTAAGATAATATAAACACTTTCAGATTTATAATATTGAGTAAATTAACCAATTATTACCTGGAACAGGATTCCCTTTATAAACTGCTTCAAATGTGACCGTTTCTTCTTCTTGAACCCTTTCTCCGATTATATGTTGCACAAATGTAGGTACTGATTGACTTGCTGTAAAGTAATTAATATATAACATACAATATATGAATTAAATTCAAAGAATGCGTATGTGTTTTAACACTATTTTTATGTTCTAGTACATTAAATTTGAAAAATTCGAATATTCACTTACCTTTTAACGCAGCTTGCAATTCTTCCATATGAGTCACCCACTCAGGTTTCTTATACTCTTTAGTTCCCATGATACCTTTGAAATGAAATAATATATATATATATATCAAATAAAATTATACATTGATAAGATAATTTCAAATTATAAAATATTTTTTGGACTAAATAGAGTAGTAAATATATTTTTAATATACTAATAATATGACAGAAATAATACATTGTCTGATACGTTAAAAAGAGTAACATTTTGATGTAAAAATTGCTGATTAGGTATAAGGAAAGGAATAGGGTATAGGTCAAAAAGGTAATTTCGGCGTTGTCTCCAGTGATGCTCGATAATTTCTGAAAATCAAAAACTGAAAACAAAAAATCGATTACATAATGTACATGTTGTACGTATTTTTTACTAATAATTTCGTTAGTTAATACGTAAGACGTTTATTTTCATTGAATATTAACATTGAACTCTGCTACATATAATTATTATTATCATCACTTGATATTCAAAACATCTTACGTTACGATGGAGCAGTTTTAATATTTATTGCTTGAGCTTACTTTCAACCGACAATGCAGCAATAGTTGATGTGACACCCAAAGTGTTGAATGCTTCAAAGGTAATTTCGCCAGTGTCATCTTGATACACTTCAGGAATTATCAGAATAGAGGTTCCATCTTCTAATTCTTCTATTTGATATTCCTGAGACTGTACTATCTCAACGCCTTGCTTCAACCATCTTATTTCAGGTTTGGGTATACCAATTGCTTTCGCTTCCAACCTGTTAATGAAAATGAAATCTTTTATATTTAATAGATATACAACTATTTTTATAATTTTGGCAATATTCGATAATTTTATTTTAAAAAGAAGCTAATTTAAATAAACAATATTTAATTTGATAAAGAGAAAAATCAAACCTCGTCAGCTCTCCTTCAGTTGTTGACACCACAGTCGGCAATGCTTTGACAATCTTTGGAGCAAATTCTTCAATGTCGCTCGTTTTCTGCAAAATTATTAAAACATCACCAATTCTGTTATAAATTACCATCCTAACCGAAATTTTAATTATTTCTTAATCACTACTACTTACTTCGTCACTCAAAATATCTTCTTCTGATACACTTGGGACATATTCGTACGCTAGAATAACAAAATCAAAAATTATATACAATATAAAGACAACAGTATGAACTGAAAAATGGCAGTTAAAACTAATTTAGTTTAAAAATCCTAAAAGACTGAGCGGGAGCGATTTATATTGATAATTCACGCAATATTGTAAGTGCTTAATGTGCGTGTAAAGCTTATTCTTAAAAAATAATTATAACTTTCAAAAAAAAAAGCTTCTTTCCAAGTAATTTTAAATTTTCTAAAGAAAATATGTGCTCATACAACTTGCTAATCTAAGTTAATCAATAGCCTGATACAAATTTCAAATACTACAGATGCATGGCATAATTGTGAGGAATGTAAATGTTTGTATGTGCATATCTCACATTCATCGTGCAAATTTATTATATTCATTAGCGTATCGCATGCATTCAGACCACTATAACTGTCACTACCTTCCACTGTCACAATACATTCGCAGCTGCTAGACCCATACTCGTTTGTGGCTACGCAACTGTATGTGCCTGACATTTCTGGAAATGCTTCTTTTATGCATATTTCACATAATCCTGATTCCTGACGGCCAACTGTTATATCTCTGGCCCATTCAATATGCCTCCCATTATGATACCAATCTATTTTAGGCCATGGTTCTCCCATAACTGTACATCTTAACAAAATCTGATCTCCATCCATTAGCGTGGATGATTTTAAAGGTTCAATAAATACTGGTGTCTGTCCAAGAACTTCTTTAATCTCCTTTCTCATAATTAAAGACGCGGAGCAAGAAACAGAGCCTCCAAAGTTTTCAGCCCTACATGTTATTACTCCAAATAGTTCTTCGCTCATATTTTCAATGCAAAGACATGAAACGTTATCTCTATCTGTGATATAAATATTATGTATTTTATTTTGTTTTGTAAAACTAACGACATCTTTATTCCCAAAAAACCATTGGAATGATGCACTTGGACTCGATTGTACTTCAGTTTCTAACAGAACAATATCGCCAACGCTAACTTCTTTTGGTTGTAATGGTTTAATAAATAATGGCGGTGTGACAACATCGTCATCTGTTAATTTAACAAGCTTTATAGTACTTGCTGATTTTAAGACAATATTACTTTTTTCAATGACAACTTCATATTTTCCTACTTTCTTTTTATCTACATTAATAACTTTTAAAGTAGATTTTCCATTATCTATATTAATTTGGCAGTCATCCATTTGTTCTAGGGGTTCATTGTTACGGAACCAAGTTAATTTATCTACTTCTTCTGGATAAAATTTAACTTGAAGTTCAAAATCATCGTTATCACATACAGTCATGGCCTTGATTGGCTGAATTATTTTAGGTCCAACTTCTGTAAAATATGTCTTTGTTAAAGCGTATGCCGTTATGTTAGTTGAACTAGATACAAATACAAATGGGACATTATATTTTCAAATACATTTTTAGGATACTTTTAATTAGTATTTACTGTATTGGAATTTGATAAAAGGTAAATTAATTAAGTTAGGTATAAAGTTAATATATAAACAAGACAGATAATTCAAACGAAAAATTTCATGACCATTCTACATAGAACACAATATTCTATATTATTATAAACATTTTTAATATCCCTTTTACCTAACAGTTTTAGACTAAGTTTAAGTTACAAATTATTATTACAATATAAACACATGTACATGTATGTTTTGTGTCATAATATATTTAAAAACTATATTTGTCGCCATGCATCTGTATGTAATCTATATTTAATATTACATTATAAATAAATAGCAAAACGTCAGTTTCCGTTTATGTTAGGTTAATCTACATTCAACTTACCAGATTTTTTCTGTTTATCCAATTTTTTCTTTGATTTATCTTTTCTTTGTATTTTCATCACGGAAACAGAAGTTGTTTCTTCTACCACTTCTTCACCAGTAATTATTTTTGAGTCTTCTATAATTTCTTGTTCAGTTTCTTTAGATATTACTTTTTGTGTAGGTTTCAGTTGAACTTCCTCGCGTTTTTGTTCTTCTTCATCTTTTTCTTTTATAAGGGGCCTTAGCTGTACTTCTTGAGGATTTTCTTCTTCAGGTGCTTTTTGTTTAGGTACGGGTTTAAGAACCACTTCTTCAACAGGCAGTTCTTCTTTTGGTTTCCTCTTACCAGTAGGCCATGTTACTTCTTCAGGTTCCTCCTGCTCCTTTTGCTTATCTTTCCTGACAGGTTTAAGCTTAACTTCTTCAGGTGCTTTTTGCTTAGCCACTGGCTTTAAAATCACTTCTTCAATAGGTTGTTCTTCTTTGGGTTTCCTCTTACCCGTAGGCCATGTTACATCTTTAGGTTCCTCCTGTTCATTTTGTTTGTCCTTCTTTACAGGTTTCAGCTGAACTTCTTCAGGTTTTTCTTCTTCAGGTGGTTTTTGCGTAGGCACTGGTTTTAGAACCACTTCTTCAACAGGTAATTCTTCTTTCGGTTTCCTCTTACCAGTGGGCCAAGATACATCTTTAGGTTCCTCCTGCTCTGTTTGTTTGACCTTCTTCACAGGTTTAAGTTTAACTTCTTCAGGTTTTTCTTCTTCAGATGCTTTTTGCTTAGGTACTGGCTTTAAAACCACTTCTTCAACAGGTTGTTCTTCTTTTGGTTTCCTCTTACCCATAGGCCATGTTACATCTTTAGCTTCTTCCTGCTCTTTTTGTTTATCCTTCCTGACAGGTTTAAGCTGAACATCTTCAGGTTTTACTTCCTCAGGTGCTTTTTCTTTAGGCACTGGCTTTAGAACCACTTCTTCAACAGGTTGTTCTTCTTTCGGTTTCCTCTTACCAGTGGGCCAAGATATGTCTTTAGGTTCCTCCTGCTCTGTTTGTTTGTCCTTACTCACAGGTTTAAGTTTGACTTCTTCAGGTTTTTCTTCTTCAGGTGCTTTTTGCTTAGGTACTGGCTTTAAAACCACTTCTTCAACAGGTTGTTCTTCTTTTGGTTTTCTCTTACCCATAGGCCATGTTACATCTTTAGGTTCCTCCTGCTCTTTTTGTTTGTCCTTCCTGACAGGTTTAAGCTGAACATCTTCAGGTTTTACTTCCTCAGGTGCTTTTTCCTTAGGTACTGGCTTTAGAACCACTTCTTCAACAGGTTGTTCTTCTTTCGGTTTCCTCTTACCAGTGGGCCAAGATATGTCTTTAGGTTCCTCTTTCTCTTTTTGTTTGTCCTTCCGTACAGGCTTAAGCTGAACTTCTTCAGGTTTTTCTTCTTCAGATGCTTTTGGTTTAGGCACGGGTTTAAGTATCACTTCTTCAACAGGATGTTCCTCTTTTGGTTTCCTCTTACCGGTTCGCCAAGTCACCTCTTTAGGTTCTTCGTCTTCTTTTGGTTTTTCTTTTAAAACTGGTTTCAGATGTACCTCTTCTGGAACTTCCTCGACAGGTGCTTTTTGTTTAGGCACGGGTTTAAGACTCACTTCTTCAACAGGTAATTCTTCTTTAGGTTTCCTCTTACCAGTGGGCCAAGATACATCTTTTGGTTCCTCCTGCTCTTTTTGTTTGTCCTTCCTCACAGGTTTTAGTTTAACTTCTTCAGGTTTTTCTTCTTCAGGTGCTTTTTGCTTAGGTACTGGCTTTAGAACCACTTCTTCAACGGGTTGTTCTTCTTTGGGTTTTCTCTTACCCAAAGGCCATGTTACATCTTTAGGTTCCTCCTGCTCTTTTTGCTTATCCTTCCTGACAGGCTTAAGCTGAACTTCTTCAGGTTTTTCTTCTTCAGGTGCCTTTTCCTTAGGCACTGGCTTGAGAGCCACTTCTTCAACAGGTTGCTCTTCCTTCGGTTTCCTTTTACCTGTCCGCCAATTAACCTCCTTAGGTGCTTCCTCTTCTTTTGATTTTTCTTTTAATACTGGTTTTAGATGTACCTCTTTTTTGACTTCCTCAATAGGTGCTTTTTGCTTAGGCACTGGCTTTAGAACCACTTCTTCAACAGGTTGTTCTTCTATCGGTTTTCTCTTGCCAGTAGGCCAAGTTACTTCTTTAGGTTGATCTTGCTCCTTTTGTTTGTCCTTTCTTACAGGCTTAAGCTGTACTTCTTCAGGTTTTTCTTCTTCAGGTGCCTTTTGCTTAGGCACTGGCTTTAGAATCACTTCTTCAACTGGTTGTTCCTCTCTCGGTTTCCTCTTACCTGTTCGCCAAGTCACCTCTTTAGGTTCTTCCTCTTCTTTTGCATTTTCTTTTAAAACTGGTTTTAGATGCATCTCTTCTGGAACTTCTTCAACAAGTGCTTTTCGTTTAGGCACTGGTTTAAGTATCACTTCTTCAACAGGTTGTTCCTCCTTTGGTTTCCTCTTAGCGGTTCGCCAAGTCACCTCTTTAGGTTCTTCGTCTTCTTTTGGTTTTTCTTTTAAAACTGGTTTCAGATGTATCTCTTCTGGAACTTCCTCGACAGGTGCTTTTGGTTTAGGCACGGGTTTAAGTATCACTTCTTCAACAGGTTGTTTCTCTTTTGGTTTCCTCTTACCGGTTCGCCAAGTCACCTCTTTAGGTTCTTCGTCTTCTTTTGGTTTTTCTTCTAAAACTGGTTTCAGATGTACCTCTTCTGGAACTTCCTCGACAGGTGCTATTGGTTTAGGCACGGGTTTAAGTATCACTTCTTCAACCGGTTGTTCTTCTTTCGGTTTCCTTTTACCTGTTCGCCATGTCACCTCTTTAGGTGCTTCCACTTTTGTAGTTTCAGAATCAGTAAGTTTAAGTATTACTGTGTCCTCTATTGCAGTAAGTGATTCTTCGATAACTAGAGCCTCTGGTTGTTGTAGTGATTTTTTTAGTGGTTTTAAGCTTACGTCTTCCAATTGTTCTTTCTTTATTGACGTTTTTTCTACTTTCGTTGGCTTTAATTTAATTGTTTCTTGGGTCCATGGCACGTTTTCAATAATTTTAGTTTCCTTTTTTTGCTTGAGCGGCTGGCGCATTTCTGTATCTTCTTGTTCTACAATTTTTAAAATATTCATTTCTTCTGTTGTTTTAAGTATTTCAGTATATTTTTCTTCTTCAGGTACTTTGTGCTTGGGCGCAGGTTTTAGAACCACTTCTTCAAGCGATAAGTTTTCCTCTTCCTGTTTTATTTTTCTGACCGTTTTTTGTATAACTTCATCTTGTTTTTCATCTTCAACAGTCGTAATAGACTCATCGATGGTTAAAGCGACGTCTCCTTTTTGCAATGAGCTTTTCCTTACTTGTTTTAAAGTTACATCTTCTAGTTTTTCTTTCTGTATAGATGTTTTTTCTACTTTTGTAGGCCGTAATTTTATTGCTTCTTGAGTCCAAGGAACATGTTCTTTTTCTTGAACTCTTGTTTCTTTCTTTTGTGTCATAGCTCTTTTTTCTAATTGATCTACAGTTTCTTCTACGTTTTCTTCCGATTTATCGACGCCAAGGATCGTAGAATCTTCCACAATAACTTTTTTGTCATCTCGTGGCTTACGCCAGTTGGCCGTTTTCAGGTGTTCAGTTTTCTTAGTAGTTTCTGTATTATCTACACTAAGTAAAACACTATCTTCAGATATTATTTTCTGTACTGTTGTTGATTCATCTTGACGTGTTTTTCGCCAGTGTTTTACTTGAGGTAAGTCTTCCTTTGTAGTTTCACTTGAGTCAACTTGTGGCTTCTTTCTCCAAGGAACTTGTCGCGTTTGCACATCTTCAACTTGTTTTAATTTTAAGATATTGGTTTCTTCTGTCGTTTGATGTAAAATTCTGCTAGTTATGTTATCAGATTCTTCAGACAGTGAAGCTGAGATCTGGGTTTTTTGTCCCTGAATTTGGCGAGATACTCCTTTCCGTGATTCTGAGAACAATAAAAATCATAAGATTTTGCACACAAACTACTTTGTAGTAGCTAAAATGTAAAAAAAACTTCCAAAACAAAATCATATATGTAACAAATTACATTTAAAGTTATTATATACTAGTATTTTGCAGGCAAAATGAAAACGTTTAAATGATTTCATGGTAAGTAAAAATTAATGACGTTAGAATATATCACTAAAATACACTACAACATATGTTAATAATTCTTCGCAGACTTTTTCTTATTTTTGAATAACAATGTTAACTTCCACAAACAGTACGCAGCTTTGTAGCTTTTTCTGTATCTAAATAAGAACATATATAATAACAATAAAAATTGACTGAGTAAGTTAACGAATAAATAATAATGATTTTTTGATGTTTAAAATAATCAGTACCTAGGTTCTATAGTAAGTCCTTGTTAAGAATTATATATATATATATTATTCTTAACAAGGCAATCCTTGTACTCTTGAGAATTGATAAGTTTTAACGAATCTCTTTGAATATTCCTTTTATTTTGTCTATGAAAATAATTAATTTAATAAGTTATAAGGCAATTATTGTATATTGTTTATTGTAAAATAAAATAGTGTGTAAGAACCATAGAAATATCAGATACTAATATTGTAAATGCGAAATTGTGTTGACTCTTCACTAGAATAATAATAATAATCTATACATATAATTAATTTTTCATTTTTTATTATAGACGTAATAAGCAGATAATTTGTAAGAAGAAAGTTTTTAATAACATATTCGATTATTTATTATTGTTCATTTTTTTAAAAACCGCTCGACCGGTTTCGATAAAATTTATATGGGACCACCGGGGAAGTATACCCACCCTTTGAAACCAAAAAAAAAACCAAATCGATCCAGGCGTCTTCGAGTAATCGGTGAACATACATAAAAAAGACACTAAAAAAAATTGAGAACCTCCTTAATATGTATTACTCGTAGACATTTAATTTGCGTTGTTTAAATACCACATACGTTTTCACGAAACGTAATGTAACCGGTTACGTCGACGGGCGTCACCGGTTATTTTATAGGTGGTTTTTGTAATTCAGTCATTTTTGTAACCCTATGGTCATAGTAATATTACATACAGTATTCCATCTTCATACAAACGGTCGGAAATCGAGTTATACCTACGCGCGTCGCGTTCGGTATACACTCGGTAGACAACCGTGCGGGGCTGCCAGATCGTATAATTGAATACGAAAATTGTATAAGGTGGTTATGTTATGTAACTTTTATAATTTCATACATTTTATTCCTTCCGTAACTTCGCTAATGTCAAACAAAAAAGTATCGAGACATCGTATGTTTTAAAAATAAAAATTAAAGTGTTTTTAATTAAACTTTTTATGCGAATGCGGATTCTTTATATTATTAAATTTAAAAATAAAGCTTTTCGTACGTCTCAGTCGAGGCACAAATATTTTTAAATCTCAAATTCATAAGGGTCACATACCACCCTTATAAGTTTGAGATTTTTTATTTAAATCTTAATTTTTATTATTAAATTAAATAAGTTTTTAATTAAAAAATATAATATTTGAAATCACAAAATTAGAAAGAAACTCAAGTAGGTAGATGAAATTAAAATACTGGCCGGCGGGCACTCGGGCAGCCCTGTCGCGTGGGTACGTGACGCTCGGCTGTAGGTAAATATTTCAAGGACAGGCCCGAGTTGGAATACTGTATGCATTACATTACCGTGCTATGGTTTTCGTCACAACTAGTTTCTTGTATACAAACATTGTTATTCTTTACAGTTAGATTTCTATGGGTGACAAGTGACGTAATTTTACAGTTACTTTACAGCTAGTTGCTTTTCTCATGAAATGAAAAAAATATGTAACTACACAGTTTTTGTTTTTCATAAATGCACATTTTTGCACTTATACCGTTCGTATAAAACGTCATCAGAATTAAATTTAAACAAATTTTCGTTCATACTTTATTCAGGCTTAGGACTAACTGCATTACATGTACACTGTACGTAGTCCGAATCTAGTCGATGTAAAGTGTTCACGCGTCTTTACTGTCAATACGTTCTCATCAGTAACGTTAGTTTATATGTATTCAGCCCCTTTTAACGTCCCACTGCTGGGGGTGGGCCTCCCTTCAATACGAGGGGGATCAGGCCATAGCCCACCACGCTGGCCAAGTGCGGATTGGCGGACTTCACAGGTCTTTTGAAAACTTGCTAAGTTCTCTCAGACATGCAGGTTCCCTCACGATGTTTTCCTTTAACGTAAGGCAAGTGATAATCATGTTGGAAATGATTCGCAGATGAAAATATCAGAGGTGCAAGACCCGGGATTTGAACCCGCTTCACTCGGTTTCCCAAGTAAGCGCGTTACCACTGGGCTACCACTGCCTTTATAGTTAGTTTATATGTTTTAAGTAATTTATCGTGATTTGCGGATTTTATTTCAATGGATGTCGAAGCTCAAGTTATGTTCTTAGTTGTAACATTAAAATATATTTGTTTTTCTTCATGTTTAGTTTATTTTTTAAGAGGAAAAGGAAGTATACTTTATAACATATATTATAACTTATATATAACATATATTTTCAATATTTTTTTCAGAAAAAAGGTGTTTTTGTAATAGTTCGAGGTTTAAATGAATATTTAATTTTTGTAGTTAATTATACACCCTAGTCAAGCTATTTACGTAGAAATATGTCACCCATCGTGTCACCGTTTTTTTAACGACAGTTTATACTGTGGAGGTGTTTTTTGGACGATTTACTCATTTACTTAAAAGATTGTTTTTCATTTTAGGTTTGGTGTCAAATGTCAGAAGGTTATTGTAAATGCATTTTAAAGATAGAAATGATCGAAAACTGTATTGAAAGTTGTTGGATATGGAATATAAAATATGGGATACTACGAAATATCCTGAAAAGAAGTTTCGATTTTCAAGGGTTTTGTATTATAAGGGTTTTTTTGTAACAGATACATAATAAATAAGCTTCTGCTGACTTCTGACCCATTATTGAGCTGTGGGCGAAAACGTAGGAACTTAGATCAGCGGAAGTTTCTTACCAGAAACAATAAAATTGTTTTTTAGAAATGGATCCGGAAGATATCAAAGATAACTGTAGGTGAATGTTTTATATTAAACGTTTTATATTAAAATCATATTTCATTATATTAAAAATATTTTCTTTTGTTTAATGAAACCTAACACACAGTAACATTATAATTTATAATATTAAATACACTTTATAGTTATAAAATTAACTTTATATATCATTTCCAATAAGAAATCGGCCAAAGATAATTTTGACCGGATTTTGAGGTCGAATATTCCTGTGTGCGCTGTCTGTACATGAGAGATATTGGAAAAAAACTATTATTCAGCCTTTAGCCTATTCCTTTATTAACGCAATAGAACCCAAAACAACAATTTTTAGATTTTTTGTCGGTTTGACTGTTCATCTAAGCGTTTGTGCGCGTTAATCTCAGAAACAGCTTAACCGATTTGAGTACGGTTTTAACTAATGTATTGTGGCTGAGCGAGCGAGTGAGCTTCACTTAACATTTAGTATTAATTTTATTTTAATCGGTTCATAAATAAAAAAGGTAAGTCAATTTAAAGAACCACCCAGGGACGAACCCGAGCGAAGTGAGGTTGAGTCGCTTGTTTCTCATATAGGTAACTGTGTTATAAATATATGTATTTTTTAGGTTTAAAGAGAATTTTATTCTCAAAAAAGACAAATTCACTTACACGAGAACAACATCTATACTAATATTATAAAGAGGTAAAGTTTGTGAGATTGTGATGTTGTAGGGGGTAATCTCTGGATCTACTGAACCGACTTAGATGAAATTTGGTAGGAAAATAGTTTGAGACCCTGGGAAGGACATAGGATACTTTATCCCGGAAATAATCCCTTAAGGGGGTGAAAATGGGGATGAAAGTTTGTATGGGGAATCAAGCTAGGGGCGAACCCGAGCGAAGCGAGGGTGAGTCGCTAGTAATAACATAAACTAAAATTGTTTTATTCTACGAACTAATATTGTCTTGTACTCGACAACTGAGCTTCTTAAAGTTTCATAAATGGTAAACGACGGAAGGTTTTTAAATGAATTAATGATTCAAACTGATAACATGAAAATGATTTTAACATAAGTATGACTTTGGGGCGCAGTAGCACTAAGCAAGCACTCTTTAATACGCTACAAGTCGTGGGTTCACTCTCTCTGTTTACACTACTATTATATATGTTAAAGTTTGTATGAGTGTATGTTTGTTAATCCTTCACGCCAAAACGGCTGGCATACAGTAAGATATGGAAATAATCTTGGTATTGTTATATTACAGTACGATGGTGGTTTTAAAACCATTGAACGTAATAAAACCAATGAGGTACTATAAGTACTATGAAATTCTTCTCCGATTTTAAATACATGACTTTTTTTAAGATGCTAAGCAAAATTATATTTGTTGATATATAAATTGGTATGGTATATACATATGTGTATTGGTTGGGAGTATTTTTTGTTTTACCATTTTTTAAAACTCTAATCTCTTCACACATGTATATTTAAGAACACTTTATTTCTTATTTGTTTATATTTATAGATTTCTCCCCAACAGCGAACGGTAGAGGCGCTTGTATGAATACGATTTACACATATACGTTTTCCAACAGTTAAGACAGTGAAATCGTACGCATACAAACAAACTTTATTTGTGAAGAATATTATTTTATTAACTATACATATTTAATTAATATCTGACATTTTAAATGACCAAATCTATCACACGATTGTTTTATTTAATATGTATTCTATTGTTATTTTATGTTAATTATTAGTTAATGAGGAAGATAAGCTATGACTTGCATTTAAACTTAATTGAAAGTAAAAAATATTTAGTGTTAAATTATTAATCCTTTTCCTGAACGTCATGAGTCCAGCACCAGTTCGGAAAGGAGAGCCTCTGTCCTGAGAAGAACTGGCGAAAGAAACACAGTAGGTTTTTTTTTAAGAATTTAAACGCCACATCTTAGAAGTTAATACAGGTGCAGAAGAGATGTGTATAGTAATTATATACCAAGATAGCAATGAGTTTACTATCCCGTAAGGGATACAGTGTGAAGTGTTGTTTTGGGAATAGCAGGTCGCTTTTTTCCTAACGTGAGTTGGTTTTCTACAATCAATAAATAAACAATAAAACTCAAATTTTTGACGACAGGTTTGGCTCACTTTGTAGTGACCCTACTTGCTGTGCCAGCGGTTGCGTGTTCGAGCCCGGCTGGTTTTCTTTTCATTCATTTGTGTGGTGAGCACTAATGTTTGTACTCCAGTCATGGGTGTTTGTATTTATAATATGTATGTATTTAAAGTTATATATGTGTAGTGTATCAACTATCTGGTATCCATAACACAAGCCTCGTAGCTGACCATGGAACTAAATGGTGATGTGTGCTAATTTCCCAACATAGATTTTTAACCTTAAGACGCTTTTGAACTAAAACTTTGGTCAGAATATTGTAAATTATTTTGACAATGTATTAGCAACTATAGACCTTTTATAAATCTCCTTAATAAGGCAGTCTACGGACGAAAATTATGGGGTATGTTGAGAAATTTATAAGTAATAAAAAAATTCTAACTTTTTTCTATTATAGACCCGCGCCGCCCTATGAAGTAGTGTATCTATCATTGCCCGATTGTAATCTCATAATTACTTGTTTAACTAAAGCATAGGAATATTTAGTGATGTACTGATAAGAGCGTACATACGCACTCTCTTTTCCTTTAACTACAAATGTTAAATATGAAGACACGATCTTTTCGGATTTTGAATATGAAGACAACAAACAGGTGGACTCAATGTCAAGAATATATTTAAATTGGTTTTTTTAATCTGTAGTCGAATTTCGATTATAGTTATTGAAAATTTGAGCAAAACGTATATGAATAGAATCAACCTCTATATAGAAGGCTAACAGTTTTCAATTTTTTTTATTAATAGCACTAACGCTCGTCAATAGCTTTTGAACAAAAACAAAATAATCGGTTGACAAACAGGAGAAAAAGGTACCGAACGGTTTTGTCTTCGCCTATTTGTATATAGATTTTTAAACGTGGTACTTCTTATTTTGAACGATAGGTTTTCCAATTAAATTTTATATGGAATACTAGCGACTCACCCTCGCTCCGCTCGGGTTCGTCCCGGAGGTGGGGTCTGGGAGGACCACCCTTATCCTTATCACTTAGGGGTATTAAAAATAGATAGTAGCCGATTTTCAGACCTACTGAATACGCATATAAAATTTGGTAAAAATCGGTAAAGCCGTTTCGGAGGAGTACGGTAACAAACATTGTGACATAGAAATTTTATATATAAGATAAATATAATTGACCAAAAATCACGCATTTAGTTATCTGGGTCTGAGAGACCCAATTTTCTATGACCACACAAATCGAGTTTGATATCATTGAATATATTTGTTATGACGACTTTAAATGTTCGTTTACGGTTTATTCATTTTAACGATTATTTATCGGAGTTCGAAAAAAAAATCCAAAGACGATATATTATAGATTACAAGTTGTTTCTCTACAAATAATAATGTTAGATTTTCTAAGAAATAAAATTAAATTGATATATAGTAAGTATATATGAGAAGGATTAATATAAACATATTTTAAATATATATTATAGTATTACATAAAGATCGAGTACAATAATTATATACTGTGGTGGATATATGGATAGGAACAAAGGAAATAATAAAGATATATACATATACATTTATTTCGGGAGCTTATTAACCTTGAAGATTGTACCTATTAAGAATCTACATGCATATAAAAAGGTTGTCAGAAATATATATATATTTTTGGAGTAAAACTTGTTTAGGCGTGACTGAGGGGTAAGTAAAAACATTGGAAAGATAAGTGTCGCGGAAATGAGTATCAAAATTATTAATAATTAAAAAAAATAATATGTAAAAATATAAGTATATTTATTGTTAAAAATTTAATAATAATTGGACCCAGTTATGCAAAAAACAGCCATGTGCGTAAAAGTATCAACAGAGTTATAAGCATTTTTCTGTCGATAGTTGCACTTGGGTTATGTTTTGTTTTTCTGGTTATTTTAAAATTGAACAATATTTATATACGTATTGTTTATTTTTTATAATTATCTTATTACTTATAATAAAATTCTTATAACTCTGTTGGTACTTTTATGCACATGGCTGTTTTTTGCATAACTGGGTCCAATTATCACTTATAAATATGAATAATATTTATAAAACTACGCCGTTATGTTTTTATAAATATCAATAAATTCCTTCAAAATTATCTCCGGTCTTAAATAGGACGGGTATTTATTGTTTCAAATTATGGAGCCTTCATATACTATCCACTTATATCAGAATCTTACTATATTATAAATGTTTAGATGTTTGTTACTCAACCACGCTAGAACGGCTGAAGGATTCTGGATGAAATTTGGCGCAGTAGATAGATTATAGTCTGGAGTCGTACATTTTATCCAGGAAAAATGTGCAGTTCCCGTGGGATAGACTTGTTTTTGGTTTTCTAGAAACGAATAGAGAGCGAACCCGAGCGAAGCGATGGTGAGCCACTAGTTCTGTTATATATAAATATAAAAGTTTGCATATGTGTGTATGTTTGTTACTCATTCACACTGAAATGGCGGGACCGATTTGAATGAAATTTAATACACAGGTATATTATATACATTTTTTTTATTATTAGGCACCTAAGGGCGCACCCGAGCGGACAACGGTAAGATGCTAGTTAAATTACTGTATTTTCTCAATCTAAAGGATCGTTTAAAGTTGAGTTTTATTAGTATCCGCTTATATAAACTATGTTTGTATAAAAATTTAATCAATATTAGTAAGGCCATATCTTTGCTTAGAAGTATCAATGTAAAATTGCATTATTGTTGTAATTTAATATGGAGAATTCTAAGATCCTAAAAGTCCATTTCAATAAAAATATATCGTTCTTAAAAAACAGAACATTTAATACTAAACTACAGAAACAAAATACGTGTGTTTGCGACTTCAAAATATACTTTCAAATGTTCACATAGTGAAATGATATGAAAGCAAAATAAGCTCTGTGTCTTGTATGTAAGGTTTAAAACCTAACTGTTAATCTATCTGTTATAGAATAGCACACCTATTCTGCACTTATGCTGGGCTATTCAAATGACATGCGAAATCCAGCACACATGTGTTGGCGTAAAGTAAATAAAATAATAGCAACTGTTCTCTAACGCAAGAGAATATATCGAAAAAATTATAAAAAAAAGGAAGATGCTTAGAGAATTTTCGATTAAGCCAAAATGCATCTTTTAAGTAAAAAAAAAAAAACTTTTTTCCAGTACCGTATTATAGTTTAGAAGAAAACACATTAAATGAACATTACATATTTAAAATAAAACTGTCTTTTCGGTTTTTTTCCTACCTACCCACTAGGGTGGGTAGGCTGTTTGTAACAACTATGTATATAATGCCTTTGAGACATCTAACATCTTAGTCTCTCCGGTGACCATGATTTCTGTAAACATTCGAAACGTCGGGAACCAAAAATCAAAATAAATCCGCGAAAAAAACCGAAAAGATAGTTTTATTTAAAATGTGAAATATTCGCGTTAAATTAAGAAACAATACATAGTATACTTCATAACAGCTGATGTAAATTCTTACTAATACATATTTACCGGTGTCTTACCCTCGCTTCTCTCGGGTGCGTTTCTAAGCTTGAATGGTTTAGGAACGCAGAAAAAATACGACAGAAAAAATAGAAAAAATATTTTTTTAGGCCAGCAACTTTCGCATGACCACCAGACCTTCACCACAATGGGATCAAAGGCTTAGGAACGGATAGTGCACAAACAAACGAACATTCATTTTTATTTATATAGATATATTATGCGAAAGTATGTTAGAAATGAAAATTTATATAAGTACTTTTGAATTGTCAATAAATCCGAGAATCAAGAAAGTCCGTGTAATCGGTTCGAGGAAGCTACCACCGGCTCAGAAAGCAGTTCTGCTGAGAAAATCCGACGACAAACTGAACATTTGCTCTTTTAAAAATCGAGAAACTGTGTGTAATACAACATTATAGCTATCCCGCATGGAGTTGCTTTACATTAATTCCGCACATTTTCATCAACAAGAAACTTGTACAGAGGATCTCGTTGGAAACTATACAATTAAAAAAGTTACTTGACAGTAACGATAGACTGTCTAGCGTCTACAACTACATAGAAGTCGGAAGCGTAGTCCACAGTCCACGATTTGAACTAGTCGATCAACTAGTCGACGAAAGAAAATGAACGGTCTAGTTTCGTTCACGCTAAATACGTCGACGACCGTAATCGTAATCGTAACGCAATCTAAGCCACTTCAAAAAAAGTTAATTATATAGTACGCCTGATTTCTATATTTATCTGTAGTTTTCCTTATTTAAGCGATAGGAATTTCACATATGTATGGAGCTTATGTCAGATTTTTAATATTTAGTAAAGAAATCCTTAGATAGATAGGTTATTGTAAACAGTCGCGCCGTTAACATGTTCATTGCCAATCACGGGATCGCGTGGACGGCGCTATGAAATTTTAAAGCAAAAAAAATTTAGCCACCCCACGAAATCCCAATTTTCAGCTTGAAAATAAACGTGTGATAGTAAATAATACTTTAATATACAGAAAAGTCCATGATAGTGATTAAAATTTCAATTTATGGAGAATCGCATTGGTAGCTTGTAGTGTTTTTTAATTTTGTTTGACAATCAAAAAAATAATTCTTTCCTTAATTTAGTTACATTCAGTTTCATTATCGATAACATATTATTTTTAAAGTATTAATATTAAGATGATACATATATTACAGAATATTTAGGCTGGACTATAATGGATGTTTATCTATTTTGGATATCGCTCGAACGTACAAATGCCGTTATCTATCCTTCCCCCTTATTCAAGATGTCTTTCTAGTTTCTACGACGTTATCGTAAATAGAAAACAAATGTCTACGACACAGTTTTCTATACATATAATAAAATTGTAACTAAGCCAAATCTGTACATTAAATATTTTTTTGAAAATCTTATTGAAATAGACATTATTATCGATACAGAGGCCGAATCTACAGTTTGTAGAATTTTTGTCTGTCTGTCTGTTACCGCATCACAGAAAAACCACTGGAGGGATTTTGATGAAATTTGGTATGGTGATAGCTGATTATCCGGGTCAACATATAGGGTACTGTTTACCGCAGAAAAATATCTCATTTTTGAGAAAAAATACAAAAACTGCATTGTAAGAGTATACTAATATGTAAAACCTAAGAATTTGCTTTTTGGTCATCTGAACGCGGACGGAGCCGCGGGCAATGCTAGTAAACTAATATAATCTTTATCGTACATAACTTTATATATTGTAAATTTTTAAAACGTTTCCAATAAAGATTTCTATTTATTTATAATGATTTACGACAGTGATATATTTTGACATCTACACATAGATATACATATATGTATATAGATAAACAAAATTGAAGTGTCTGTTTGTAATCTCAAAATAACAGCTTTTTACTAAATTCACATGACATTATAATTATACGTTACCTACTTATAAGAAAAACACAATTTTTAAACTTTTTGTCTATCTGCTAAATGCGAGTGAAATCATGTACGGTACTAATATAAAAAAACAATTTAACCCTAGATAGCTAACCTCCGTCGATTCGACGGGTACCGAGAATTAATATCACTGTCCCTTTTTAATTTTGAGTCCGCACGAGCCGTCGCGTTATATGACCTCAGTGCCCGCCTGGACGGTCGCATCGGCACACGCGTCACTCAGGTAAGTGTTGTAGTTCTCGAGTTACGCTAACTTTGACACGTCATTTCGACGGATGGTTAGCTTTAGCGTAACTTTTTAGAATTGAAGTGAGTTGACACTTTTGTATATTTTTTCATTCAAATTTGTTTTTTTTTTTGTAGATTTTACAATGGCACGAAATTCAATGCTGAATAGCGATGAAATATCCGCTATTATAAATGATGAACTGAATGAGGACAATTTTGAGGGCGATTCTGCCAGCGAAACCGAAGACTTCGTCGAGGAAGATTGTGTCCAAGACGATGAAAATTATGAGCCTTCGGACTCTGAAGATGATCTTCCAGCAGATCCACAAGTCACAGCACAGGTGCTTGCCTCCAGCTCGCCCACAAATCAGCTTGTAAGACCTCCATCCTCGCGGATTATACAGCTACCGCAAGCAAACATTAGAGGTAAAAATCGACATTTATGGGCAACCTCCAAGGGGCAGACTTCCGGAAGAACCTCGATCAGAAATATTGTACGCACATCGAGAGGACCAACCCGTTCCTGTAGAGGAATCACAGGTGAGCTGCAATGTTTTGAAAAATTTTATACTGAAAATATTTTTGAAGAAATTGTGAAATGGACAAATGTAGAGATAAGCGTAAAAAGAGCAAATTATCAGACTATTACCGCTACACAAAAAGATACAAATATAATGGAAATGAAAGCTCTAGTTGCATTACTCATTTTGGCAGCAGCTCTAAAGGACAATCACTTGACCACCGACGAAATTTTCAACAAAATTTTTTGTGGCCTTGGTTATGTTGCCGCTCTTAGTAGAGAGAGATTTGATTTTTTATTGAGATGTTTACGTTTCGATGATAGAGATATTCGCCTACAACATTTACAAAATGATCCTTTTACACCTATTAGAGTGATATGGGATATGTTTATAGCTCAATGTCGCAGTAACTACACTCCGGGGTCCAATGTGACAATAGATGAGCAATTACTGGGCTTTCGCGGAAGATGCAAATTTCGTATGTACATTCCCAATAAGCCAGCAAAATATGGGATTAAAATAGAAATGATGTGTGATAGTGGCACATACTACATGTTAGATGCCATTCCATACCTAGGAAAATGCACGGATACTGGTGGATTGCCCCTAGGTGAATATTTTGTAAAAGAACTGACCCGCAGCATCCATGGATCGAATAGAAATGTGACCATGGATAATTGGTTTACGTCTATACCGTTGGCGAAGAGCCTGGAAAGAGAGCCATATAAGTTGACTTTAGTGGGTACTCTTCGAGCTAATAAACGGGAAATTCCTGAAGAACTGAAGAATTCTAGGACCAGAGAAGTCGGCAGTTCTATATTTTGTTATGATGGGCCACTTACCTTACTGTCATTCAAACCAAAACCGTCAAAAATTGTTTATATGTTGTCGTCCTGCGACGAGGAGGGCACCGTGAATGTAACATCTAACAAGCCCCATATGATTGAATATTACAATTCGACCAAAGGAGGAGTGGACACACTAGACCAGATGTGTTCAAATATGTCATGTAGTAGGAAGACAAATAGATGGCCTATGTGTGTCTTTTATGGAATGATAAATATCGCTACCATCAATAGTTATGTTATTTATTGCCACAATTTGACGACATCTGGTAAAAAGGTAACACCTAGAAGAGACTTTCTGAAAGCTTTATACTTCCAGCTTGCAGAACCTTGGCTAAAAGTAAGACTGGCAGTTACAACCATGCCTAGACACGTAATTGACAATATCCATAGTGTTCTACAGTTCCAACAATCCCGAACTTTGACTAATTCAAGAGCTGGCCCTGAACCTGAAGTACCTGGTACATCATCAGATATTGAACCTGGTAACCCTGAAGTAGCTTCGACATCTACGGCAACAGAAGCGCGTAAGAGGAAAACGTGTAGTCAATGTCATTATAAAAAAAAGCGTATGACAAAAACGATATGTGCCACTTGTAAGAAACCGATTTGTGGTGAACATAAGGTTGATTTATGCATTACTTGTGCCAAAGATAAATAAGTAAGTTTTTGTCATTTTATTTTTATAAGTTTTGTTATACTACAGAAATGTCAAATAACGACATTACTGCGGATTTAATAGTTGATTTTGCATGTTCTAAGATTTCATACTAATTGATCTCATTTTTTTATAGTGCCTTATAAAAGTTTGTGCCAAATAAAAAATATACTTAGTAAGTTAAACTTTAAAGATGTATTTTATTTCAAATCCCTAACAGTATCCTATAAATAAAAAATATTTCATTTAAATTATTACTACAAGTAAAAAACCACCAATTATTAAATACCCGTCGTTTTGACGGATGGTTAGCTTATAAGAGGTATTGAATAACGTTAGCTATCTAGGGTTAAAAAAAAATATGTCTGTCTGTTTGTTTGTTCCGGCTAATCTCCGAAACGGCTGGACTAATTTTGACGAAACTTGCACTGCAGTTAGCTGATGTTATAAGGAGTAGCTTAGGCTACTTTTAATTTAGAAATAGAATTAAGGTACCGCTCAAAAAAAACGTACTTAGGGACGCACCCAAATGACGCGAAGGTAAGTCGCTAATGATTTAATCATTAAAAATGATACATTTAATTTTATTTTTTTCATTAGTAGTGACGATTTTTGAATGTTAAATTACAGTTAAATACGCTGGGCGATGGTTTCCGTTGTACTATAATTTATAGGTAAGTAAATGCGTTTTACGTGTTTAATGACTTTTATCAAGCCATTCGCACGTACATTAAGTTTGGTAAAATGTTCGTTCAAATATTTTATTTTATTATTACCTATAATATTTATATGAATTTTGAATTTAAACCATCAAAGTGAAAAATTGTCGAAATGTACGTTTTCTTTCTACGCAACAAAGATAGTACTTAAGCATAAAATACGATTATCAATAGTTTGAATAAATGTTTTATATTATATTTGCAATATAACATCAACTGAAAATTTTCAATCATTAAAAATCTATCTTAAATATGTCATTAAAGAAATATCTTGAATTAATAAACTTTATAAATAAGTATATTATCTGTATAGCAATTTGATCTCAATAATCACATATTTATTACTTAATATGCTTAAAAAATGTTGATCTTTGCCTCAAGATATTTCAAAGTAAAAGAAAAAAATTCAAAACTAGTCCACCAGATGTCCAACCTCATACTCGTACGTAAGTATCAACGAGTAATACAAAACACTCCATGACCTTCAAATATACATTATTATACTAATTATAAAATTTTATCGAGGTTATTGACCTATTATACTTTACTGAATTATGTCATATAATACTTACATATATTGTTACTATATAGTAAATGCTTTATTTCAACACTTCTTTTATAATACATCTTGACGTCACAATGAAGAACAAAATCTAACTTATAAAATTATATTATAAAAAGATTATAATAAACTATTTTTAACTGCGTAAAGATACGAGTTTATTTAATTATTTCGTTGTTTTTTTATTATCACAATAAAACTTAGAACTTCTTTTCCGCGCCCGTTAATATATTGACGTTTAAATGTCAAACATTTAAACTTTTTGACAGAAGTGACAAATTGCGATTTGACATAAGTATTTCGTTTTGAATCAGTCGTTAATTTTTTTTAGGTAATAATATAAATATAATTATAGTTCTCCTATTAAACCATTGCTCTTTTCCTCTTTTAGTAGAAAAATAAAAATTTACTTACCTTCCCGCATATACTTACGATTAGCTGGAACCAGTAGCTGCATGGAAAATCTACCTAATTCAATTTTGAAGAAATTAAAAATTAACCTTGTGTGCTTTATATTAAATATGATAGGTATACTTTAATGTAATTAGTGTGAAAGTTTACTTTTTCAAATTCGTGTGCTTATGTGTGCGGTGTCAAAAACGTGTTCATTTTGCCTTTCTAAATAAATGTACCTCTATTATAGCTAATTCAATTATATTTGAGGAGTGACATTAAAAATATTCACCCCCAAAAACCCAAAAATATCAAAATTTGTTAACATGAATCTATGATAAAATTCTAACAAACCTGTATTAGATTATAGTTAATTAACTGTTTAGTTACAACAGTAGCAAAAGAAAAAAAACTATGATATATTAAAACTAAATTCTCAATGGCATGAATAGAATAGAGGTTTAGATAGAGGTGTGCCAGTCGATGAAATAAAGCAACTGTAGTGACCTCGCCATCCATCAACGGAGCTTAAACAAGATGTCAATACACAATCGTTGGAAAATAAAAAAAATTAAAAATTGTATTGAAATGACAAAAATCGTTATGTAATAGACTGACATGTCATTTCGATATATTTTGTTATTTCTATTCTTCAACGATTGTAGAATAATGTCTTGTCTAAGCACAAAGATCGCAAAAGCAGCACTTCCACATACGCAATCAAATAACTCGAGCTTAGTCTCGGATTTTTGAACTATTTTGATGGACAGTTCCGGCACTAAGTGTCAGTGCATTGAGGAGATAATATAAATATTAAATATTTTAATGATCGCATTGAAAAATTTTGTATCGAAATTTCTAACTACTATTATCGGGTTGTTTTACTATGCCGTGTTTGTTTGTGTGTAGAATAATGCGAAATGATTAATTTATAGCGTTTATTAAACAGTTTTCACATAAAGGTAACATACAAAAGATTTTTTTCATAAATATATTATTAAATATGGATAGGTAGGCACTAAAATATTAAGTGATAAAATACTGTCACGCCTAATAACTTATTACAATTAGGTGAAACATACAACACAATTTAATTTTAACAATATCGTGCACTTAAAACAAACTAAGTTAAAGATCACTGTAACGTTAAACTATAAAAAAATCTCATTCAATTCGGATTTGTACTTGCAGAAAACATTAATTAGGTCACCAACATCGGCAGTGTTTGTCAAAACATAGAAACTGGCAAGGCAAGTAGTGCGTGCGAACTTTAGAGGAGTACTCGACGCCGCAGGCGCGATCGACGTTACTCTAACATGTTTCTTTGTAAATTAAGTTGACAGCGGAATTACAGACTAGGAACTACTGCGATCTGACGAACAACCGTCGCGTTCTCGAGAACGAACCACCCGGAGCCCGCGGCACCTACCGCGCGGGCTTGATTGAGCGGCAAAAACTATACGCGCATGACGTGACACTGACAAGTTAGTCGTTGCTGTTAGATGACATTAGATGGCGGCAATCACACCGTGGCCTGCGTGCGTGTTATGTCGACGGGCCCTGATTGCGAAGTCGAGACTACACGTTACAAACAATGATACATGCTTGAGAACAAAGCTGAAGCCAGGACTTGATTGCAAAATTCTGTAATGTTATGATACTCTTTGAACTTGTACGATCACACGATTTAGTTTAGTTAGGATGAGAGATGATAAGTGACATCTTAATATGATTACAAAAGTTCAACCAAGTCCCACTTTCATTTACAACTCGATACATTAACCTAAATGGAACGGTGTACTTGATGATGTAGTTTGAGATCGTTACATGAGTTTAACAGGTCTGATCTCAATAAAACACAGAAAGCATGAAGTAAATTTTAATTTTAAAGGTTAATAAGGCCAAATAAATCGTAAAATCTTAGCGCAGGCTTACATTACGAGAGAGTATTGGGTGAAAAATACATTTGACGGTACGCCAACAGACGCGTCTAGTGTATCACGTAATGTGTTCTACTTCACAAAAATATTCGATCACAAGACGTACATTTAGTAAACATCGTAGCGGTAAAGCAAAACAAAACAGTCGTAGAATATTTCGTGTGTCGTGTTAATCACATGTTACGTGTGTCCAAATATACAGAGGCTCCTCGCACGACGATGGCAGCTCCCAGGTGCGGTCGGCTCGGTGGCTGACTAGGACTATTTACACAAAAAGCTTAAATGTACAGCAATGTTAGATGCAGTATCGCGCAGATTATACTACGAAGTTAAGTTTACAATTTGGTCCACTAGCAAGTAATGTTAGATGCGCGCTCAAAGATCGGATGTGGGGCGCATGGAACAGTGTGGTATTCTCTGCGGTACGGTATAGTGAAGTGGACATTTGTGAAAAGCTAGGTGCTCAAAGTAGTCTATGCGTCATATTCTCACGACTAGAGTTTACGCGAGGTCTAGGAAGCGGGCGGGATCGTTACTGCGGGAACCGCTACGATTGTGTGATGCCGTATATGTTCGTTTGTATTCGCTTGTCAACTGAGTTAAGTAGTAGTTTTCACCCGATCTCATTGAGGTATAGAGATGAAACAAAGAAACACTACATTAATGGATTAAAAGTGCGCGACGCGAGCTCGCTGCCTGTATCTATGTCTTACTTTTGACGACTAGTTTTGCCGAGGTCTCGACCTGGCCCGCGGCGGTGGTAGCGCGGCAGGTGAAAGTGCCAGTGTCCTCTTCATAAGTGTTTCCAATCAGCAGCACTGCATTGTTGCCCTCGTGTATCATCTGTTAATGAATGTTAAATTTTATAATTGTGACAAGTTTTTTTTTATTTATCTACTGTACTATTGGAAATTGGATTAAAAATAGTTTTACATATATTTAACTAGTTATTTAAATAATTTCACAGAATACTTACTTGGAAATCAGGGGTTTCGGGTATAAGAGCACCTTCTCGAAGCCATTGAATAGTTGGTTTAACTTTGCTATTGATTTGGGTCTTGAATTGTGCAGGCTGACCCTCATATACGACAATATCGCGTAGTGGTGTTAAATTTGGCAAGTTGTCAGCTTGGTCTGGCTGTGATACTTTAAGTTTCGCTGCTACAGTTACTCGTCCAGCTGAATTATAAGCTACACACTTGTAATCACCCTCGTCTTCAGGGAAGGCCTCAGATATACGTAGAGTGTAATCATCTGCCGTTCTAGACATTTGGAAATACTTTGACGGTTTAATTAGTTTTTCTCCTTTATACCATTGTACTGTAGGAACTGGTTTCCCGACGATCTTACAACTAAATTCAATAGCTTGTCCTTCAGCTACTACTTTGTCCTTTAGAGGTTCAATAATTTCAGGTGGAGAGTTAGCCGCTTTTGTTTGAGGCTTTGGCTTATCTTTAGTAGCAGGGGCATTAACAACACATTCAGCATCACAACGTGCTTCACCAGCGCTATTAATAGCAACGCATTCGTATTTACCAGAGTCTTGAGTAAAAGCTTCTAAAATAAGAAGAGTGTAAGTACCATCTTCTTCCAAAATCTTGTTTCTGATATCTGGTTGAACTTTCTTTCCGTTCTTTAGCCAGTATACGTCTATGGGCTTGGTTCCCGTAACTTTTGTATCAAACCTTACCAACTGACCAGCTATAACATTTACATTTTGGGCTGTTAATGTAAAGCTAGGAGGTATAATGCCACCTCTACCTTGTCGTTTTCGCTCTTCTACGACTAAGTTAGCGCTGCATTTTGCTGTACCACCTCTATTTTCTGCAACAGCAGCAAAAACGGCAGAATCTTCAATAAACACTTGTCTAATAATTAATATGGATTTGGTGCTAAATGTGTGAATTTGGAAATCAGGAGAATTTTTGATTGGGAAGTTCTCACGGTACCACTTAATTGTTGGAAGTGGATCTCCGTCAAATTCTACTTCAAATCTTGCCTGCTCATGTTCGAATGCACGACATGGTTGCATTTTTTTGGTAAATATAGGTGGTGTGCTAGGCTTGACAAGTCCTTCTACCACTCTTTCTTGAGTTTGCGCCTTGTGTTCAACTTCAGTAGTTTCTGTAGATGTTATTTTACGAGTTATTTCAGTATCACCAACTACCTCTTTTTGAATTTGTTTTTGTTTTGCGACATGCACTTCTTTGCCATGAACAGTTGATTCAGAAGGACCGGGTATTCTTGGCTTTTGAACTTTCTTTTGAGTTTGCATTTCAACGACTTCTTCAGTTTCCCTAAAAAAGATTTGAATTATTTAATATATTATTTTTGTTAAATAATGTTGAAAAGTTCAAAAAGGTTTCATAACAATCATAAATTACTTACAAATTGTCTTCATATTTCTGCGCCATACTCCTAGCAACAGAAGAGCTAGTAACTTTCTCTCCAGGGACAGCGTACTGATGAGATGACTCCCTTAATCTACTTTCCTTAACAATTTGTTCATTCTCTAATTCCTGAAGTTTATTATAATATTCTTCACTCTTCTTCTTCTTAACGGTTTGCTGCCATTCAGTTTCAGCATCTTTAACTACCTTTGGCTTCAATTCGGGTCTATGATCTATTACACCTTGACGTTGCATAGTGTGCCTCTCCTCAAATGTTTTTTCTAATTCAGTTTCAGTGCGTTGATATTGCGTTGTTTCGTCATACCAAGCTGGATAGAATCAAAAAATTATATTAGGTAACGTTAATTTCTTTTAATTCTCGAAAAATACTTCAAACATACCTCTTCTAGAATCCGATGCTAAGGCGGTAGAAGCAGGTGATTAGCGGCACTTCTTCGCATGGATAGGAGGGATTTCAAGGAAGCAAGGGATTTTTGTGCTTAAGCGAGTGTGGAGTGTGCGTGAAATGTGGACGTGAGTTAGTGCAGCAGAATCAGAAAAGCCTTATTTTTCTTCTCAGTTTCATTTTGCATATTATAAGCATAGATAAGATAAGAGCATCAGAAACTTTGAATAGCTTGGTCAACGTGTCTTATTCGAAAAGTGTAAATACTTACGCCGTGGTGCGTTTTTGAGTACACCTCTATAATCATCGTGTCTCGGGATAACTTTTAATTCGGTCGTAGCTAAAGCCTCTCCTACTGAGCTTCTGGCAATTACTTCGATTTTACCAGTATCATACTGTCTCGTTTTAGGTATGTCTAAATGATACATTCCATCGTATGTTAACTTGTATCTAGAACCCTGTAATATTAAATATGATTATATAAATAAAAAGTAGCAATTACATACTAGTCTTAAAATCGTTAAGAAGTGATGAGTCTAGCGGTACATGGTTAACGCTAAGGCTATACTAGTAATTAAAACTTTTGATCATATTAGCGAACTTACGTTAACGATCGTGTTTCCGTTAATGAGCCACATTACGCGAGGTTTTGGATGGCCTGTAACACGACAGCAAAAACGGGCCCACTCTCCTTCTTCAACTGTTACTGGTTCTGGACGACTTACAAATACAGGTGCTGATCGAGGCTTGGTTTCTTCAACGGTGCTCTCAGGTGCACTATTTCAATATTAACACATTAATAATATATAGTACGCTTTTTATTGCTATTAATATTATTATACTAAAGCTTTTGCAAATACTTACACTTGCCAGGAAGCTTCCATTTCTCTTATTTTTTCAATACTCTTCATATGCTTAGGCAACTGAGAATCGTATACAATGCCTGGTTTACCAGCTGTCTTAATAACAGCTTTAGTTTCATCCATGCCGTACAAATTGGTAGCACGGCAAAGATATTCACCGCTATCTTCAGGATAAACCCAACCGAAGTTCATCGCAACGTAACCAAAGTCATAAATTGGTGTAAACCGATTCTCTGAAAATATATTTGAAGGTGAATATCATCATAAAAATAATCATGAACCGTAAATTTTAAAGAGCATCACTTACTGTGTAGCAAAGGTTTGCCATTGAAAAACCATTCAACTTTCATGTTTGGATCACCAACTGGGGCCAGTTGGCATTCAAATTTGGTTGATTCCATTTCAACAAGCGTTGTTTGGCTTTGAATTTGAGTGACAAATCGTGGTGGTTGCTTTTTGTCAACATCGTAAAGATCATCTTCTGTTAGGAAAACTTCAGAGGTATATTTTTTAATTGTTGCCTCCATTTGTGTCAAAGCTTCCGATTTCTTCATACCCTTAGGTACTTGGTTTTGTAAGATAATGTCCGGTAGTTCTGTATTAAATAAAATATACGAATTAAAATTACATTAATTCAAATTGAGCAGTATAAAGAATTAAAAATAGCAATCTACTTACGCTTGCATGATACTGTTGCTTTAGTAAAATCTTCTCCAAAGTCGTTTACAGCTCGGCAAACATATTCACCTGAATCTTCAGCATATACGTATAAAATATCAAGGGACACAAAGCCCATATCATAAACTGTACGGAATCGGTGCCCTGAGGGTAATAATTTTCCATTCCTATACCATTCAATACGCAATTTAGGATCTTCCTTTGGTTCGACACGACATTCAAAACGGATGGATTCAGATTCTTCAATGGTGTGTGACTGAATTTGAGTAATAAACTTAGGTGGAGTACTAATTACAGGTTCTTCTTTAGGAACTTGACTTACACGTCCTTTTTCTAGTTCCTTAATTTTCTCACCGCTCATGCCTTGCGGTAATTGTGATTCTAAAATAATGTCGCGTTTCGTGCTGCATGTAATCTTAGCGGTAGTGGTGGCAGAGCCCCACTTATTAGTTGCCCTACAAGTATACTCTCCAGAATCTCTTGCATAAATATAATCAATGTCTAAAGCAATGAAACCAAAATCGTTAAGCATATGCACTCTAGATCCTGTTGCAAAAGGTCTTCCATTGTGGAACCAATCGATTCTCATTGTAGGATCACCGACAGGTTCTACGCGGCAGTCGAAGTGTATAGGACCGCCTTCGCTTACATCAAGATTGTCCTTGATTTCAACAGTAAATCTAGGAGGATTTGGTTTCTCATCCTCTATAGTAATTTCTTCGCGTTTATGCAGAGTTTCTTCTAGTTTTTGTATACTTTCGGTTCCTGATTTAAATTGCGATGGGAGTTGAGGTTCAAGTATAATACCTTGCCTACCTTTGACTTGGAGCTTACACGACACTGTGGCCTCACCATGACGATTCGTTGCTTTGCATGTATATAAACCGGCATCACGTTGGTATACGCCACCAATTTCTAATATAACAAATCCAAAATCATTAATAGTCTTCACTCTAGAACCAGTAAGAAGAGCTTTGCCATTATGGAACCATTCAACTGTCATGCTGGAGTCATTGACAGGAATTAACCGGCATTCAAAGTGTGCTGACGAATTTTCCGATAGGATGAGATCTGATGGTGTGGTTACAAATTCAGGTGGTTTTCCACTTTCAGCTTCTGGAGTCAAATTATCCACGGTACCAGTATAACCTTCTAAAGCAGCGATCTTGTCAATAGTACCTTCCATACCTTTAGGTAACTGAGATTCCAGGATAATGTTTCTTTTCCCTTGTACTTTCATAGCAGCCGTTGTTACTGCTTCACCATAGTGGTTATATGCTCTACATGAGTATTCACCAGAATCTTCTGGGTATGTTGGAGATATTTCAAGAATAACAAATCCAAAGTCACAGAAAGTCCTGAATCGAGAGCCAGCCTTTAGTGACTTTCCATTCCAGTACCATTCAACCTAAAAAATTGTATTAAATTAAGTAAAATATTTAAATAATTTATAAATTAAAATATTTAACTAATTAACAAATTTAAAAAATGTTAGTTATTTAATTGTCGATTAAATATGAAACAATTGCTTCTATTAATATTGAAAATTACAACTACTTACTTTAAGATTAGGATCATCAGTAGGTGTTAAGCGTGCTTCAAAGTGAGCGTTTTCTCCTTCTCTTAAGTTTTCGATGTTGGAAAGTGGCACTGTAAAGACCGGCGCCTTTCCACGTTTTTCTTCTACTTCAGTGTCTTTTCTGCGAATCATCGAGTCTTCTAATGTCTGCAATTTTTCCAATCCACCTTCCATGCCCTAAAACATTTGTAGTGAATTAAACATATAATCTCCTAGTGAACTACCCAGGGACTACTAAACAAAACAATTTTATGCTGTATCTTTATTATTTAATATACTAACCCGCGGTAGTTGCGAGTCCAAAATCAAATTCTCCTTCGATGTGCATTTAAGCGTGGCTTTCGTTGAATCACGGCCTAATTTATTGGTTGCAATACATTCATATTCACCCGAGTTTTCTTCATAACAGTACAAGATGTCTAATATAACAATTCCAAAATCATGGAACGTTCTGTATCTATGTCCATGTGGTAATTTTTTACCGTTATAGAACCATTCGACCTTAAGGTCAGGATCATCCACCGGTGTCAATCTTGCTTCAAAGTGGGCGCTCTGCCCTTCTACTAATTTTGTGACATCTTGTATCTGAGTAATAAATTTAGGTGGCTCTGCAGAAGCTGGTGCTGGAGCTTGTTGCTGTAATCCTTGTAAGCTTTCCAACTCCCTGATTTTAGCCAAAGACTCAGGTTGTAAACTATCTGAGTATACTCCACCTCTTCCATAGCATGATATAGTGGCTTTAGTAAAATCTTCACCGTATTTATTGTAAGCCCGACAAACGTATTCGCCGGTGTCATGATTCTGAGTATAAGCTATGTCGAGAACAACAAAACCGAAGTCAGATATTGTTTTTATTCTTGTAGAATGACGTAATGGTTGACCGTTGTGGTACCATTCAATCTTCATATCAGGATCATCTACGGGTACTACAGTACACTCAAAGTGAGCTGATTGTCCATCCTTAAGGCCTTCGATATTTTGAATGTGAGTAGTAAACCTGGGCTTTTGACCTTTACTCTTATCAACACATTCAAGTTTTACACTTATTTCTGCTTGTCCCCATTTGTTAGTAGCTCGACATGAGTATACACCAGAATCAGAAGTCTTTGTTCCCAAAATTTCAAGAACTACCATGCCAAACGCATATACTGTACGTATTCTATGACTGGCTTCAATAGTCTTACCATTATAGAACCATTCGATTACCATGCTTTGGTCACCAGTGGGTATCAAAGATGCTTCATAATGAGCAATTTGCCCTTCACTTATGTCAGTAATATCTTGGAACACTGTAACAAATTCTGGTGGTCTTCCAGTATCGTCATCAGGCTTCTGCCCAGGTTCTCTACGAAGAGATTCTTCAAGATTTTGAATCTTTTCCAACCCTTCCTTACCTTTTGGATGTTGTGTTCTCTCAATAAGGTTTTCTTTGCTTGTACAATAAATCGTTGAGGATGTAAATGCTTCTCCTCTCTTATTGTATGCTTTGCAAGTATAAATTCCACTGTCTCTTTCATATACGTCAATCAAATCTAAGGTTACAAAGCCAAAATCACTTGAAAGTTTGAATCGAGAACCTTGTTCTAAAACTTTTCCGTTGAAGTACCACTCAATTTTCAAATCTGGATCATTTTTGGGTTCTACTTGACCTTCGAGGTGAAGTGCTTGCCCTTCAATTAACTTGTGTTCTGCAACTACCGGCACCACCCATTCTGGTTTTGGATATTCTGCATCTGGGACAGATGACCTTCGTCCTTTAGCCAACCTAGCTTCTTCTGCTTGTTCAACAGCTTCTAAACCTGCTTTTCCTTGAGGATGTTGAGTGTCAAGATAAATATGCTTATCACCGGTACACCTCAACGTTCCAGAGGTTGTGGCAGAGCCCTTGCTGTTAGTAGCTTTACAAGTGTAAATACCTGAGTCTTCTTCGTAGGTGTGGTTAATGTCCAAAGACACATAGCTAAAATCATGGGTGCTCTTATATCTAGTACCTGATGGTAAAGGTTTGTTATTAAAGAACCATTCGATCTTAAGAGTAGGATCTCTAGATGGTTCAACATTACATTCGAAGTGAATATTGTCTCCTTCTTTGCATAATATATTGTTAAGATGAGTAATGAAAACAGGTGTTTCATAAACTGGCTCTGGTGATTCAGGTTTACCAGGCTTAGGTTGTTCTAAAGCGCCAATTCGATCTAATGATTCTGGGTGAAGTGATTCGCCAAGTAGCCAATGACGATCTTCTATTTTTATAGATGCAGTTGATACAGCTTCACCCATTAAATTAGTTGCTTTGCAAGTATAAATACCAGAATCATCGATCCTCAGAGAATTGACAGAAAGAGTAACCAATCCGAAATCAAATGTGCTCTTCAATCTAGATCCAGTTGTTAATGAAACTCCATTCTTAAACCATTCAATTCTTAGATTAGGATCAGTACGAGGCTCAACTTGAGCTTCTAAGTAAACGTGTTGCCCTTCAACGAGTTTGTCATAGCTCTTAAGATGAGTTGTAAATATAGGAGCTTGCTGCACACCTGTATCAATAAACATCTCTGGTACTTTGTTCATTGCTGCTTCTTTCATTTGAATTTTTTGCCATGATTCAGGCCTCATAGCTTCATCGATAATTGTTGATTTTGTTTTCACCTTTAGAGAAGTAGAGGAAACAGTACTTCCTGCTTTATTAATAGCCTTGCACATGTATAAACCTGCATCTTGCGCTACAACTGAGTTAATATCCAAGGTAACAAAACCAAAATCATGTGTAGTGCGGAAACGTGAACCTGAAAATTAAGAAAAAGTAATTTTGAAATTGATAATATACATAATGTAATGAATATGATTAGGGGTACAAAATATTTGTACTTTAAAATGAATACGTAATTATACACTTACCCATTTTTAATTCAACGCCATTTATGTACCATTCAAATCTTAAGCTTGGGTCACCGACAGGCACTACCCGTGCTTCATAGTGAGCATGTTGTCCTTCCCATAACTCTGAAGGTCCAGTCAGGACTTGAGTAAAGATAGGCTTCTCGAACTCTCGTTCCGGTTCATCAGGTTTTTTAGGAAGAGGTTCTTCAAGTTTCTGGATTTTCCTCATGCCTTCCGGATGTTGTGTATCAATTTGGATAGCTGCTTTAGCTGTGAAAACAATTTTAAAATAAATACTTACTAGCAAATTAAATAAATGTAGTTTGAAGTTACCTAAAACACGTGATTAAATAGGAAATTAACAAATATTTCGACACTTTCAAGGTTCTTCTAATACAAAAGAAGGTTTATATAAAACAAAAACAAAAATACAACACAACAAAAATAACTAATAAGTGAAATAGAGGAATTAAATCATTCAGTCATTCATTCTTATTCATTCATTATCATTGCTAAGAAAGTATCATAAAAAAAAACATCTTTTAGAAAACTTCCCAACTGTATAGTTACATAAATAATGGATGAAAGGAATAACTCCTTGGTAATTAGGAAAAAAACGAAAAACTTACTTTTAATCTTCATTGCAGCTGTTGTAACAGCTTCTCCAAGTAAGTTTGATGCTCTACACATGTAAACACCTTCATCTTCATCACGAACGTGTGAAATAGTCATTGACACATACCCAAAGTCATGTGTTTTAGTGATTCTGGAACTGTCCTCGATAAGCTTTTCGTTTCTAAACCATTCCACTTTCAGAGTGGGATCTCCAACAGGAATAAGCCTACAGTCAAAGTGGGCTGTTTGCCCTTCCTGAATGTTATCAATATTTTGAAGAGGTTGAGTAAATACAGGTCTTTGCCTTGTGACCGGCTCTGGAATTTCAGGTCTTTTAAATGGTTCCGCTGATTCTAACTCTCGGATTTTCTCGAGACCTTCAGGACGTTGAGATTCCGATATAATACTACCTTTTGCGGTTACTGTCATGGATATTGCAGAGGTACATTGACCAAGAGCATTTATGGCTTTGACAGAATATTCACCTGCATCTTCGGGGACACAGTGTTGGATATCCAATGACACGTAACCAAAATCAAAAGTGATATGGAACCGTGACGCAGATTGCAGTGCTTTGCCGTTATGATAGAACTCTATGCGTAAATTGGGGTCGTGCACGGGTTCAACTTGACATTCAAAATGTGCCGTTTGACCTTCAAAAACGTGAGTTGTTCCTCTGAGTTCTGTAACGAATCTTGGAGGTGAAATCTTGGGTTCTTCAATTTCAATTCTACCTGTATGACCTTGTGCCTCCAGTTTTCTTATTTTTTCAAGACCATTGGGATGTTGTGTGTCTAAAATTATATTCCTGTGACCTGTAAAAAAATAATTTATTTTATTTAATTATAAAATGACAAAACCATAGATATGATCTATATATCAGATCTATATATATCAGATCTATATATATATATATATATATATATATATATATATATATATATATATATATATATATATATATATATATATATAGATCAGATCTATATATATATTCGAATACAAATATTTGTGACAAATCAATCTTCTACTAGTTTATTAGTTAAAATTATAGCTCTCATATATGTCTTTCATGTAAAAATAATAATCTTTGTTAAAAGTAACTTACTTGCAACCTTCAACGTGCACGTATTGACTGCTTCTCCGAGTTTGTTAGTAGCTTTGCACATGTAAGTACCGGAGTCTTCTGCGTATGAATATAATATATCCAACGCGACATATCCGAAGTCATGCGTTGTTCTAAATCTGTGGCCTGTTTTAATCTTTTGGCCATTGAGGAACCATTCGATCTTAAGATCAGGATCATTTATTGGTTCAACTCTACATTCAAAATGAGCGCGATCACCTTCCTTAAGGTTCTCTAGACTTGTTAATGCTGTTAAAAATACAGGCCTTTGGCCTGGTTGCTCTTCTTCCACTGCTTTTGGTCTTTCATATTGTTCGAGTTCCTTAATTTTTCTCAAACGCTGTTCATCTAAAGTGTCGAGATAGAGAGAAGCCTTAGCTGTAAAGTGACAAATTATAATATTAATAACATTTCATGTGAAAAATAATAATATTTATAAAATTTATAGATTTTAATACATACCATCGACATTAACAGAACTAGTGGTAATGGCTTCACCAACTGCGTTTGTAGCTCTACACATATATGTTCCAGAATCCTCTGCATATGCATAAAGGACATCCAAAGCCACATATCCAAAGTCATAAGTAGACTTGAACCTGTGGCCCTGAGGAATTGGTCTTCCATTACAATACCATTCAACGCGCATTGTTGGATCGTTAACGGGAGTTAAAGTAGCTTCTAAATGTACGGGCTGGCCTTCCGCCACGTGAACATTCTTAAGAGGTTTTCCAAATTGTGGTTTTTCTGCAATAAAGCCTTCGTCTCGTACCACTCGCTTATATCTGCTATCGTCTTCAAGATATTGAATCTTTTCTAATGCACTTTCGTGCTGTGTATCTCTTATAATAGATTCTTTAGCTAAAAATTAAAAAGATGAATTAAAAATATATATATATTACAAAAAAGTTAAAGATTTAATTTGATATTAAATAATATGATATCGCTCGTACACTTACATTGAACATTTAAGTTGATAGAGGATATTGCCTGGCCTAAGTTATTAATAACTTTACATGTGTATTCACCGGAGTCTTCAGCATAAACTGTGAGAATGTCAAGAGCGGCAAACCCAAAGTCATAAGCTGTGCGATACCGATGACCACTTTGTAAAACTTTACCATTAAAATACCATTCAACCCGCATATTAGGGTCTGGGTAGGGCTCTATTCTGCATTCATAGTGTGCACTTTGACCTTCAATCAATCTTGATGGCCCGTTTAATTGAGTAATGAATCGAGGAGCTTGATTCACTGCAACCTCAATCTCTTCCCTACGCTGGTAGCGTGATGTATCTTCTAATTGTTGGATCTTTTGTAATGCTGTTTCATGCTGAGACTCCAATTGTAAAGATGCTTTGGCTAAAAAAGAAATATACAAAATTTCAGAAACAAACGAAACATTTGAATATATAATAGTTGCATATTAATCATGCAATTAAATAATAATAAAGATAATCTGTTATACATTTGCTTACTCACATTGAACAAATAAGGTAGAAGATGTAACCGCTTCCCCTAGTTCATTAATTGCACGGCACGTGTATGTACCAGAATCTTCAGGATTAACGTATTTCATATTAAGGGCAACGTAGCCAAAATCGTGCATTGTAGTAATACGATTTGCTGAAAATCGAAAGTTAATATGAAATAACTCATATACATATAGTATGTCTATTTAAATAATTTAATGAGAATATATTTAATATACTTACAAGCTTCAATAGGAACTCCATTGCGCAACCATTCAACTCTTAACTTGGGGTCACCAACAGGGATGAGCCTTGCTTCAAAGTGTACTGCTTGGTTCTCAGCCACTCTTTTATCTTTCATGGGCATTGTAAACATAGGAGCCTGAGTAACAAACTCCTCTTGTGCAGACTGCCTTTGATGTCTTGATGAGTCTTCCAGCTGATTAAGTCTTGGCAAAGCACTTTCATGTTGAGACTCAAGGTAAATTGACTTTTTCGAATGAACAATAGCAACACCAGAAGTAACAGCTTCACCAAGGGCATTGATTGCCCTGCAAGTATAAGTTCCTGAGTCTTCAGGCAAACAAGACATAATGTCAAGAGCCACAAAACCAAAATTGTTAGTTTCTGTAAATCTTGATCCACTCTTTAAAGGTTTATTATTATGATACCATTCAACTTTCATAGTTGCATCTGACACTGGTATTAATCTGCATTCGAAATGCGCACGTTGACCTTCCTTAATTTCTACATTTTTCAAGGATGTAGTGAATATCGGTGCTTGAGTGGTTATCTCGTCCACGAAATCAGTTCTATGATATTTAGATCTGTCTTCTAGAACTTGAATTTGTTCCAAACCGGCTTCATTTTGAGTAGCTCGAATAATATCAGCTGTTTCACGACATGTTAATCTACAGCTGACTTCATCAGTACCGACTAGATTCACAGCCCTACATGTGTAAACGCCTGAATCTTCTGCGATAAGATCAATTATGTCTAAGGCAACATAACCAAAATCATGAATTGGTCGGAATCTGTGGCCAATAGTAACTGGTTGACCATTCTTAAACCATTCAACTTTTAGGTTGGGGTCAGTGACTGGTTCGAGCTTGCATTCAAAGTGCACGTGATTACGCTCTTTGACATTTTCAATTGATTTTGGTTTAGTCACAAATCGTGGCTTGATGTTTATAGATTCATCGATAACATCGGATTTCTTGTATCGAGATGAGTCTTCTAAATATTGAATTTTTTCTAATCCAGAAGGATGTTGAGAATCAAAGATTAAATCTTTCTTTGCCATCACACGAAGGGCACATGAAGTGACTGCTTCTCCTAATTGATTCGTGGCTTGACAAGTGTACACTCCAGAATCTTCTGGATAGACGCTCAAAAGATCTAGAGCGACATAATCAAATTCATAGGCTGGTCTAAACCTGTGTCCTGTTTTAATTGGCCTGCCGTTACAGAACCATTCTACTTTCATAGTTGGATCTCCAACTGGTTGCAATCGGCATTCCAAGTGCACGTTCGTGCCTTCAACAATCTCAATATTATGCAATGGTCTAGAAAAGTGTGGTGCTTGCAAAACTGTTATGTCTTCTTGAACCTGTCTGCCTCTACGAGCAGCGTCTTCTAGTATTTGAATCTGCTCAACTGCCTGCTCGTTTTGTGTGTCAGTCAAAATGTCAGATCTTTCAATTACACGTACCATAGCAGATGTATGTGCTGAACCTAAGTGATTAACTGCTCTAACAGTGTATTCTCCTGAATCAGATGACGTTGCATGTATGATGTCTAATGCAACGAAACCAAAATCATAGTATGTCTTAAAGCGAGAGCCTACTGTTACAGCTCTGCCATTATGAAACCATTCGACTCTCATAGTAGGGTCACCCATTGGCTCCAATCTACATTCAAGGTGGATATTTTTACCTTCGGAAACTGGTTGTGGGTCTGACAAAGGTTGAACGAAAATTGGTTTTGATTTTGAAATTTCCTCAATGTGATACATTGGCTCAACAAATTTAGATTCTTCTAATTGCCTTGTTTTTTCATATAAGCCATGGTGGATGCTTGAGGTGTCAATACTGGATCGTGCTATAAAAAAAGAAAATATAAATTTGAGATAAAATATATGTAAAAATCTACAAATATAAATTAATAAAAAAATACTCACTTTCGACTACCATGGAAGCACTGAGTTGCGCTTCGCCAGAAGCATTTCGTGCTACGACTGTGTAAACGCCGGAATCTTCAGCTCGGACGTTAGTAATATCTAAAGCAACGTAGCCGAAGTCATGATACGTTTGAATACGATTGGCTGATTTAATTTGCTTTCCATTGAAGTACCATTCAACAGTCATTGTTAAGTCGCTCTGAGGCTCCACTCTTGCCTCGAAATGAGCGCTTTGTCCTTCTACTATTTTATTTGTCCCTTTAAGTGGGCCTAAGAATCTTGGCTTTTGTGTTATTCTAACTTCTTCCTCTGATCGTTTCGAATATCTACTGGAATCTTCTAAGTATTGGATTTTCTCATATCCACCAGGGTGTTGTGATTCAGCAATAATATCTTTCTTTGTTATAATTGTAAGGTTAGCACTCGTAGTTGCTTGACCAAGTGCATTATAAGCCCGACACGTATAATGTCCAGCGTCATGAATTGTTACGGACTTTATTGTTAAAGCTACATATCCAAAGTTGAAGAACGTAGTAATTCTTGAACTAGCCTCAACAGGTCGTCCATCCTTCAACCATTCTACTCTTAAAGTGGAATCACCAATTGGCTCGAGACGAGCCTCAAAGTGGGCGAAACCACCTTCTTTAATATTGATTTGATCTTTTATTGGTGTTTTAAATTCAGGTTTTTGTGTACTTTCAGGTGCTTCCTGATAATATTTTTGATGCTGTTGTTGCTGATAAGCTTCTAATTGCTCAGTCTTTTCTATATATCTTCTTTGTTCAGGTATGCCGAGATCAGCTGTGACTGTACTTCTAGCTGCTACTCTTATCGAAGCAGTACTAATGGCTTCACCTAATCTATTCACGGCCCTCACTGTATACGAACCTGCATCTTCAGCCCGTAGGTGCATGATGTTAAGGGAGACGTAGCCGAAGTTGAAGATTGCTGTGATTCGCGAGCTGGCTGTGATAGATCTACCATCTTTGTACCATTCGACTCTCATAGTAGGATCACTGACTGGAGTAAGTTGAGCTTCGAAATGGGCATTTCTTCCTTCTTGTAGTTCACCAAGATCTTGTAATGGTCTAATAAATTGTGGTTTTTGCGATATTTGCTCTTCTATAGACTCTTGGTGTTGATATTTAGAGTAGTCTTCTAGTTGTTGAATATATTGTAAGCTTTCTGGATGTTGACTAGTTCGTTCAATAGTTGCTCTCGGTGTAACTTGTAACATAGCCTTTGTTTCCGCCATACCTGTAGCACTTACTGCTCGGCATGTATATTCACCACTATCTTGAATATTAAGACTGAGCATATCTAGAGAAATATATCCAAAGCGGAATATTGAAGTAAATCTAGAACCTGTAACGAAAAAACATCGTGTGAGTATTAACTTCAAATTTTTATGAACTTTTTATAAAGACATTGTATAATATTACTTACTGGCTTCTATGCTTTGGCCATTTTTCAACCACTCGATTCTCATCGTTGGGTCGCCGACCGGTTCTATCCTCGTTTCAAAATGAATTTTACCGCCTTCCATTTGTGTAACACTTTTAAGACAATGTGGACTGTGGTGAATATGACACGTCTTCTTTCACGGAAAACGTATGGTGCTCTTCGCCTCAAATATATAATTTCCGGTCCAGGAGCAGGCCTATAATAAGAATATATATATATATATATATATAGATATAATATATATATATATATATATATATATATATATATATATATATATATATATATATATATATAATTGCGAGAGTTCTACTATCATATTAGTTTAAAAAAATTAAGATTTATTTTAATATATTGTCTAACTTACTCTGGTTCGATAATTTTTGTAGGCCGGGGCAAGTGCAGACGCTTTTGCTCAGGCGGAGGCTCTTTTGGTACTTCCACATAAAGCCTCGCCCGAGTTGCTGTGGAGCCTGCGACATTCTGAGCAGTACACTGGTACCATGCCGCATCCGACGCCTTTGCTCTGGGTATATCTAATGTCGAGGCCCCACCTTCGGTATTTATTCGTAACTCTGGATTGGGTATAATCGGAACTCCATCCTTTTGCCACGTGATACGTGGTGTAGGTGTGCCAACAGCGCGTGCATTCAATATAACAGGCTCACCCTCTCGTACATTTAAAGTACTAAAACGTTCAACGAATTTCGGAGCAACTACTTGCTCTTTCTCGATAACGTTTAGTCGACACTGGAAAGATGTTTCACCGCTCTTATTTCGCGCTACACATGTTACTACACCACTATCACGTAAATTGACGTTCGTAATCATAAGCGCATGATTACCTGATTCGTTTACTAATATCTTATGATTATAATCGTCTCGGATTTGTCTCTCGTTAATGAACCACGTGACTTCTGGATAAGGTCTGCCTGTGACGCGGCAATCGAATCGCGTCATTTTTCCTTCTGTGACATCCCTGTCTTGGCAGACTTTAACAAATTGCGGAGCAAGTGCTTTTTCACTTACTTCTATTCTTTCAGTCTCTACTTGTTGAGTATCAATTGTGTATTGTGATTTTTGATCTTGTACATATGTTTCTTGAGGAGATTCTACAGCAAGGTAAGCTGAAGTAACAATGCAACCGTTAGGATTTTCGGCCAAAAGTGTGTAATGACCTGAATCAGATTTTTGTGTATTTCTAACCCTAAGAATCGTTTGATTGTTAGTGGTTATTATATTGTGTTTATTTGAATTTACTATCCTCTGGCCATTTTTAAACCATGTCACACGTGGCCTAGGATTGCCAGACAGTTGCACCTGGAACTGTGCATCAGTACCTTCCTGTAATTTAGAATTTCTAGGTTTCTGTGATATTTTTGGAGGCGATACTGGTCCTAAAGTCTTATCGATCTCTGTATTTATCTGTATGTCAGTTTCTCCAATATATCTTTTAGTTATAGTCTCTCTGAAAGATACTTCTCTCAAAAGTCTATATTCAAAGGTGTCCACTTTAAAATCTTCAGTGGTAGAGAAATCTGATGATCCATTTGTATATGCGTATTTCTGAGACTGTCGTGATTGTTCTGAAGAATAACCCTGTGTTCCATAAGACTTGTGTTCTACACTCTCACTTACATGCCTGTAGCTTTGTTGCTGTGAGGCTTGATGTGCGGGCACTGGCACGCCTTCAGGTTGGATATACACAGAGCAAATTGCTTCTCCATATTGATTTCTGGCTGTGCATGTATATTCACCTTCATCACCAGGCCCAATTTGCTTAATCAGTAGAGACACGTCCCCAGTCTGTTCATTGTAGCTCATGCTGTATTTATTACACTCAACTAATGGGGCCTTCTTTCTGGTCCATGATACCACAGGTGTGGGATTACCCCTCAGCTTTCCTTCAAATTTAGCGTTGCCGCCTTGTGCAAATCTCGCATTTTTAAATATTTGCTCGAAGATTGGTGGAGACGGGTCTCCAGGTCTGCCTGAGGTGATGGGTAAACGTTCGACGCCAGCGCTCTCCACTGTAACAAAAAAAATTGTTAAAATTAAATTTAAATCTAAACAATACAAATTTCATAAAAAAATAGTTAAATTCATTTATCTTTACAATAAATACTAAAGGGAATATAACCTCGCAACGCTTTACTAAACATGATTTCGCTTTCATATGTTTAAAATAATTCTAATACGTGACTACTGTGTAATGATATAAGTATATCTTGTATAATTCCAGTAAAGTGTAAGTCGTTCGAATTGCCAGGTGTTTCTGATATCGATATATTCTGGAGGTATACAGCCGAGTTTCGATATATTACATACAACTTTTGGGTGCGCGTGAGTCAGCGGTGACGAAGCGCGCGAGCTCTTTTCGCGCATCTATTTTTGTACGCACCACTCGGATCTTATTACGAGCTCAATTTTGGTCGTGCCCAACTCACTTACATATTTGTTTAATTTTGGCATTTACAAAAGTATTTCAAAAATAATAATGTGTTTTAATATTCGGTTTTGTAGGTTTAATGTTATAAAAAAATAAATAATCGTCCTTTTTAGCTCTTATAATTGAACAAAATAACAAGCTAACAGGTTTTAGTTAGTTTTAAAGTACATTTTTACATAAAATGAAGATTCCTTCGCCAGCCGCAAAGCTGGTAAATTATTAAGAAAACGACGGTAATGAAATAAAAAAATACTCGCTTACAAACCAGAATACCTGCAATCAGGTTCGATAAAAAGTGGTAATTTGACATTTTTTATATGAACGGCGGATTCAGTTTATCATTATTTTTATTAAAACCGCTGAGATATTATTATATATTTTTTAATCTTCTCATCTCTTATAGTAATAATAAAGTTTTGTATTCAGCCCTGTATAACGTCCCACTGCTGGGCACGGGCCTCCCTTCAATACGAGGGGGATCAGGCCATAGTCCACCTCGCTGGCCAAGTGCGGGTTGGCGGACTTCAAATGTCTTTCGAAAACTTGCTAGGTTCTCTCAGACATGCAGGTTTCCTCACGATGTATTCCTTCACCATAAGGCAAGTGGTAATCATGTTGGAAATGATTAGCACATGAAAATATCAGAGGTGTGAGATCTGGGATTTGAACCCGCTTCACTCGGTTTCCCAAGCGAGCGCGTTACCACTGGGCTACCATTGCCTCTTAATAACAAAGTTTAATTGATTAATTTCAATATTTTCTTTGGAAATTTACAGAAAATTTCTTTTTCGGGTTATTCTCTTTATTTATTTTTTAATTGTAGGAAATATAGTATTTGTATTCTTGCAAAATATTTTTTTTTGTTTGAAATTCTATAATTTCCTTTAAAATCTATAATTTACTATTAAACAGCCATATGACACAGTGGTTTTATATAGGAACTATTGCGCTGGAGTTGCTAGGTTCTATTTCTAAACTAAAAACATCCAGGAAACATTGTAAAATATCATATATATTTATTACACACAAGTTTATACAGCTTTAAGTATGGTTCCAAAAAGTAATAATTGATTTTAAATAAATTAGCTCGGGCCCTAGTTACCTAAAAGTATTTCATGTGTTACTCTAAGTTATAGTCTATTAATATAATAATAATATAAGTTTCATCAAAATCAGGTCAGCCGTTTCAGTATGAAGGACTTACAAACAAACAAATCAACAGACAAACAAAATTTCGCTTTTTTTAATAGTAAAATCTCATTATACCTTTATGATATTTGAACTGAGAAAGTCTTGGTGTGTATTAATTATTTGAAGGGAACACATACATGTTTATTGTAGGTCACGAAGCATGAAACGACCGGTTCTGCGGCCGCGGCGCGCTGGCGCTCTTTATATGTAAGTAATTTGCTAATTTTATCATTTATACGTAATTTGTTATAAACATATTTTATATATGTGTAATATCTAAAATTGTCTTTTTTAATTCCTAATACAATAATACTTCATTAGATTTACGCGAATATTATATTTTGACATTGAAAAATAACACTATATTTTCGCGAATTAATATTGATTTTTGGTTACCGATATTTCGAATGCTTTACAGCATACAGCAAACGAGCAAGACACTCTGTCACCGTGCGTAAAGTATTCGATACATCGAGAACCAGACATCAAAATAAATCCGCGAAAAAAATCCAAAGATAGTAATAATACATATAATAAGTTAGCTACTTTGAGTATATTTCATTAGTGTAATGATGAATGGAAACTAGTTTAAGATTCTTATCTTAAGAATTTTCTCTTCTTCTTTCGTGAATACATATAATTTATACGTATAATAATATATTTCGCTGTCTCAAACTTAGTTTTTTTGGTTTTAATAAGAAGTAAACAAAGGATATTTTTCATTTGCGTTATAATTTTAAATATTATTAATACATTACAATCAATTAATAATCTTTCTAGAAGAACGCTTATTAAAATCAGATCAATATACGCAAACTATAACGCCGATGTGCATTTACGTTTCGTAAATACGCATCAAATAATTTCTACTTGAATTGTACAGTGGCAGATTGAAAATTACGATATCAATATATAGTGCAGTTATGTGGGTTACAGGAATGTGCGTCATAGGTTGGTAGTCAGCATGAATAAATTATCACACTCAATGACCTCCAGAAGGGTTTATAGTATATATGATAACCTGCACAATGATCTAAATGGGCAATGTAATTTACAGTGTACGAGAATCAAACCCAAGCCTATCGATACAGAAACCAGTTAATACCCCGCACGTGCAAGATGTGGAATGATCTTCCTCCCGAGGTATTCCCTGAGCGCTATAATATGGGGCTCTTCAAGAGTAATGTCTATAGGTCCCTTAAAGGCCGGCAACGCATTCGCAACTCCTCTTGTGTTGCAGATGTCCATGAGCGACGATAGCCACTTACCATCAGGTGGATCGTTTGCTCGTTTGCCCCTTTTTTCTATAAAAAAAAAAAAATTCTACGCTACGCAACTCTAAACCACTAAAGAAAGAAAAAAATCCACGCTAAGCAATGGATAGTGAACTTTCCAGCAGTCTTTATTTTTGCATAACACAATCAGAAGTTATTGTTGTATGAAACTATTTTAATTTTCTTAACAAAGACGACTAAAAAGTTAAATCAAGTGCGAGACAAGAAAGTCCATCTTTGTGTTATCGGCAGGATGCATACGAGTATCTCTCATCTTTAAAAAACTGGATAAACTTAAAGCGTTTGATAAAAGTTTTGCACAAATTTAAAATGAGCTGCAATAAATTTAATAAAATCGTGAGTACAAATATTTGTGTATCCTACAGCAAGAATATAAATAAACTAGCAGAACCCGCGGCTTCGCCCGCGTTCAAAGCACATAAAAGCAAGCTCTTCTTTCCTTTTCCTTTACAATAATATATTTGTAGGGGAGCCCAATAGGAGATTTTTTGGATTTACTCAAGCGCCGCAGATTATCATAAAGGGGGGTATCTTGCACTCAGTTGTTTGTTTGTTTGTTTGTTTGTTTGTTTGTTTGTTAGAACGCGCTAATCTCAGGAACTTCTGATGCGATTTGAAATCCTATCTATCTAATCCTAGTTTCATAATAAAAAATAATCAAGTATATCAGTGTCTTCAGGTAGCGCACAAGAGGACAGACAGAAAGACGTCGTTTTATAATGTGAGAACGACTAAGAGAGTAATCTATATAATATAAATATTATAAATGTGAAAATTTAGATGTTTGTATGTTTGTTACTCAATCATACCAGAACGGCTGAACGGATTTCGATGAAATTTGGCACAGAGATAGATTGTAGTCCGGAATAGCACATAGGCTTTTATCCCGGAAAATGTACGGTTAAAGCTTATATATAAATAGGCAAAGGCAAACATTTCAGTAGATTTTTCTTCTTTGCTTGTCAACCGATTTTCTTTTTTTTTGTATAGTAGCTATTGACGAGCTTACAGAGCAAAATTCTTAGAGCTAGAGAGCTTATAGAACAAAAATCATTATGGTCAAATTTCTACCACGCCAACTGGTCGAACACTAGTTTTTAAATATTTATTTACCAAGATTTAATTTTACCATTTTGTCGACGTGACTAATATAATATGTATATGCATGTCAAATTACAGCTTTCCAGTACTAGGACTATCTGAGCTAAGTTACGTCCAGACGGACGGATATGGCGAAACTATAAGGGTTCCTTGTTGCGCTAATTATTAGTGCATTCGTATATACCTAAATAATTAACAATGTATGATAGTGAGTATATTCCGATAATATGTATATACATTGTGCATACATGTAACATAGGTTAAGATATTATAGTGACACAATTGCAAGAGTTTAGGGTCAAGGTCTTGAGCCTTGCAAGTACAATCTATAGCCGGCTATAATATATATAAATAAATACACACCGATAGAATCATTACATAGAAATTACAATAAACAAAGATGTAACTAATATAGTGTTTCCCATTATATTGAGTCCGCCTTTATACAGTTAGTAGGCAGTTGTTATTTTAGGGCAGATTTTATATGTTAGGACGGATTTGAAAGATTTTTACAAATTTAAATAAGAAAATGCAACAATCGCATGATCATTTATGATACGATATGATTATAAATTAATAGAAAATGAGTTATCACGACAGCTGCTCATATTCACATTCACAGCCAAGCAAAGTTTTGCGGAGCGAAGAAACTTCGAGTTATTTCGATAGATGCGTAGGAGTTGGAAGCCGCCCAAAAGACATGCCAGTAGGTCGATTCTCATTTAAAATTATGAAATAATTCCTTCATGCATGTTTTCAAACTATAAATATGTTTACTGAACAAGATCCAGCGTTTTTTATATCACCTTCGAGCTTTAATAAGTGTTAAGTGTTGATATATACATACATATATCAGTTCTTTGACTACTTTATCGAGTGCGATGCCAAAGCAACTTACAAAGTAAATAGTGAATTAATAGAATTAAAATAATAGGTATTTAAATTTTTGTTTATGCCAATATATGTATATCCGCCCTCATAATGTCTTACTGCT